TTCAATGCTTATCGCAGGAGCCTGCGGGCCGCCGCGGGCGACAGTAGTTGTCCGCGGCCCTTTAGGGCCGCGGGGAAGTGGTGGAGCCCGCGGCGGCCCGCAGGCTCCTGCGATAAGCTTTGAATGCGAATCCGGAAGCCCCCGATGACCCAGATACCTTCCTGGCCAGGGGGCCAGTTTCTCATGCAGGGGGCTTGCAGAAGAAGGAGTGGGACTGTAATCAAAAATAAATAGCGCCAAAGCGCGGCCCGCGGGGCCGCGCTTTCGCCGCGCGGCTGGTTAGGCTTTCGCGCTGGTTAGATTTTCGCGCACGCATTTGGTTACCAATATCGCCCTCCGGGCGCGATCTTCATATTTTATGAGGGAATATTGATGTTGATGTACGAGGAATTGCACAAACAGTTGCGTCGAGTTAAAAACGCGAATCGAGCTGGCTGAATTTGAAAACGACAGCGCAAAAGGCTGAAATAGAAAAGTAAATTTAGCTAAAGGAATAAATACTATCGTGACCTGTCGGAAAAATGTGGCGAATGATTCATCAAAGTAGCGCCTTTTGGGATAGAAATAAATAAGTATGATCTACAGATGCTGCTCTCTGTGGAGCGAGAGGGCTGAAGAAACCTGTGTAACCATAGAATGATCTCGTGGTGCAAGTAGACCTTCGTTTGTTTATAAAATTTCAAACGGTCTTGTTGTAGTCCGGAAGATGACATTTGATTTGTTCGTGCCAGAGATCGTACGAGACGAATTGGGAAGATTCATCGCAAAGCACAGTGCTTCGCCTTCACCTTCTCCTATAAAAAGTCTGGATCTGCTGATTACGTGCCGTGGTGTTGTATCTTCGTACGTATGCACTGCATACAGTTTTTTTCTCGTTCGAATTCGTTCGTCAGTAGACAGACTGCTCAACTACATGATCCGTAGACATTCTTACTTATTTCGTGTAGTCGTGTGGGCCACTTTTTCGACTTTCGTACGAAGAATTTATATACGAGGAAGCTGTAGGAACTTGGGCCTATCTACTCTTCGTGCAGCCTAGGGGTCGTTCGTCAGTGACTCGTCGTGGTATCTATTTGTATTTCAGTATCGAGTATCTTCATGAAAGATTGACGTTGATCGCCATCCTCTTCATCTCGCATCGATTCATCGATTCGACAGTGCCCCAGTTTTTTGAAATCTTCGCAAGAAGTAAAAACCCGGAGAATTGATTTCTCTCAACAGCGTCTCGTTTTGTAAACGGGTTTTGCGCTCCTGTATCGGGAGTCAAAGGATTTAAGTCCAAGACCAGTCAAATTCCTAGAAGGAAAGAGAAAGACACACAATATGAAAAAGGGGGTTTCCGTGGCAGTTGTGATGTCGGTCGGCGCCGTGCACCAGGGCGACCGCGCCCCCCCCCCCCCCCCCCCCCCAGACTACCCATCAGTGGGTCGGCAAGGAAGACGGGGGAGAGTTTCTGGAGATTGACGCGGGGAACTTGCCCGACCTGGGCCAGGTAGCCGGAGCCATCAACGGGGCAGTCTTTCCAGGGAACTCGCAAGAAGCCGTGGATAATGCGGCAACGTTGGGCAAAACAGTCACGGAGACTGCGGTATTGAACTCGAAGCCGGGGAAAGTCACAAAAGTGTTGGCGAAGGGAGCAGGCCTGTCGTGTGACAGCGGAGATGATATGGAGTGTTGCAAGGAAGGAGATTCGGGGTACCGGAACGATCAAGTCGTGAAAGTTTGCGAAAATCCGGCCAAGTGCGTGGCGGGTATCTGTGCTGAAGGGCCTCTTGCGGGAGCTCAGAACCAGGCAGAGTTCGTTACCGACGACGACCCGAATTTTTGGCAGCGATGACATTGCAAATGCAGTGACACTGGACTAATACTCGAGGGGAAATCTTGAATGATACGCGAGAGGGATGCGTTTTTATAATGAAGAAGGCGCCAAGTAAGCATAGTTAACGCATATGAAAGCAACCCCTTCTTGTTCACTGCTGTCCCTTTCATTTCAATCAGAACAAGCCACGATCTTGCCAAGAAAATGAGTTACCTTTTGAAGCACTATTACATGACTTACGTTTGATATGTACATTTTTTGAGACTTGCCACGAACTTTTATTTCGATGCACGGAGATGAAGTGGTACAACAGCATAGTGCCCACAGATACTGCAACAATGGGCAGAGGAAAACATTCTAAAGGTGCTCGCTGGTTGTACAAGTTACGCAGCCACGTGGCAGGAGGCAGAGAAGCACGCTCTCGTTCTACTTTGTTGCGTATTGTAAAATCCTCGTGTTTCGGCTTCAACATTTTGATCGTGTATTAGCAACAGCTGCAATTTCAGATTCATTTAAGTCAGGTACTAACTAGTATGGGAGGCCGACGAGGCCGACAACTTCCTACTTCGCATCCTTCGTTCAAAAAGTTTGAATTTTCAATATTTACACATGGCCACAACTTCAATTATTCGTCTACCCTGATTTCATTTTTATCCTCTGTTACCCACCTGCACCTTCGGGCGAAGCGTTCAGAGTTCGATCCCAAAAAAAAAGTTTTCTCCTTCCCTTGATTTAAGCGCAAAACCAAAACAGCATCGTATCCCGGTGGATTAAAAAAGTACCCACTTCAACATAGTCATAGTTATGTAGAATACGAATTCCCGTGTGCAATATTTTCCTCCGGGCTTGAAGAGTAGAACAGGGAGTTGCGAAGCAAGAGGTGGTATCTGCGATAGCATTGCAGACGCATTCCCTCGTGCTCACTGTACGGATGGAAGAGGAAGTGCAAGAAATTATATACAGCCGCCACATACGATACCTACCGCGACCCGCATATAATTCTGTCGAAAAGTCGTGCTTTGTTTCTTTCAGTAGCCGGCTCCAAATGCGGCCAATGTCAATCCGAAGGAAACTACTTGCAAGACTTGTGAACACGTAGTCGTGAATCAGACTTATTCGCTGTAAAATATTTTTTTGGGGGATACGCCAAAAAATTCAGATCTGTAGCCGTGGGGCAAAAATCTCCTCCGTCGTGTACGCGTCCTGTGCCACACGACGACTTGTGTTTTCGTTTTGACGTTGCTTGTTCTGATGTTATATATGAAAACAACTAGGCCACATATGCGTTTTTTGATTTGCCACACTCGGTGGAGTTGTGCAGCAGCTCCAGCAGTCAAGAATCGAGAACTTGTACAGAGTGAACCTCAAACAAGTAGATGCGCCGCGAGAGCAGGAGGGAAGCTCGTCGAGAGATTCTTTTTAATCGACATAAAGTTCAGCTTACACTTCGTTTTAAAAACATACAAAAAATAAAAGCCCAAGACGAGCACTGTTTGCTCGACAATAAAGGAGCTCTGAAGTTTGGCTGGTTGTCTAAAGACACAGACTAACTCCCGTGAAGATGATGCCCCTTCTTTCTACCCAAACACAAAGTATAGTTCTTGGAAAAAGTATTCACTCAAAACCTGACCTGCGAGTATCAATGAACGATGACTCCTTTCCATTAGGAATGAAGCTTTAATTTGAAGTGCTTGTACATGTACAAAAAAACTTGTGAACAACAATCGTGAAGACTACTTGATTGTGGTTTTGTCATTGTTTTTGAATTTTTGCCTGAGAGAGACTCACGAATATTTTTTATCGTTTCGGAGGTTTCCGTTTCCACACTGGAGTTCGAGCTAAGGTTACGAGTAGTATTTTTCAGCCATGAAGACGCTTACTTTTTCAGAAACGAAAGATCAAGCGGAGCCCTCATCGTTTCCTCGCGATGATTCCTGTTTACGTGCTTCCCCCTCTTCCGATTACGACCCCACCCTGACGGCGCCACCCTCTCCCGTGGAAATAACCACCAGTAGCCAAGCACCTCCCACGTCGGCCTTCGAACAGCAACAGATTCCGCTGATCCTGGAACTCTGCCTGCCCTTCTACGACCTGCAGGATTTGAAAACGCTGCGACAGGTCTGCAGAAGGGAGGCGCCGGTGTGCGAAAACCTGGAGTACGGTTGGCAATTGCTCTGGGAGAATTTGTACCAGTACGCCATCCCGAACCGAAAATGCTCCAGAGTCTTGAAGCAATGGATCCAGGCGAGATTGGCTGCGGTTGCGGAAGGAAGTGGCGGTTTTTCGATTGCAGGTCGTAGTCGTAGTGCAGGAGCGACGAGGTCGTTTTATTCTTCCTCTTCTTCTTCCCCGACCGGTAAAAGTACAAGTGACGCCAGTCGGCCCGCAGGGGAAGGAGCGTCTTTTTCCCTAGATGAAACAGCACGAACTTTTTCTACGCATCTTCCCCTTGATTTTCCTTCGCAGGAAACCAACTGCAATACGAACACGTCGACGACGATGGGCAATTATGATAAACAGCAGCAGTTTCAAGTCTATGAAAACGCGGTCCGACTGGTGCATTGGATCGTGAAAAGGGTGAAGCAGGAAGAAATTGAGCAGCTTATCAAATGCAAATATGTCTGGGTCTGGAAGGTTCCAACTTCTGATGCTGTCTCTGGATTCGAAAAAAATCTGTATTGCATGACAAGCAAGACGAGTCTTGTTTGTGCTACGCGGAGAAGGCATTTCTCATGCACAATAGGCATCAGGAAGCCCTCTGCAAATCTGTCATGCTAGGCCATGCATTACAGGCATCAGGGGTCATGCAGCATATGCATGACAAACCTGGCAACTACTTTCCAGACCCAGCAGACATATTTGCAATGGATGCAGCTGCTCGGAGGGCAATTTTTGACCAGTGCGCTGTACTTGCTACACGAAGCGCGGCACGAATGCGATATGGAATGCAAAAATGTCTGGGTCTGGAAGATGGCGAGATTTGTCATGCTAGTCTGGCATGACTCTGCACTTTGTATTGCGTGGCCACCAAGAGGTCCTCTTGCCTGTCATGCAAAAGCGCAGTTTCTCATGCGAACTACGCAGCACATAGGCACCAAAAAACTTGTCATGCTTGGCTGCGCAGTACAGAGGACTTATTGTTCACGGACTTGCATCACAAGTTTCCAGACCCAGACATATTTGCAACCCATATGCGAGAAGCAGCGGCAAGAGGAGAAGATGAAGAAGGCGCCGGCAAACGTGATTGCGCCCAAATTGTGGATATGCACTGCAAAAGTATCGTACTCGTATAAATGCAGCACAAATTTCCTCAGCATGAGAAACAAAATTTGTAATGCGGATTTGACTTAACAAAAAGAAAAAGATTTGTAATGCATGACTGCAATACGAATACGATGCTTTTGCATTTGATAGTGGAGGCGGCGAAGTCCTTCGACGATGAACAGCAACTTGTGCATATGCAAGAAAAAAATTGTGTAAGTGTGAGTCTGTGATGCAAGGAATGCAGCACAGTTACACTTTGTCATGCTGGTGTTGAGTCATGAAGCTGTTTTTCATATGTGTTTCCACTGATACGAGCTGTGCACGACAGGCTTTCTCTGTCATGCAGAGCAAATTTGTTAATGTCATGCTGGCACAACTCCAACAGACCTAGTACACTGACACAGTTTAATATTTTTTCCTGGATAATGCATGATTTGCGACGATCACTTCACGTCGGGCACCATGGTGGATGCAGCTACGACGAGCCCGACGAATGATGATCTGCAGGCTCTAGAAGTTGTACAGCCGGTGCAAGTAGAACAGATAAGCCGGGAGCTGCGGCGAGATCATGATGACGCTGATTTTCACGATTTCGCCCCGGACACGCGGAGCAGGAGCTTGGAAATTCCCGCGTCTCTTTCCCCAAACTACAGCGAAGTGGATGCAGGAAACGCAACATCTTGTACTACCGCATCAAGTAGGGGGCTCCAAAAAATTCTCTCGGATGACCACGAAGTGCGGTTGGATTTACTGCTCCTCCTGGCCCTCCTCGCCACAAAGGAGCTGAATAACCAGAAGCACGTGACGCAACTGCAGAACAACGTGAATTCCCAGCTGCACGAAGAGTATCAAGTGCAAAAATGTCTGGGTCTGGAAGAATGCATGTTTGTCATGCTTGTCTGGCATGACTCTGAAATCTGTCATGCGCGTTACCCAAGAGCTCCATTTTTCTGTGATGCAGAAACGCAGTTTGTCATGTAGAATAGGCAACACCTAGAAGCTCAGAAACTTGTCATGCTGAGCCAGCACTTGTGGCCTCATCATGAGACGCCACCCAGCATCACAAGTTTCCAGACCCAGACATTTTTGCATTTGATAAAGAGCTGCGCCTGATTGCCAACGAAGAATTTTCCTGCGAGTGCGAAATCCCGATCGCGGAGCACCCGAACTCGAATTGTGCCTATCAACTGTAAAAATGCCTGGGTCTGGAAGATTCTGAGACTTGTCATGCAAGTTTTGCATGAGCCCTGATGCAGATAGTATGTATCAGAGATTTTTTGAGGGCTTCTGGATGCCTATTCCGCATGACAAATGCCCTCTTGCTTCCCGTAGCAAAAGTTACATTCCTTTTGGTACTCATGCAATACAGATTTTTTTGGAATCCAACTGCAGCATCACAAGTTGCATCCTTCCAGACCCAGACATTTTTACATGTGATAGTGCCGTGTCCATGACAATCTACCAGCAGCGGGTGAAGAAGGAGCTCGCGATATCATGTGTAAAAACGTCCCCACCCCAGAGTTGTAATGCAAATCTGCATGCTGAGAATGTTTCTCATGCGGAGACCCATGAGAAGCAGTCTCTAGTCGTGTTGTGGGATTTGTGATGCTAGAATCAGCATGATATGCTAGAACTGTGATGCTGCTGAACAAGCTAAACAGGATTACACTGCGAGGCCAAACTTGTCATGCGCAACAGCAAAAGCTGACAGATTTGTCTAGCAGATTTCCCAGCTTGGCTCTGGTGTGGGGACGTTTTTACTCAGGATGCGCGAAGTTCACAAATAACGACGAAAACTTGCTGTATGAGAATGAAAAATCCCCCCTCCCCATATCAAAACGAAGTTTCTGATGCTGGATTTGCGTACACAAATCTGATTTGTGTTGCAGAAAGGCATGGCGGCCAGATCCGCAGGCTAGCTGGGGGCGTATGGGTCTAGTTGCTCAGCATGGCAAACGGCCTCCCTTTAGGCCCAACGGCATGACAAACCGCCTCCATAATATGGCGGAAGCTTCTGCCCTTGTCTTCTTGCAAGACAGATGTGATTTGTGACCTCAAATCAGCAACACAAATTTCCGGAGCCATACCTTTTCAATATGGGGAGGGGGGATTTTTCCACGCGATATGCTGAACCTGCTGCCCAGCAGAAACTTGATCAACCTGGCCCTGGCTGGGGAAGGCAGTCCAGCAACCGAAGCTGCGGAACCACCAGACGAGGAACGAAGTAAAACTGAGGTTGCCACCGACAACGCGCTAGCGCATCTACTGCGGTCTGCGGCGAAAGCGAACCACGTGGAGGTGGGGAGACTGCTATATTACAATGAAAAATGCTCCCACCGCAGAATTCGCAAAAGTGTCTCATGCAAAGTCTCCAAATGAAAGCTTTTCGTCTTGCATGAAAGGACTAAGACGAGCCTTTCTGATGCACAATCTAGCTGCGCAAGGTGTCTTTTGCAAGGCAGACCCGGCTGCTGTTGGGCTCCTTTGCAACACGAATTTGAGCTATTCAGCATGGAAAATCTGTGATGCTGACATATGCAAGACGGGGAATGTTTCCATTGGAAAGGTTAGCATCTACAAATGCTGCCAAGTTCTGGGGTGGGACATTTTTCACTGTAGTATGCTACTGGACTGCTTTTCGTTTTCATCATCGAACACAAGTGCGAAGAGCCGCAGAATACAGAGCGACGATGAAATATCCTAGGAAAAAACGTTGTTAGTGTAAATTTATGATGCGCAACATGCAAGATGATTGCGTCTGTCATGCTTGGCATGCATCGGAGGGCCCATTAAAGGGCGTTCCCACGACGTACTATCTGCGCATGACAGGTTTTTGCTGTCATGCCAGACAAATTTGCAATGCTGGTCCTCCAAAAAAGTTACACCTACAATGTTTTTTTCTTGGATATGAAAAAACAGACCTCTCGACGTCTGAGATGGAGCAAAACAACAACGTCACCCAACATCATACAGAAAGCAACAAAACACTGGACAAGATGCTGGGGAAAGACGCCAACAGCCGCGATTTGGTGGTTGAAGTGGGGCACACGCAGCTTTCCGCTTTCCCGCTGCTTATTGCCGCGAAGGAAGGCAACTGCGGATTCTGCCGGATGCTGCTACACTTCCGCGCGGATGTGAACCAAAAGGACCAGAACGGGCGGACCGCACTGATGATGGCGATTTGTTACAAAAGGAAGAATGTCGTCGAAATGTTTCTTCGGGATAGTAGTAGGAGTGTTGACCACCAACTCGTCCCCGAGGCCTCCCGCGCTGCTGGTGGGAGACTACGAGAGAACTCACTTCAAACCCAGGTTGATGAAGAAAACCTGCGACTACAGCAATCCCTGCAACTCAACGCAGGAGCCCAGAGATCTGGGGCGCCAGGGCTCAGCAAGTTTCAAGTAGAGCAATTAAAGGGGCCGAGTCATTTCGATGCCCGCTTGCACTTTCCTGCAATAGATGAAGCGCGCGAAAAATTGAAAGAAAAGAGCAACGAAAACCACTAGAATAGCCGCATGAGATAGATAGAAGCAGCCTTGTAGGATGTGTTTAGATTTTATTGGCTTGGTAAATTTCGAACGAATTCCGAAACGCCTTAGGCGGGATATGTCAGCACTGTGGCAGCATGTGGCTGAATATGGTCAAGCCGTCTCGGAATTGATCGAAAAGCCGCCAGAGAATTTGAAGCACGGCAAGAAATAGAGATAAGCGAACAAGGCAGCTACGCGAGCGAGTTGGCCACAGTCACAAAGTAGAAGCCGCGAAACCCAGGCAAAGGCATCGGACCAAATCGCTAGAATCGCTCACAGTATCGATTTAGCTGGATTAGGTCGAGCAGTTTGCTGAATTTCGAGCGCCAGGAATTTTGCAAACCACACGAAGCGAATCGCAGTAGCCCAGTAGTCTTGAACGATTAAGATCACGACATAGGCGGGATGTTTGGATCGGTAAAATCCCCAATCCTACTAATGTCGTGGATCCAAATCGTGCAAGGAGAAGGACTCATAAGGATCATAGGCCTACGAAATAGGTAGGAAGATCATTCAAAGTACTTCAAAAGCCTCAATGACACCACTCACATGAACACTTGAACACATTAGACAGGGCCAAGATGGCTATTTGTTACCGAATAGAAGCTAGCAACTCACGTCATGCCATCGTAGATAGACACACTCCACTCATGGAGATTAGATTTGGGATACGCCCTGTGTTCACTCCAACTGGATCCAACTTACCACTGCCAGACAGGATTGGGACTATTTCCCAACACACTTCAAACCCAGGTTGATGAAGAAAGCCTGCGACTACAGCAATCCCTGCAACTCAACGCCACCACCGACTTCGGGTATAACGTCCTCCATTACGCGTGTCTCGCCTTCGAGCCGGACATTGTCTATCTACTGTTGCAAGCTGGAAAACAATTAGAACAGCGTGACAATCTGGCCTTCTCCTTTCCGGTATCGAATGTAAAAGTGTCTGGGTCTGGTTCTGGAAGAGTGCATGTTTGTCATGCTTGTCTGGCATGACTCTCAAATCTGTCATGCACGTTACCAAAGAGCGCCATTTTTTTGTGATGAAACGCAGTTTGTCATGCAGAATAGGAAACACCTAGAAGCTCAGACACTTGTCATGCTGACCCAGCACTTGTGGCCTCCTCATGATACGCCACCCAGCATCACAAGTTTCCAGACCCAGACACTTTTGCATTTGATATCCGGCGTTTGTGAACCACCGGGAGCGGTCTCGACAGCGGACGCCCTTGCTCGAATCCTGCGCGTTGCTTTCCCGGGTATCGCCTGCAACGGAAAGCCAGAGCGTGATCAGAAATTTGCTAGCCAGGACAGAACACCAACACGGAGCGGCAACGGCGAATGATTATCCACATGTTCTTGCACACGGTACCGGAACCGCGTCCAGTTCCTCGGATTCAGAAACTACAGCCAGTGCCGCCGGCGGAGCTGCTGAACAGTCGAACCGAAGCAGCCGGAAACTGGAGTCCCTGATTATTACAGTGAAAAATGCCCGCACCCCCAAAGAGACAACAATTTGTGATGCGAAGTTTCCAAATGAACACTTTTTGTCATGCATGAAAGGAGTACAAATCTTTCTGATGCACATTCTAGGCGTGTATAGCATCGCTCGCATGACAAGCGCCACCCTTGCTGGGATCTTCTGCAATAGAGGTTTTTGCTATAATTCACGATGGAAAATCTGTGATGCTGATAGATGCAAAGGGGCGAAGGTTTCACTTGAAAAGGTTTGCAATACAAATGCTCCCAAGTTCTGGGGTGGGGGCGTTTTTCATTGTAATACTGATTGGCGATGAATGCGTCTATGACCGGTCGTGGACGCGGCTCGAGCTGGACTCCAGTCGCGACTTTCAGTTGAAGAAGATCGTGGCGCACTTACTTCTCGCGAAGGCGGATGTGTTGGCCCCTCAAAGCGGGGGGATTTCGACGTTCGCGGAGCACGGAACGCAGCAGGACGCGCTTTCCATCGTGTTGCTAGAGAAGAAAAGGTGGGATTTTTACCAGTGATATGAAATGTAAAAATGTCTGGGTCTGAAAGATTCTGAGATTTTTCATGCACGTTTTGCATGACCCAGGATGTCTATAATGCACGACCGCGCATCACAGATTTTGAGAGGGCTTCCTGATGCCTACTCCGCATGACAAACACCCTCCCCGCGTAGCACAAACTAGACTCCTCGTGCTGGTCATGCAATACAGATTTTTCTAGAGTCCAAAGTTAGCATCACAAGTTCCAATCTTCCAGACCCAGACATTTTTGCATTTGATAAATGGATGAAGGAGTTTCTCTTGCAGAGGACTCTGCAAAGCCGCAAGAGTGACATAAGGAAGCAAGAGCAGCATCTGGCGGATTCGGCAGCGGTAGCAGACGAAATAGGTCGCGGGAGTTGTTCCTCCTCGTCAACTGCTGCTTCTGCTTGCACCGGGACAGCTAGAGCAGGTCGTGGTATGAAAAACAGCAGTGCTGAATCGAGTTCATCCGCCTCTTCGGCCACAGGCGAGACCAGTCTTCACATGTCAGCTGGCACAGCACCCTCTCCACGGTCATCACCTCCAACGCGAGCAGATCATGTCGGGCAACAAGAAGAGGGGCCATCAAAACAGCAGGCGGTTCTTCACACAGTAGAGACCACACGGGTCGAAAATCGGCTTCTCGAGGTCGAGGAAATCTATGCGAGGATGATAGCAGACGGATAGGCGTAGGTCGCAGAAGTAGTAAGTAGACAGAGGCGAGGTATTTTGATATGAAATGGTACTAGCACGTGGTTCTTGTTCATGCAACCGGATGGATTCTGCAAAAGAAGTACGAGCATAGTTTGAACGAGAAACAACAAGATCATCGGAAAACAAAATGAACAGAATGGAAAATGAAGGTGCCATATAAAGTAATTCTGTTTGATGACCGGGTTATGGAAGGTATTGTTTGTGAGCGCGAGGACGTGTTTTCACTTTTTTGATTGTTCCTGTCATCTTGATCAGCCCGCACAAAGAGAAGTAGTTCATCGTTGTCCACTAGCCGTGGTGTTGTAGAAGAATTTCTTCACTTTGTTCTGATTCCGCTGGCTCGGTTGTCTACTTATACTTTTCGGCTCAAATACAATAGCGCCTGTGCTGGCCAAAGTTCTTGAGTCTTCACATTTTTTTTTGTTTAAAATGCTCGGTCGTGAAGATGTTGCGACCTCTTGTAAGCGTTCTTGTGTTGAACATCAAGGTGATGAATTGTAGTTCGATCAGGAAGAAGATCTAGATCTTGGCTCATGATGAACATGCGATTGCATAAAAAAAAGAATCTGGTTTCTGAATTAATGCACGAAGGAAGAAGGGAGGCGACTCTCCTTCTGCTAAAAATCGAAGAATAAGAGGAATATTGTACACCGTTTGAACAATACGAGCCTGCGAGAACGATTCAAAACAAGCAGCAACCAGTTATTTTTGAGTGGCCTTCTTCATCGTCACACTCTCGCACAGCTAAGTATTTAGCAACGTTATGTTTATTTGCCACCTGTTCATCTTGCCGCCACAGGAGCTGCAATGGCCTGTCGGCTGCACTGGATTTCTTTCGGACGAAGCAACAGCACCGGCAGCAGACGCTGCAGTCCATGTCCACCCGACGCGGTTGTTCTCCGCCGATCCTGCGCCCTCAGAAGTCCGGTGTCATCTCTCGTCCTCTCCAGCCCGAGTACTTGTGCACGACCGTATTTCCACCTCGGAGTGAATAGCGGGGACGAAGCAGCGCCGCTTTTTGATGCCTTGTGGACTCGACGTACGTTGTATACGGGAAATAAACCAAAATGTAACCTTTTGTACCGCAGCACGAAGACGAGAATGATCTCGGTTCTTGCGTCGGTTGTGACAACTGCAGAGCGACTACATAGGTCTCCAGCGGCGCGGGTGGAGCTGCATCCGTGGGAAACTTTGGAAACGCGGTTGCTTCTCTGCATCAAAGAAACGGAAGAAGAATTTGAATTGCAGAATCAGCAAGATCATCAGAAACTACATCATGCTACTAGTGTCAGCTTCGAAAAGTTGCTGAAACACCAGGCGGAGAAGATATTCCGGGCCACACGACCAGGACCACGCGCAACACCAATTGAACCTCCAAATGAAACTACTACTTCTAGCGGTGATTTTGTCTGCTCTGTGAACCATTCACATTTTCACACACCTTCATCAACACCGTTTGATGTCGCGAACGATGATGTCTACTCGAAAACGTCGTTGTTCGATCCGAAAGTTGCCAAGCCTGAGGTTTTGAAGTGGTTGCGACGAGAACCGCCCAGTGCTAGTGGTCTGTCGTCCAGCGCTGGTCGTGGAAGAACTTCCTGCACAGCTACTACTTCTACCGATTCTACTAGTTATTTTCCCGACTACCAGGAGCTGCTGCAGGCGACTTCGGCTTCATCTCGTCCTGCCGCGACCGCCAGCGCTGCAACTCGGATCGCCACCTACACAAGCCTAGTCCAAGAGTTCGACCGGTTTTCCCTCCACCGCGCGCTCGTCACGGCCCTCGCCTGGCGCTGCCGCGAGCGGTTTCAGGTGGCTGCGAGAAGTAGTTTATCCTGAGCAAAAATGTACCCAACCCAGAGTTGTCATGCAGATTTGCAGCTACAGGAAGATTTGTAATGCGCATCCACATGAGAGGCATTTCCAATCGCGTTTTGCGCTTTGTAATGCTGTCGACAGGATGAGTAGACGGATTTGTGTTGCGGCTGTGCTTGCTAAACTGCACTACAATACGGAGACGAACTTGTCATGCTGGACCCCCAAAACTTCTCGATTTGTGTTGCGAGATCCCCAGCTTGACTCTGGTGTGGGGACGTTTTTACATAGGATATAGTTTGGCGGACCGCGCCGGGGGGGAAGCGGAAGTGCAGAGGGTAGTTGGAGCTACAACTACTGCCGGCGCTGGTGCTGGGACACCTGCCTGCGATGTTGAAAAGCAGGTTCTAAATCATCTCGAGGAACAACTGAAACTGTGGCTTGATGTGATTTCCGATGCGACTAAGGCACTGATGTTGGACATTCGGGCCTCCACTGGCGAAGGTCGTTTTTCGGGTGGGAAAGACAAGCTGAGCAGTGCAGCTCCTACTGGCGTGACTGCTGATAGTCCCCCCGGATTTGGGGAGGAGGGAAAGAACCCCCGCGAACATGATCAGCCTGTACTAGTACACAGAGATGTTGTTGTCCTCGGCTCTGAGGTGGACCTTTTGTCGTGTGACGTTTTGCTGATGCGGGCCATTGCATTTGACAAGTTGGGACAGTTCTGTAGGAAGTTTCCACCAGCTTGTTCTCACGACAACAAGAAGATGAATTATACCACGACCAGACGCAACGCGTTGCAGGACCTCGGGTTGCGGGAGCATTTGCTCGCCCAGAAATCATTTTCGCACACGCCCAATGCTGCTACTACTTCATCGTCCACCACGGCGGTGCCTCAAGAACAGTTGCGCACCACGACAGTCAAGCCTTTACACAGGAGCTCCTTTATCACGGCGGGAGAAGCGCAATTATCCAATGGGACGAGAGGAAACGAGAGCGAATGTTGGTCCGGAGTTGCGGCTCCCGCTGCGCATGATCCCGACGAGGCCCACAAGGTTTTGACGGGCACGGATAAAAATTCGGTGCCACTTGGCACGACGGACTTCTTTTACTACAACACCAAGGACAAAATAAATGTTAATACTAGTGGAACAGCAAGCAGAGCCTGTACTAGTTCATCATCTTCCCTAGTCAACACCACGGCGTGGGGAAAAAGCGACACTAGAACGTATCCTGAGCAAAAACGTTCCCACCCCATAGTCAATTTGGGAAATCTGCTACACAAATCAGCCCGCTTTGGCTGCTTCGCAAGACAAGTTTGGCCTCGTAGTGTAATCCTGTTTACTAGCTTGTTCAGCAGCAGCACAGATCTAGCATATAATGCTGAATGGAGCATGACAAATTCCAAAACGCGACTAGAAAATGCCGCTCATGGGGCTCCGCATGGGAAACATTTTCAGCGTGCAGACTTGCATTACAGCTATGGGATGGGGGCGTTTTTACATAGGATAGAGCGGCGTCCAAACTGCACCGCTTTCTGGATTGCCGCGGTCGGCATGACAAGCACGATGCAGCGGACTACAAGCGGGGAAGAAACCATTTCCTCGCCAGATGTCCTCGCGCAATGGGGCGTGAAGTTCAGCGGCGCCTACTGTAAGGAAAAATCCCCCCTCCCCATATTGAAAACGTATCTTCTGAAAATTTGTGATGCAGATTTGTGACCACAAATCCTGACTGTCTTGCGAGAAGGCAAATCCAGGCTCTCCGCCACTCTATGGAGGCGATTTGTAATGCTGTAAGGACTACAGGACAGCCGTCTACCATGCTAGGCACCTACACCAAAAGGGACCTATCTAGGCTGGCGATCTGCGTGCAGTCCTCTACAGCAAGACAAGTCTGATTTGTGTACGCAAATCCAGTGCCACAGATTTCCTTTGCGATATGGGGAGGGGGGATTTTTCCTTTTGATAGCGCCTGATGAGACTTCCGGACGGGAAAGATTTGCATGTTGGTCATCGATGGGTGGAGTCGGTGGTGTAGGATGGAAAAGCGCAGCGGAAGGACGTGGAAACTCTTGGTATCCGAGGATGATGAATCACGCACACAGAAACTTCCCCTTTAAGTGTTGTAGCGTTCTAAACCAGACTTTTATTCAGACGGAATTTTTGATGAGTCCGCGACTGCGGCCGCCCGACGCGCTTCTACTTGTTCTCAAAAAGAAGTAGTTCTGGCCGACGTTCGTCGGATTTAAGTAGTCCCCCGACTCGAAATTCGCGTTTCGCTGACACGTCCGCCTGGGTAGTTCTTCGGTACCATATGATAGATCTGGTGGTGGTGCTGTGTCAGGAGGGAAAGAAGCGCTCCACCTGCATCTGGTTGTACACGACCCGGAAATTTATACAATCCTTCCCCAAGAATGTTGTACTAGTTCTAGTTGTACTGAGAACCAGCATTCGGTTCACCTCCTACTTCAGTTGCTTTGTTGAGACGGTTCACCTCCTATTTGCTTTGTTGAGACGTCTACGAAAAGCAGTAGACAAACTACTCTCGTCTTGAGAAATGATCCTTTTTTTAGTAAGTACGAGCACATCTGCTCAAGAGTGAAAAATACTGCCAAAAAAAGATGAAAATAACCAACATGCGCAGCACGTTTTTCCCGTCCTCGTCTTCCTCTTGCTTTCGACTCTGTAGTAGTCTTGCGGCTGGCCGTGGCCAGGGAAAGCCAAACCAGCACTCAGGGAGGTTCGGCACGAAGATTGGATTTGGAGCTGCTGCTAGTACACCCGAGTCCTCGCACGCCGCGCGGACGCAGCAACAAGGTTTTCCTGCTTTTTTCTTCCACGCGAGTTCCAGTCGTGGTCCTCCGGATCAACATGATGTTGGAACACATTTTAAGGCACCACCGGTAGCACGTAGTTGGATTCAAAAAAGGACTTCTTCTACTTGCGATGAATCTACTCGGTCTTCTGTGGGGTCGACACTGCGAAGATGCGGTTTAACGTCCGCACACCTCAATTGCCACAGCCAGGGAATAAACTATAGTAGCGGCGCAAGCAGCGGCGGCATGTGCGAGAACGGCACGACCAGTTTGTTGAAAATACCGGGACGAGTGCGCAGCTTGCGGCTGCTCCGCTCGGACGGCAGAGACGAATCACTGCGCGGTGCGCAGTTCCCCTGGCAGGAGGACCCTGTTGGAGGTCCTTGCGCAGCACTAGCAAGATCTCCGGGTCTACTGCCTTCTATTACGTCGTCGGCTCGTCCTGGACCACGGCCACGGGGAATGGTGTCAGAACAACTTCGGGACAACTCATTTTCTTGTAGGAATAATAAATCGTTGTCCGGGGTCTTGTTAGAACCTCCTTGCGGTCCGACACCATCTGTGACCTCGACAACTCGTTTCTTCAGCACCCGTATGCATTGCAAATATAACCCCTGGATGTCTGGAAGCATGGAAGTTTGTCATGCTTGTCTCTCATGACTCCTAAGTCTGTGATGCATGAGCAGGATCATGAGAGTCTCTTGCCTGTCGTGCAAAAGCGCAGTTTGCCATGCAGAGCTCGCAACACATAGCAGCTGAAGAACTTGCCATGCTTGACTGCGTATTACAGTGTGTCCACCATAATTCCCAAGCCAGCATCACAAGTTTCCAGACATCCAGGGATATTTGCATTTGATAACCCGCAGTCTGCACGGACGGATGTTCTGGCGGCGACGGCTATCAAAAGGAAAAATCACCCCTCCCCATATCAAAACGGAAATCTGTGATGCAGATTTGTGGTCACAAATCAGCTCTGTCATGCTAGAAGGAAAGACATGCGGAGCGTAGTAATGCCTGGCGTCTGAGGGCCTTGCGCCTTCAGCATGACAGGAAGCAATTGGAAGCGGGATGAAACAGCATGACAGATTACCGGCAAGCGAGTAGACTGCAACTGCGTCTCTTGGCCTTCTAGCAATACAACTCGACTTGTGTTCGCAAACACAGCATCGCAAGTCTTCTTTTCGATATGGGAAGGGGGGGATTTTCCCTCACAATAACGGCCCCGAGAGGTACCCATGCGACGGTGGAACTGGCGCAGCAAGTGGCTGGAAGGCCGCCCCCGTATCCGGGGTATTTGCTATCAAATGTAAAAATGTCTGGGTCTGGAAACTTGTGATGCTAAAATGTGCATGACGAAAACACTTCCGAATGCAGTCCGGCACGACAACTTCCCAAAACGCTTCCTCATAGGCAATCCGCATGAGAGCCTGCGTTTTTGCATGGCAAAAGAGGCTGCGACTTTTGTTCGTTATGCAATACAGATTTTCTAGGTATGGAAAGCTAGCATTACAAGTCCCAACCTTCCAGACCCAGACATTTTTACATTTGATATTTGCACCAAAGTGACCATCAAGTCACCCAAGAAACCGTATTGAGAGGAAAAATCCCCCCTCCCCATATCGAGACGCAGTTTCTGATGCTGGATTTCCGTTGTACACAAATGCGCGCTGTCTTGCAGTAAGGCATTGCAGCCAGATCCTCAGCCTAGATAGGGGCGGTTGGGTCTCCTAGTTGTTTAGCACTACAAACGGCTGTCCCCTAGGCCCAACAGCATGCCAAATCGCTTCCGTAGTGGCGCGGCAGCATCTGCGCTTGTCTTCTTGCAAGACAGACGTGATTTGCGGCCTCAAATCACCTGTAAAGCATGCCGCTTCGATATGGGGAGGGGGATTGTTCCTCTCAGTAAACCGAATTCCGGCAACCGGAAAGTCGCCCGCGTATCAAATGCAAAAGTGTCTGGGTCTGGAAGATTGCAACTTGTCATGTTGTCTTTGGAAGGTAAAAAAAATCTCTATTGCATGGCCAGCAAGAGAAGCTCAGTTTGTGCTACGCGGAGTGGGCGTTTCTCATGCGGAATACGCATCAGAAGGCCCTTGAAAAATCTGTGATGCTCGGTCATGCATTACTACAGGCGTCATGGGGTATGCAGAGTATGCATGACAAACCTGGCAATCTTCCAGACCCAGACACTTTTACACTTGATACCGCGTGAAGTTGATCAATGGCAGGACCGTCTTGTGCTACATCCCCGGCATCGGGCACAATTTGCAGACCCATTCTGTGTATGAACTGCAAATTTAATATGTCTGGGTCTGGAAGCATCCATGCAAGTTTGTCATGCTCTTTATCTGGCATGACTCATAATTGAATCTGTAATGTCGATGAGCAGGAAAAGCAAAAGGGCGTCTTGCCTGTCATGCAAAAACGCAGTTTGCCATGCGGGAAACAAAACACAGCAGCAGCGGAAAAATTTGTCATGCTTGGCTGCGTAATATTGCAGTCCGCCCACCAGCAGTCACATTTTGGCATCACAAGTTTCCAGACGTCTAAGGATATTTGCATTTGATACTGTGGTACTTGTACGCGGAAGGCGGACGCGGGATCTGATATCCACGAAAAAAACTGAGTGTAACATTATAGGGTAAGCAGCATCACAAATTATTCGTTTTGCATTTTTTCAGACAAAAGAACCTGTCATGCGCAGCTAGTATTTGAAAACACGTACTATGAAGCTAGTGCTAGCCTATGTATGATGCACATCTAGTATGACCGCAGGTGGTACTATGACCGTCATTGTGTCGTCCGCAACACAAAATTACATTCACATAGTTTTTTTCTTGCATGTCTGATCGGGTGTAACTACAAGCTCGTCCGAGGTGTGTTTGACTTGCTGCCAGTCAAGGACAAGATGCGCAGACGCTCCATCTACGGTGTAAAAAAGCCGCTGAAGCTATCCGGGCTTGGAAGTAACCGTCCCCACGATCATCGTCCTCCCAGAGTTGTCATGCCGGTCTTGCATGTGCAACAGACAGAGCAGTTGTGCTGTCACACGGCTTGTCCCCATGTTGAGAAGCATTTTGTTCTTTGTGGTCATCCTCAACATCGCGTTTCAAGACTTGTCATGCTGCAATGCGGATAGGAACAATTGTCATGCTGCATGCCGCAACGGACTCTCTGACGATGCGGCCATGTTTTTATATCGCCAAGGACGACTTTGCTGGCTGCCGAAGTGAGGAAAATGCACAATGCACAATGCAGATAGCGGTGGCATTGAATGCATCCGCTATGCGCATTGTGCATGGCAGTAGCCCGTAGCGGGTTGTTGACTCCTGGGGGGTGAGGCGGGGCTGCAGAATTTTATCGCACGAAAAAAGTGTTTACATTTTTTACACAGTTGTTGTCAACTCAGCAACACAAATTTCTCTGCATGAGAGAGAAAACTCTCAATGCAGAAATCCTACGGGTAAATAAACACCTCCGAAAGGAGGCTCCTACGCATATCCGGCATGACAGTGCTAGTCTGTCTTGCTTGGCCTGCAACACAATGTGTAAGCGTAACACTTTTATTTTCTCAGGATAAAGTTTCCAACGGGGATAATAGCCGAACAAGTGGGCGAATACGCCGGAGCGCCCCTGGAAGAGGGTTTACACGGACGAAATGCGATATGGATGTTTCAGGATCGAAATCGACAAAGTTGCAATGATTTGCCATGCATAAAATGCAGCCCACAAAATGCCTGTCTTGCAGAGTAGGCAACAAGTGAGGCAGATCGTAAGCCTGTTGAAGGGTACTAGAAACTGAGCTGCTAAAAAAGTAGCATCACAAAAGGCGTATTCCTTACCCAAACAGCATGACAAACTGGTTTTCGGTTCTACCCAAATTTATCACGCACCACTTGGAAACTGGGTTGCAGCTGGCATCCATTTTATGCATGACAACTTTGTCGATTTCGGTCCTGGCAGTTCCATATGCGGCGGCGATACTTTTTCCGTACCGGCGTCGACATCCCAGCGGGCGAGCCGGTGCCGCACTATGAGAGTGCACAACCCCCCTTCCCCTCATTTGTATCGCATGAGCAGCAATAGAAACACCACCACATTATGTGGAGCCTGTGCATGATCGAGTAGTACTGTTTGGGATTGTTGTTCCGGAATCTGTCATGCATAATTCGTGATACAAGGAAGCAAGAGCAACTGGATTTGGGATTTTGCATGAGAAATGAGAACGAGAGGGAGCAGTTGTGCACTCTCATACGCACATCCCCCTGAACCGAAAATTTCCGCCCTTCCCGATAAAGGGCTTTGGCAGGAGGGGCAAAGCGGCATGATTTTTACGATGTTTGGCCATTACTCATATGAATATCGTCTGCGCTTTGATTCACTCTCAACATGAGGCACCAACTACGTTGCTCATCTTTATTCAGGTTGTAATTCTACCTTTGTTACCTCGTTGTGTGTGGACACAGCTTGTGGCATCTTCGTTCTCCTTCGAATATAGAGACAAGCAGGACTGCGACCAAGCTCTACAACTGGAAAAGAAAACTACACTTTTGTCCTTCAGGTTCACATGTTTCAGCCACGTGTTGAGGCAGAACGCAAGAACATAGAACGCAAACAATCTTGCAGATGTCCTCGGACTACTTACTTTTGACAGGTGTCCGAAGGAAGTCCGAACCCGAAGTCTAGTAAGAAAGTGTTTGAAAGAGATAAGAAGTACTTCTTCTCGGTCTATTATTTCTCCGAAGATTTATTTTATGTCGGTTTTGAATACAGTCTATTCGTACAAAGACAGACAAATTGAGCTTGGGTATCATGACAGACGCTATTTCCAGCTTTTCGCTGTCGGTCCTCTGCTCGTGAAATAAACGCGAGATGCAGTATTTGCAACTGCCAGTACACAGGTCGTCGAGGACTGCTTTTCTGTTATTCTCTCGGTTTTTTTTTCCTCGCACAAGGCAGACGGCAGAGACGAGGCCTCGGTAGAAGAAATTGCGGGCTGCTAGTTATGGGCAGTCGGAGGTAGTGGTCCTTCGCTTTTTGCTACTTTTTCCCGATAGACATAGTACGAACGTATAGGAAAAATGATCGCACGGTGGTCTGATCAACGCAGGAGGAACTACCAGCATTCGACAGCTGTTTCTCATCCTCGCCGGTTCATCTTTTCGAATTTATCCTCGAATCACAAGAAATTTACTTTTTGACAACTTTTCACTATAGAATCTAAAAACTATCACACACATCAATCGAAAAGAACTAATTCCTGCAAGAATTGCTGCACGACCCCGCTGCTCTGAAGCTTTGCTCTGATCATTTCAAAAGGCCAGTTTATTTCTTCCTTGGTCTACTTGTGATCCGAGAGTTCTTCAGCTGGAGGAGTTTAATTGGCACTTTGAAGAACTACAGCCTGTGTAACAAGCACACACACTTACATCACACAGCCAGAACCGGGACCGTCGTCGCGTTTCCTGACAATCATGCTGTTAATCCCGGGGCGAGGGACGCGGAACATCAAGGCGGCTTGCTGTCTACTGCTCTACTTTGGAGCCTATCCTGAGTAAAAAAACCGTAAGTAGTACCCGTCCGCGCAGGTGTTATCTTTTCTCACAAAATTTGATCCAAATTTTGGCGCAGGAGAAATTTGTAGATACACGAACAGGGCGGGAGTTATGTTTGAAAGGTTGAAAAGATTAAATGCTCTGTGCTTTCTTGATTTGGATCTTTTCCAGGAGAAAAACATTGTTTTTCCAGAAGCTGCGGGTACATTGTTTTTACACAGGATATAATTACGATTGGCGCGCCCGCTGCTGTTGAAGCTGTCGCATGGAAGTTCCTGGCTGCGCGGATGAACGACACCACGTCAGTTGGGATTGACGCGGAAGCTGTTGTACCGAGCTCAGCGGTCATCCCCTTCCGGGGCGGCGGGGGTGGATTTTCATTTTTCGAATTTTCCTCGACGGCGCAGGTCGTCAAGGATGTCCCACCTGCTGCTGCTCGACTTGCGTCGGACTTGGGAACGAATCTGAACAACGCAAGGCTGTCCCACCTGCAGTTGCTTACGAATCTGAACAACGAGCTTGCTGTCCAGTTCGGGAAGTTACAAAACATGTTTCGAAACGAAAACGAACGGAAGAAGCTGTTTCCGTGGTGGACCTCGACCGGCGCAGAGGTCGTGAGACATCACACAGAAGAACGTTCGACCTCCGCTACCGGGAGCGGGAGACAGGGTGGTGAGCTCACGCACGCACAGTTGTTGCTGGAAAAAATGAAACCGAAGCTCGTTGTGCAGGACTGGGGGGGGGTCTCTCAAAGCACGGTGAATGGAGAGACGGTCCCGACGAATGAACCAGAGCCTGGAGAGACCGTGGATCTGGAGACCTTTGATGGTGGATATGACCTCGTGCCGCGCCCGCAAGCTATCACACAGGAAAAAAGTAGCATATCAGACCGCATGAGCAATTTAATATGTAGTGAGGTCACCGAACGGTTCTAACCAGGTAGTTTTTTTGACAGCCAGACAGCAAAACGGCCGTCAGTTTTCAAGCGGCCGGAAGCGTTTTTTGACATAAAAAATTTCCAATTATCAAGCGGGCGGGGCTTTGAAGTCAAACAAGCCCGGTCGAAAACTATCGATTCGCACTTGATAAAACGACGCAGGGGAGCCGGCAAAAGGGGCGCCCTTCTGAGGCGCCCACCGCCTTGGTTTCTGGCGGTTTGGGCCGCCAAAAAAGGGGCGCGGAAAAAACTCGCCCAAAATCAGAACAGCGAAACAGCATGGCACGGCCGCGATTTCGGAGCATTTTGGGCGGCCGCGAAAGCGGCCGCCTTTTCGCCGGTTTCAGAGCCTGGGAAGCTTTACAAAAAGCGCCGGAGGGAAAGATAAAAACGCGAAAAAGAAAAAGCGCCCCGGACGCGCAAAGCCAATCCGCATGCTATGGGCCCGATTTTTCTTCGCTTTTTGGGCGCCCCCCGTGGCGCCCGGATCGGCTCCATAGCATGGGGGCTAGCTTTCGGAAAGGAATTTCGGAGATTTGCCAAAAGCTGCGACGTTTATCGAGCGGCCGCCATACCGTGCGGCCTAACGTTACTCACGGCGGTATGGCGAGCCCAGAAAAAGCAAGGCCGCGGCCAAGGCGATGGCCGGCAAGAAAACGCCCACGACCCCACTACCTCCGCCCCGGCGGCTATATTTGGTATAGTGGTACTTTATACACTTACACATTTAGATTTATTCTACAGTTAGAGTGACAGACAGCACACGTACAAGTACTTGTCTTGGGCCGTGTTGTTTGGCTTTATAATCATATGCGAGAGGGAGAGAGCTCATTTTTTGTGTACTGGTGGGTCCTATGCTAGCTTTTTCGTTTTTCTCGGGGATGTCAAGCACGACGGCGGGTTCTGGGAGTTATGGCAAGGTTTCGTTCTACAAGAACAAGCGAACAGGCCGTGAGTACGCCATGAAATGCCAAAGCGTGCCATTCCGTGATGCCTCGGAAAAGAAAGTTGAAGACTGGGCTTCCGAAATTTTTGTGCACACTTTCCTGACGCAGTTCGAAATAGCACGTATGCCCGATGTTTTCGATTGGGAAAGACAAGACGCACCACCGGCCGACATTGACGTCGGTGCGGGACCAAGACAAGTATCAAAGAGAAAAAGATTGTCGGTGTAACTTTCTTGGAGGACCAGCACTACATACAAATCTGTCTGGCATGAAAGCAAGATGAACTTGTCTTGCGCAGATAGTACCTGAAAACGCGCTTGAGTGGAAGTGGATCCTGCAATGCGTGCCCCGCATGACAGACGCAATCACCTTGCATGTTGTGCATCACAAAGTCACACTGACAATGTTTGTTATATTCGATAACGAGCAGCGGCAATCAATCACTGCGTGCCTCACCTGAAATTTGTCCTTCTTGGCCGCTTGCCTAGCGGAGGGAATATTCACTGCAAATATGATGTCTGAGAAGTCGGAAGGAGTGCAATTTGTGATGATGCCTGCTGTGGATCCTGAAAATATTTTTGTTGCATGCGCGTCAAGAGGAGTCCGGTGTTTGGCACGCGGAGACGAAGGTATAATTTCGCATGCGTTAAGAGCATCAAAAAGTTCTCAAAAAATGAATATTGTGAATATCGTCTTTAGATGTTGTTCGCAGTGTCGGAGAGATTTGATTGATACGAGAGATTCGGAGAGTACGAGGGGAAATAAAACTCGGACAAAGTTTTTGTGATTGCAAAATGCACAAATCGGACTTTGGTTTATGTTTCTATTTTCATGAGTGCTCGCATTACAAATTCATTCTTTTCTTGTTTTGATTGTTTTGCTTTTCACATCACAAACATCAATGAACCCTGCTTCACCCAAACTCTCTTGCGCGTGTGTAACTTTGTATTCGTGGCTCAAGCCACTATACGTTGTAAGACATTGTGTTGACAAGTCCAACGAAGATAAATCAAATGAAACTCACGCTTCTCTGCTGAAACCTTCGCCACGGGAATTTGTTCTTCCACGACCGGAATCTCGAGTGAACGATCACCAATTTCTTCGACAAGATCGATTAAAAAGAGATCTCGGAGTCGCTAAAAGACAGTGGTAGCGGAAGTACGAGGCTTCGTACTTGTACCACAAGCGGTCTTCCACTTCGAGTACCGAGCCCAACGAGAAAAACTCCGAAGCGACCGAGATCATGGTGACGTCTTCCGACGAATCCATGAACGGAGGTTCGCCTGCCGACCAGGCGATGCTGGCAAGCGAACCTGGATCCGCCCCGGCAGCGAGCAGCCCGGGACCGGCGAATGAAGATGAAAATTCTGCTTCTGGAAGTTCGTCTTCTGCGGTTTCCCACACGTCGTGGCAGATGGTGCGGGTGCAGAACATCCCGCCGCCACCGCCGGGAATCCCGCCGGAAATCCGGAACAACAATTCGAAAGGTAAAAACTACCAGTGGCAACCTAACGCACAGCAGGGACTGCGCGCACAGAAGCGGTCTCGCACCGACGAGCAGCTGACGCCGTACCAGCAACACCACCAGGTGGGAAAACACGGCAAGGGCAACGCGCAGTACCAGAACAAAGGAAAATCTGGATACACTGACCGCGAATTAATCGAGGCCACTGGAACCGTGATGAAGGGTCGGACCAACATGCTGGCTGGCGCCGCGATGCAGCAGCAGGGTGAAATCGACCAAATCATCGATGCGGGTACGCAGCTGAATCATCAGCAGCAGCAGCAGGGTAGTACGATTAACAACATCATCTCCGCCGGGACCGATCTGAACCAACGTCAGAGTGAGATGGAAAAGGTCACGGAAATGATCGCTGCGATGCAGAAGAAACAGGAGGAAACTATCGCCGCGAACAACCAGAACCTGCTGCGGGACGGGTCTACCATCTCTGTTGCTTTCCAAAAAGTTCACGACGGTTTCAGCGAGATGAGTGAGAAGTTCAAGGATCAGCTCGAAAATCAGCAGAACAGCTTGACGAAAACTTTCAACGAGCTGGAGCTCCGTGTCGCGACCGAGGTCGGAAACATGCGGCAAGAACAACGCCTGTTCCGCGAGTCCATCGGAAAAGAAGTGTCCGACATAAAAGAGAAAGCTGCTGAGCAATCCGAAAATCTCCTAAGTAAAACGAACATCGTGGAAGGAAGGCCAGTCGATGAGGAAGTTGTGACCATGGAAGAGCTGCAGGAAATCCACCTTGATTTCAAGAAACAGTTGCGGCAAGAACTGGATGAAGAAATGCAGAAGAAGATCGCTGGCATCGAAAACGAGGCCAAGATCGCGAGGAAGTTTGCTGAGGACAAACTGAAGGAGCAAATCAGAGAAAGCCGCTCTAGCAACAATCTGCACCGCATTGAAGAGGAAAACCATTGGGAATCCAGTGAAGCAGCCGAGTACCTGAATGAGATGGTGGATAAAATCAGGAACATCGACAACCGCCTGAGCGGCACCCAGAATGGTTTCAAAAACAAGAATCCCGAAGGCTTTGAGAAAGCTTCGGCGAGAAAGGACGCCGAGCGGCTGATGCCGAAAATGGTCAAGGCGGGTCTGCTCGGGGAGAAGCGTGACAAGAACGGAATTATCTACAACAGTGGGTATTCCAACGTGGATCCCGCAGTGCTGATCAACAAGACAAGCACGAGCAGACGTGGTTCTCGCGAAACCGAGCAGGATCTGCCGCACTTCGTGACTGGCGCAAACCGCATTCCCGTGAACACCACTAGCACCAAACTAGTCAGTGAAAATCTGATCAAGCTGGAACAGTCTGGTGAAGCCAACCCTTTCCTCGACCGCAAATTCGGAATCAGTTTTGGTGACGATGATGACGGTGATGATGATAAGAAAAACTACAACAACCACCGCGGAAATAACAACGGCCGCCGAATCGGAGGCGGAGGACCGGGTGGTGGTCCGAGTGAGGGATCCGGAAACGGGAATGGCCGCGGTGGCGGAGGCCACGGAGGCGGCGATGGTGATCACGGAGGGTCGCATGGCTCCAATCCCGGAGGAGGCGGTGGTTCGTGGAACTCCCGCGGTTCTGGCTGGGGTGATCCGTCTGGAGGCAGCCCATCCGGAGGTGGAGGTGGTGGACCGGGTGATGATGACTTCCGCGGAATCATGGAGAACGACAAGTTTCGTTTCACCCGGATGCAATTTGAATCCGATTATTGCATTGAAAACGGAATCCGCCTGGACCTCGGAGAAGCAGCTCCAGCCCATTACGTCCTGATCATGAAGGACCGCATGGTTGACTTCCCGCCCCCGACGATTGAGAGTCATTCCAATCTCTTTTCCTGGTTTCGCGCCATGGAGTCGTACTTGAAGAAGTTGACGAAGGAATCCGATGGCGTGCGGAAACTCTTTCCCTTCGAGTACGAATCCCAGTTCATCGAGGAGCTCATCTACAAGCTCGATGATGAAGCGCGGAAGGCATCGAAGTTCGCGAGATGCATGAAGGAGGGGATGAAAGCGAATCTCCGCCGGTGGAAGATGAACCGGAGCAAGCGGGAGACGCTGACCTTCCGAAACTTGATCGAGGTGATGTACTCCAAGTACAAGGCCGGCTTCATCAAGGGGAAGGAGGAAAACGACCGATTCTACAACTTCACCATGAAGAAGGATGAATCGGCGAGAGAATGCCTCCAGCGCTACTTCCAGGCGGCGGACGATGTGGGTGTGAGTTTGACCATGACGACCGCGATGGAACGGAAACACACCTGGCAGCAGTTCCAGCGGCGGGTCGGGAAGTTCTGGCCGCGGAAAATCACGTCGGATTTTATGTTCGATAAGGAGTACCGCACCCCGCATGTTCCCCACCTGGAAATCCTCCTCAACTACCTGGAGCACAAGGAAGAGGTGGATGTGTTGCACTATCAAGCAGACAACACGGTGGAAAAGGAGCTTGGTCTAGGGGACGCCGCGTTTCCGAACCAGGAGGGTGAGCCATCCGAGGGAGGATCTGACGATGACGACGATGAGGATGGTGACGAGGCCTACGCAGCGAAAGCTGGTGGTGACAAGAACGGCTTCCGCTTTGACCCCACCAAACAGGATGGAAAATGGCCGACCAACTACAAGAAGTCGGGCAAGTCCTGGGGTAGCGGCAAAGGCAACTCCAATAAGAACGGCCAGGGGATGACCAGAAAGCGTTTCGGAAAAACCGGAATGAGGGCGATCCGCTGCAGAAACTGCCTCTCCACCAAACATCGAGCCGAGGATTGCGAATACGACACGAAGGTGTTTTCGACCTGCTTCTCGAAGACGCACATGAGCAAAGACTGTCGCTTTGGTGCGAAGGATGGAATCGCGAAGGTCATGGCCAGCAAGGAGTTCAAGTCCCAGGGGCATGCGGAAAAGGCAGCGATGATCTTGGAGGAATTAGCCAAGATGGGCGAAGACATCGATACGGTGCTGCTGGTGTGTGTAAACAAAAGCGACGAAGAACGCAGTTTCGTTTTGAACGAAGACGCAGCCAGCCGTGAAAAGGAGACGTGCTTGTGCAACTGCGAGGTCTTTGCGATGGGACACGATGATGATGGGGAAACCTGCTTCCCGGCGAAAGAGGGTTTCTAGGCTGGGCCCGGAACCCTGGAGAAAACTCGACGAACGAATCAAAATTTACCAGTAGTTCGCAGCTGCGCGAGGAGAAGCAGACTACGAACAAATTTTGTATCGACAATTTTGCACAGACGGTTTTAAAACGAGCATCTTTCGCTGCCAGTACTGAAGAACCTGTCCAGTTCGAGATCATTGCGGACGGCAGGGAAATTTTGGAACAAGCTACCAATCCCGACGTTATTCGAGCACGAGAACTATCCGAATTTCCACAACTTTCCATAGCCGACACGGCCATAATTTCGAACGAGAGCTCCTCCATCATGAAAGAAGAAGAAAGCGCGTTGTTCACCACAGAGGTGGACACTGCTCAGGTGGACAACGGCTACAACAAGCGTAGTTACATCACCGAGAAAACAGCAGACCACAGCGAGACCAAGGCCGAGAAACACGGTCTGGCAGTGCCACGAGTCAAGTGCGGACAGTCGGCGGAGGGAATAGGGGGCTCAAAGAAGCGAATCCTCCGGCGAGTCGTGATTCCGTACAAACTCGTTTCCGTCGACGACGAGACGTACTGCTTGGGTTTTGAAAACAGTACCGTGACCGACCATGGTCCAAATCTCGCTGGTTTAGAATTGCAAATCAAGTGCTTCCTTTCACAAAGGTGTATCCCCGGAAAACCGGAAGCCATCGTCGGCCACGATGGAAAAATCATAGTAAACTTCGAAGGAAAAAACCAGATCTACATGAAGATTTTCAACTTGAACGAGCGTGATTATGACCTGTTGCGGGAAGTACAGAAACGAGTACCGCAGGAGGATTGGTGTCGCCCGATCTTCGGAACGAAGATTAAATTGAAACCGGGCGAGACCACCACTTTTGATTTTGATCCGATGCCGCTTCAGCACTACGAGAAGTTAGCCAAGCGGAGTGCCGTCCTCCAGGAAGCAGCGGGAGCAAACGAGGAAGAAATCGTCCATCGAGCGGTAGAAAGCAACAACGACTTCGAGGAAGAATTCGCCTTTTCCGCAGCACAACTTGGCCGAGAAAAACTCCGTGCCGTTGAGAACACTGAAGCTGAAGACGAAAAGTTGGAGCTTCCCACACTCGTGAATCTCCGGGATCACGGGTGCTCGTGGACAAACCGCACTTCCATCAAGGAGTGGGAAAATCGAGACCCGCGGCACTGCTACATCGGAAGAGGATCGCCTTTCGGAAACAAGTTCGTGGTTGGAATCGATGGGAACAGGCGAGAAGTCTGTGAAAAATACCGGAAATGGCTCTACGAGTCAGGAATGATCGCAGAAGCGCGACTAGTACTTCCGGGAAAAATCCTTGGCTGTTGGTGTTGGCCGAAGGAATGTCACGGACAAGTGATCATCGACGAAATGCAGCCCGAGCAAGCTGGACCAACCCAGCACGGTGGCGGCTCTAGTAGCTCTGTCCCTCCTCCGTTTCGTCTTGGCGACAACGCAGAGGATGATGGCATGTGGAACGTGTCGGTGGAGGAAATCCGTAGACCAGGAGATGTTGGCGGCTACGGTGTCTACCGAGTCCTCGACTACGGACAGGACAAGGTTCCCGAGACGCCTGAATTTCTACGAGAACGGGTGCGGCTGCGACGCGTAATCGACGTAAAGAAACAGGAACGCGTGGTTGATGATCTCCGAGGGGACTGGACCAAGCAAAGCTTCCTTGATAGCAGACCAGCAATACCCCAAGGGCGAGAGCGGTATGTCACCACGGATTTTTATTTCCACATTGCGGACGATGCCGCAACAAGGCGAACCGCAAAAGAGAAGTCCAAATCCTACCAAGAACGAGGTCTTCTTTCCAACGAATCCCATCCTACTGTGAAACAGTTCCTCGGCAGCATCGATTATGGTGCAATCGGGAAGGGAGTAATGAAGTCAGGAGCGCATCAGAAAAACAAGCCGGGCGAGGTTCTGCTGAAGGGAAAACTGCAGGTGCCGGAGCGGCTTGACAAGGTGAAAGTGTACACCTGCCGTGCGATCAGTGATCTGCCGGTGCCGATGCGGCACGCGGGCAAACGCGTCCTCGTAAACGAGGAAGAGATGATTCAAAAAGTCATCAACGCGCATCCCGAGCTGGAGTTTGACGTCAAGCAGAAACGCATCAGGACCGGTTTCCACGCGGACCTGATAAACGCCATTCCTGACGACTACATCGCTAGCCTCGTAGGAAAGATGAGGAAAGAACCAAACAAAAAATTGGTGCTGATCGACGGAAGTGGACTTGGATTCGCCGTGGCAGTAGGAGAGCGCTTGCGGCTCGCAGGACATGGAAGTGAAGCTTTCCACGCGAGCGCGGCGAAGGAGCTCTACGTGTTGGGGTACAAGCTTTTAAGCACGGGTGAAGCAATCCGCTACAGCAAGGAGGAGCAGCTGCGAGTCGACGGAGCTGTGTCGTGTTTGGCCGACATTCCCGAAGAAGAACGTCGAAAAATCCGCGCTCTCCAGGAGATTTTGTGTCTCAGTGGCAAGATTGCGAGCGAGAAGGCTTGCCTCGAACAGTGCCGGAACCGCATGAAAAGTATCCCTGAGGAGAAGTTGCGGGAGCTGGTGATGCTGCTGCGACGAGACAGTCGAGCGAACCTTCACTGGGGCAGTAAAGCACGAAGCAAGAGCCTGGATGCATACGACTACGAACTTGCATCTATGTCGGGAGGTTTGTCCCTCGTGGACACAACCTTCATCACCGAAGGAGATGTGATATACACGGTCATCGGCATTATGTCCGTGCCCGACAAGAGATCAGGATCGTTTGTATGCGGCACGAAATGGAAGTTGAGTCGAATGCTTCAAGGTGCCGAGGTCACGGACGCAGAAAAGGAAGAGATCTGCGCAGGCATCATGCTACAGATGCGCCAGGGTCTTGGGGCGCGTTTACTCGCAGGGAAGGGCTCACCCAGCAAGGAGGACGTGATGAGGGCGATGTACTACTTCTTGCAACAGAAGTTGGTGAGACGAAAAATATACGCGGACGCTGGACTGGAAAATCTGGCGCTTGAAGAATGGGTTGCACTTCAAAAATCCGGCCGAACAGTCACGCTGCTACCAACGGGAACTCCCGTCTACCTGCTGGAGCGGAGGTTCTTAACCATCAAAATGCTCTACAAGCGGTTGAGGCGAATCCCCGCATTTATGCATCTCCCACTCGAGATTTTGTTAAACGAAATACACGAGTGCCTTGCTAACCTGCCGAGTGCAGGCAAGGGCGGAAGAACATCCGCAATGGAGTTTTGGGGGATTGAAGAGAGTAGTCCGGAAATGGTGGTGCATCCGGACGATGCGGCCGTGCGCGGCTTCGAGGGCGATCAGTCTGCCTATCGCATCAACCGACTCTCGGAGGCCCGAACGCGCATTTGGTCCGAGACTCTGGCGCTTCTGTCTGACCCCTCGTTTATCAACGCCGTCGAGAAAGTTCTCGCGAACTGCAACGCCCGCCTGCGGATAGAAAAGGACTCCAACTACGACGTTGGAGAGCGAGCTAACATGTGGCAGCCCAAGGCGAAGGCGGATGCAGTTGTGACGATTGTTGATCGGGAAATGACGAAGGGGGCTGGTGGCTACGAGTTCACGGTGAAAGGAAAGTCCGGCTTTAGCAAAGTTAACCCGAACCTCATCTCACCGATAGTACACTACGACCAGTACTGTGATTTCCTCGACCACGACCACCTGCCGATCAAGACAGAAGACTACCAGCAGGGCGGAAAACTTTTTCTGGCGCAGAGAAAATACGAACAAGATCGAGCTGAGTATGAAGCAGAATTTAAAAACCCGCTCATGACGGCCACGCACAACGGTGGCGCTCCTGAGCCGTTTTGGTCTGTTCCCCCCCCGGGCGGGGTCCGTTCTAAGGAACGAAAGTCAGCACTCTTGCAAAACGAAGATGAAGAAAACTTCGAACAACTACAAGATGCTGAGGGGAATCTCAACCTCGACAAGAACGATGACGTGCTAGAAGAAGACGAGGAGCGCGAAGAACAGGACGAACAACCGAACGCCACCGCGGATGTTGAGCAACCGCTTGCAACCGAGATGCCCGAAGAACCTGCTGGTGAAGATGAGACATCTGTTAGCGAATTCGTGCACGCTGCAAACGAGAAGAGCGAAAACTTCGTCAAGAACACCGCGTGGTCTCGTGTCCTAGAAACAGAACCCGACTTGCCAGAGGATGCTAGCAAGGAGGAAGTGCCCGCTGATTTCAAAGAGCAGCACCAGTTTCTTCGATTTCCAGGAAGAAAGAATCGGCGAGCAATCGGGAAAGTTCTAGATCGAACTCCTGCCGCAGTCCTGAAAGAAGGCGAGCTCGTGCATCAGATGTTGGAGCATGTGTTGTTCCAGAAATACGACGGAGTCCGCATCACACCGTACTCGATGGAGTTGTGCGATGCTTTTGTCGAGTGGGAACACCGAGTCGGAATGCCACACCCGGAAATTCAGTCGGAGCATTTGATGGTGTGGAACAAGGAGAAGATCCGGCTCGTGAAAACCAAAGAAGAGTACGACAAGCACGGCGGCGGAAAAGTTCTGAGGATTGTCCTGTGGAAACTCCTTCCACTAGAATCCTATGAAGAACTCGGACTCGTAAGTATTTTCGACCAACGTGTAGCGCGACACGTCGAAGTGGTCCGGAAGATCTCTGCTGCTCTCAAATTTGCAGACTGCGATCACTCGTTTATCGAGTCGGAATCCGGTTTGGGGATTCCAGCCCTGCTGATCAAGGCGCATGTGAAAGAGTGGGGAGGACTTTTCAAGCAGGAGCTGATCGCGAACTACCGGCCGGGTATGCTCTGTGCGAGCGAACGAGTTCTGCCTAGCCGAGCGCTAGCAGATTTGAAGTTGGTTAGTCCCTTCCACTTCAAGGTCGCTGTGAGGCTCGTCCCCGGCGGACACAAAAGTAGTGTGTCTGCGAGTGCGGAAAGTCCAACCATCGGCGAGTACGACTTGAACTTGATGCTCAATTCTCTCCGCTACGTGCGCGGTAAAAGAGTAATCAAATCCGGAGATGTGCCACGGGCTTTCCTCCGGAATTTGAAGTTCAAACCGGAAAACCGACCAAGGTTTTGCTTCCCCGCCAACACCTTCAGCCCGGACTTGCTGAAGACCCTGCGTTCCGAATTCGGGATTGGCAAGGAAAGTATCTTTGTCATGAACATCAGCCTGTATGGGCTCAAGGAGGCGGCTCTTATGTGGTATCGCACCATAAGCCAATTCCTTGAAAGCATCGGGTACAGGATGTCTCCGGATTCCCCTTGCGTCTTCGTCCGCGGTAGGAGCAAGGTTTGCTTGCACGTGGACGATCTTCTTTTTGGAGGTGAAGAAGAAGATTGGAAACTGCTCGCGAGACAGCTGGCGGAACGCTTCGAGTTGCACACGTGGAACGATGCCGAAGCTGGTCTCATTTACACCGGGATACATGTTCTGCATCGAGCTGAGGAACAGAAGGTGAAGACAAACATGCAGCACAAGATCGACGAGCTACTTGAGATGGACTTCCAGGCTTCCCCCACTGAACAACTAACACCAGAGTTTGTCACAAAACTCAAGGGTGCGCGCGGCAGCCTGTTGTTCATTGCTCGACGACATGTGGAATGCAAATTCCCCACCCGCTCCATGGCTCTGGGCGCAGACGAGGCGAAGACTTTCGAATGGATCACCGGGACGAACGGAATCATCCAGCGTTTGAAATCCGACACCCGCGGGATCGTCTTCGACCTGTCCTACGAGAAGGAAGTTATCGTCATGCTGCCGGATGCGTCATACCAGCATCCCACCGCCAAGGAAGAGCCGGATGGTGCAAATCCATGTGAGGAAGAAAACGACCTCGACGCCCGTCCAGATTTTGCTTTCTCCAACACCGAGCTTGACCAGCGTAGAGCCGTCACTGAAGCTCTGTCGGAAGGTGTGATGCACGCCGACAGCTTGGAACAAGCAATGGTGATGATGCAAAAGTCGGAGACGGAGCGCAGGAAAAGGAAACGATATGCCGCAGTTGTTATCCCGACAAACGAGGAAGACAAGACTACTGCCGCTGCTATTCGTCTTCGCCCAGTCCTGGGGCACGTCCTGCTGTCGATGTCAGAAGCCGACCTTGACAACTACATGCGGAAACAGCAATCTTTGAAACGAGTATCAACTTTGAAAGAGTACGACGGTTTGGAACGAGTAAAGATCAGGTGCACCTACATTGGTTCCGACACCATCTTTTTCTCCACGGCGAAGGCGTCCTCGTACGCAGCCGAGATGGAAGCAATTGCCGAAAGTTTTCCTATTCTCGAAATGGTTCTTCGAAAATATTTTGCATGGAAAATTTCGGTGCGGTCTTTCCTGCTGTCCGACTCGAAGAGCGCGGTGACGAGAATTCTCTCGAAATCCGTCATATCCACTGCGGATGCGGATGTTTTCAAGCCGCTGGCGCGCATCAAAGATGCATTCTTCAGAAGTGAGTGGCAAATTGGTTCCATCGCGGATCGTGCGAACGTCTCGGACGTGATGACAAAGACGGCGACCGGGTACAAGATGCAGGACTTCCTGGAGATGTTGGAAGGAACACTGAGCATCCCCCTCGGTCAGATGTTCATCTATCAACGGAAGTACGCCTGGGAGAAACCTCTCAAACAAACCGAACAGGAAATTTGAACGGAAAAATTTTTAGAAATTGGTTTTGAACGTCGAGCGGAAGTCGGGCCTATGGTCACCTACCCGATTTAGCTTCTGTTGCCGACGCTTCAGGACAACAACTACCTTTTGCTTCTGTGTCCTCTGTTCTACCAGTTCCAAGAAAATCAAGATCGACATGCACGAGGACCAGATTCTATGTTTCGAACTACATGAAATGAAATCTTGCTGAGGATCGCGAACTCCGACCTGTTACAGCAAGCATAGACGAAGAATTCCGGCGCCCAGTTTCAACCAGTCCTGTCAGCAGAAAATCTCTACATGAAGTTTTGGGGACGAGGTTAGTCGAGAAGTACCGTCATGAAGAAGTAACCTTTTTGCGAACTCTTTTTGTTTCCTCTCGTCGCGGCCGTTTTCTACGCGGACGAGTTGAGTGTCATAAAGTACGAGTAAGTTTTTTCTCTTGCAATTTTGTCTTGCAGAACGGGTGTTGGGAACGAGACTTCGTCCTGAAAACTTCTTTGGGGAGTGTGCACCGGAGTCGTCCCCAGCGCAGAACCTGTTCTACTTCGTTCAGTTACGATTGGCGAATTTCTTTGAAAGGACAACGAATCCGTCTCGAGTTAGGGATTTACGGAATCGGTTGATCAGCGGGTTTCACAGCTGGAAAATAGTACGGACGAGAACCGCGGATACTGTTGCAACCGCAAGAAACCTGGATGGAAAAAGAGCCATGGGGTTTGATCACCGAACGTGAAGAGTCATCCTACACGGAGAGGCGAGTGCCGGGGGATCCCGACGAGTATACGGGCGGTGGTTAGGGTTGAAGAAAAATCTCACCGTGTCTTTCTTTTCTCCCCCCCCGGCACTGTGAATATCGTCTTTAGATGTTGTTCGCAGTGTCGGAGAGATTTGATTGATACGAGAGATTCGGAGAGTACGAGGGGAAATAAAACTCGGACAAAGTTTTTGTGATTGCAAAATGCACAAATCGGACTTTGGTTTATGTTTCTATTTTCATGAGTGCTCGCATTACAAATTCATTCTTTTCTTGTTTTGATTGTTTTGCTTTTCACATCACAAACATCAATGAACCCTGCTTCACCCAAACTCTCTTGCGCGTGTGTAACTTTGTATTCGTGGCTCAAGCCACTATACGTTGTAAGACATTGTGTTGACAAGTCCAACGAAGATAAATCAAATGAAACTCACGCTTCTCTGCTGAAACCTTCGCCACGGGAATTTGTTCTTCCACGACCGGAATCTCGAGTGAACGATCACCAATTTCTTCGACAAGATCGATTAAAAAGAGATCTCGGAGTCGCTAAAAGACAATATCTGTGATACCAGGACCTGCATTGCAGACCTCTCGGGTCATGCAAAATGTGCGTGACAAGCCTTGCAATCTTCCAGACCCAGACATTTGCGCAATCCATACGGGGAATGTGCATGATGATGGAACGCGTGATATTATCCTGAGTAAAAACGTACCCACACCAGAGTTGTAATGCAGATTTGCAAAGACAGGAAGACTCGTAATGCGCATCCCCATGAGAGCCATTTCCAATCGTGTTTTGGAATTTGTGATGCTGTGAACAGGTTGAGTAGCTGGATTTGTGATGCGGCTGCACTTGCTAACCTGCACTACACTGCAGAGCGCAACTTGTCATGCGTGACTCACAAAACTCCTAGGTTTGTGTTGCAAAATCCCCATCCTGACTCTGGTGTGGGTACGTTTTTCCTCAGGATAGATATCCCAGCGTGTCCAAACGCCCGCACCTCCCCAGACTTGTCGTCGACAAAGTTGCATGCTCAGGGGGATGCTTGGGAAAAATCTGTCGTGCGCCGATCAGGGCGATACCGATAGTGCGGATTTATGACACGGCATCTGGACGAGCTCGAGCTAGACACGATGGTGCTGCATACCATCTGAAGTACTTACTGAGGGCTTTGCTGTGAAAAGTGTTCTGCTATTCATTTAGACGGTAAAAGTGGGGATTCGCCTGCTCCGTCCAAGATACCATTACCAAAAAACGAAAAAAGAATTGCTACACACGTAGCGAGCCTAGAATTGTAGCATTGCCCTCTACAACCAGAAAAAGAAGAAAAGTAGACCTGCTACACTCTAGGTCAAGAAGGTTAGCATGCTGCTGTCGCGCAAGCGCATGACATCAAGTTTGGGTACGCACTACTTTCGTGGTTTTTTACAGAAGTCGCTTCGGAACTCGACCTCCGCAATATGATCCCGATTACAGCACGACGGACTTATTTTCCCAACGACTTCTAGAGAATGCTTTTCAGCACGGGAGTGCAAGAGCCCCCGAGACGACCCATTTTGGGCAAGCTGCAGATCTTTTGTGCGACAAGTTTGGGGTCGTGGGGGGGGGGCTTTTCCTCCGGATACGTGCAGCCGTTTTCGACGTCGCAGCGGCACATCCAAACGCTCATTCACAACAACGCGGTTTTCGACCCGGCACACTTTGTCAAACACTTGCGATTGTGTCTTTCGCGCTTTGAGTCTCTGGGAATCGAGCATCGGGATATCAAGCCGCAAAACATGGGGATGTCGCTCACTGGAGTTCCGCAGCCCCTGATTTTCGATTTCGGTTTCAGCGAGATCCTCTCGTGGATGGTAAATCCCAGTGACGGGCGGACGACGACGACAGCGGTTCTGCGCGAATCGCTGAAGCTCGGCGGGACTGTGGGTTTCAGAGACCTGGGGAAGAACCTTGTTCGGCGGGAATGGGCGCGCCAAACAGCCTTGAGGAATGGGCGGCACCACCCGCTCATGGACTTGTTCGGATTCAGCTTCACTGTCTTCCGACTTTTTATGGTTGTGTCAGAGTCGAAATCGACAAAGTTGAAATTAATAATTTGTCATGCATAAAATGGGTGCTAGTTGGAACCCAGTTTCCAAGTGGTGCATGACAAATTTCTGTGGTCCCTAAATCCAGTTTGTCATGCTGTTTAGGCAAAGAAGAGCGATTTTCTCATGCTACTTTAGCAGCTCGAGCTGTAACCCCAAACAGGCCCACAGACGGCCTCACTTTCCTGCTCTGCAACGCACGTTCCTCGGATCATGCATTTTATGCATTACAAATTATTTCAACTTTGACGATTTCAATCCTGACGCTTCCATACTTTTTTCCTCCGACGAAGGGAGCCTTTTCCTGGACTGCTACGCCGCGGTGATGGATCCGAGGGGCAGCTACGGGTGTCCTGCGGGGCGCAACCCCCTCGGGACTAAAAATCGACTGCGACGGACCATGAACCGTGCCAAGAACCGCGTTTCGGCTGATCCTGCTTTGCCCATTCTCTTCGACGTCGGGGAGGTTGTTCGCAACCGGAATTTGGCGTCGCGGACGGCCGGGACGGTTGAGAGGAACGAAAACACATTTGCCAACGAGCGCGGCATCATGGTCAGTGGAGACGTGTTTGCGCTTCGGGTTTCCCAGTTGGGCAAGTACAAGTACATGGAAAGAATGGACGTCGCAGAAAAAGTGAAGGAAATCATGATGACCGTTTTTTCTCCGCTGCTCTTCTCGGACTGGCGGTTGCGTGCCCCACGTCCAACGGATGTTACGACGCTCCCTGCCTGCCCTGAGGATTTCACGCGTGCGGAGTCCTCCCGTACGGGGCCCTACAGCAGCGTGCAGGCTCTGCCCTACGACCCGCGACTGCAGGCAATGGAGCTTACCAACGAAGAAGAGATCACCCGGGAGGAGCAGCTAGGGAAGCTGTTTGGGAAAGTTTGCAGAGCAGTCGCTCATGCGGGACTGCTGCCGGAGCTGGACGTCGCCCGGGAGGCTTGGGAGCAGGCCCCTCTCAGCACTGCAGGCTACCTTTACTACCATATGCAGCGCAGATATGTGTCTGGGTCTGGAACAAGCTTGTGAGGATGCATGACAAGAAGTCCGCAACGCGTTCTGACTTTCCTAAGAACACATGTCGGGGCGCATTACAAAAACAAATTCTGTTTTGCCTGACAGGAAGAGGACGGGGCGCTTTCTGCGCTCCTCCAACGCGGATTCTGGTAGTTCTCCCAAACTGCAACGCATGAAGGTGTGCCCCCTCCTGCGTGCGTACTACACGCGCCACTTTTCCAGACCGAGGCATTATATTTGCGGTGGATAGGCCCTGGCTTTCCGTAACTGCCTTGAGGACTCTGACGTGTTCTTTCAATACCGCATGATCCTTTCGAAGGGCTACGGACAACCAAAAATGGGTGCAGACCGGTGCTACGACATCAGCGACTACAATTGCGACCGTATCGAGAACCCTCCTCCACAAGTATTTGGTGATGACAGCACGAAAGTTCAAATTGCCTTTGAGATTTACGTTTATGTAGTATGTACTCCGTTTTGGTATATAATTTTCACGTTCGCGGCAAATGACTGTAAGTATTTCTTCTTGTTTGTTTTGTTTGTTTATTTGCATTATCGACTAATTGAATTTTCAAACTCGCTGCAACGTATCGCATCTCTTTTTTCTTAATGTTCTAATACCGTCGGCGTTTTCGGAATCAATATCACTTTCGTTCGTTACGGCTTTATTGTTTTTGTCTAAGAAGCTCGCAGTACATAGTATTTCTATGCATTGTAAGTCTTTAATCTTCTGGGCCTGGAGGCACGGCAACTGTGCGCACTCTGTGTCACACAGAATTTTCCATGCATGTGCAGGACAAGGTTGGTGCGCACTTTCCGTCGATACACAAGGAGCGGGATTCGCTCCATACAAGAGGCGCATTTACTTGTAGAACCCGGCGCGGAAATATACGCAGGGGTCTGTTTATTTCGTATGGAATGCATATCGTCGGGCGGATATTAACGCACAAGAACCTGCTTGCCATCAGGCGTCTGTACCTGTAGTCGTCTTCCAGTCCCCGAGTCGTGATAGATTTGCAGTGGATAAGTACTTACTTTCTTCAGATTTACAACAACTTATTGTATTTCCTATCTAGATGATCGCTTCAGCTTCTGCACTCAAAGCACTAGCTACAGTGATAACACCATTCTTTGAACCGAAAAAAAAACACTGATTTTCCATGTATTGCGGCCGTCGTTTCCTTATCCTTTCCGTCGGCGAAATTTTGTCAGGAGATTTCATTACAATCCGATCATACTTTATTTGTCCTTAAATTTTGTAGGAGATTTCAGATCGAGATCGACAGAAGCTAGGCACAGGCTTGCTTTCTGTTTCATTATCTCCACACTTCACTACACGAGTAGGAGTAGAACCCCGCTTCCATAATTTTCTTCATCTTCACTATGTGCAAATTATTTCCTATGCTTATCTCCTCGATCTGTGTTGGATGCCGGGAATCGCAAGAGCCTGGGATGTCTGGTTAACGATCTTGTTCTATGAGGGTTGAAGATCATGGGAAGGTTCTCGTCCGCGTGAACTGAAAACTACTCACGCATCAATTTCAGCATTGTACTAGTGCACTGAGCAGGTAAAATCGTACTTCTTGTCGCATGATGGTGTGCAAGCACGCTACTCCTGCTGAGGACCTTCCAGCTATCATCATCGGCCCTTGTCCTGCACCAAATGACGGTTGCTTGATTGTTGGGCGAAAGTAGAACACGTGGCGATAACAGAAGTAGGGATGAAATTTGTTGGGGAAAAATAAATGGAAAATTTGTCTACTCGAATATGATCAATGAATAGTGACTACTTTCTTGCAGCTTCTCACCGCGGTCTTTAGACGCGCTGATGAGAACAACATCGGGCAACTAGGTCAACTTTTCTTGTTCGTTCCCTACGTGAAGAATGATCAAAAGTAGAAACTCGTCGTCGTCGCTTCTTCGGTAGAAGTGCCAGGTCGGAACAAGTACAACTAAACTCGGTCGGGGTCGTCGTTTCTTTGCTCCCTTTCGCAGAAATTCTGTTACTACCAGGTCGGTAAAACAAGTTGGGTCGCCCCTGTTCGTTGTTTCTCACACGAGAATTTCTTCGTGCGGAGTCGTGCGGGTTAGCTACTTTACCGCGATTAGCGTAAGCGATCCGATCCACCGTGGAGGTGATCGACGTAGATGGGAATTCGTGGGATAGAAGCTCCTGAATGATCCTCTGACATGACGTCGCCGTTTCCTCGTTTTGTTTCCCTGTCGTCGCGGGAATGAAGTGTACTAGTTTTATTTCTCGTCTTTACGTTTTTCTTTCGCAAGCGCATAGCAGATTCACTTGCTGAATATATTATTTTCATCAAGATGAATTTTCTGATCGAACATGACAAGAAGTTTTTTTAAGGCGGAGCAGGGGGTTGGTTTTTTTCAAGGGCGTGAAGGGGACACATGACAGACGCAGATGACCTAGATTTTTAGTGGATCATGCGCTACTTCTTGTCCGTTCGTGAAGTGTTACCTATTTTTCCGCCGTCGCAGGCTGATTAAGTAGTGGAGGTAAGTACTTACTAGTGAGTTAAGGTTTATTTTGAAACCACGGAGCTATTTCACTACCTCAATGCCGAGCACCATTTCGAAGATCTAGTGATATCAAGTACAACAACCGTGGCTTTCTTGTTGTTCAGGACCTTCTACTTTTGTCGCACTTCGATGTCGATCATACGTAGAAGTGGTTCTTCATCCGCACATGTGGACTTGCACTGGTCGATGTCGCTTTAAAAAAGGAAAAGTGTCAAGAACGAAAAATCGCGCCGTCCAGAGGTCAGCATCCAAGTGCCAGGTGAAGAGAACCGCTAGCAATAAAGTGCCGATAGCCAATAGAATTGCTAATCTGCGGTCCAGCTAGTGCTCCTCCACTTCCTCGCTTCCTCTTCCTCGTCCTGCCGGTCTTCAACTGCACGACGATTTGAAAGTTGTACGTACATCAAGCCGGTGAAGAGGACGACGCAAAGGGACGAAACTATCGGGGACAACAGCACGTCGCAATCATGTCTCGCGAAGACCACGACGATTTGCCGGAGGACAGTAATCCGGATGAAGATGAGTTGAACAGTATCGTATTTAAAAACGTCCCCACCTCGTAGTCAATGATTGGGCATTAATCTGCAAGACAAATCAACAAGCTTTGGCTGTTGCGCATGACACGTTTGGGCCCGCAATGTAAAAAATCGCGCTTACCTAGGTAGTGCAGCAGCTGCGTCACAGATCTAGCCTCTCACGCTGATCCGAGCATCACAAGTCTCAAAACAGCGGTAAAAAATGCCTGTCATGGGGCCCCGCATGACAAAAATTTTACGCATGCAGACTTGATGCATAAAACAACTCTGGGGCCGCGGTGGGGAAGCTTTCACTCAGGATAAAAGGCAACGGCGACGAGGCCTTAGACGAGGAGGATGCGCCGGAAGTATCAAAATGAAAAATCCCCCCTCCCCATATCAAAATGGAAATTTGTGATGCTGATTTGTGGCCACAAATCGTCTTTGTCTTGCTTCTAGGGTAATAGGAGCCATTTGGCTCATTTCAAAGCCAGTCTGTCATGCGCTTTTGACTCCTGCAAACTTGTTTGCCGTGCGTCATTGCTAGCCTTCTGCATACCCAAACAGGCTCAGCACATGCCACCAAGCACTCTCTGCAAGAGAAACCTGATTTGTGTACGCAAATCCAGCATCAGAAGCTTCGTTTTGATATGGGGAGGGGGCGTTTTTCCTCACAATAGGGAGGGGAGGAACACAACGCCGCCACCGCAGCCGGCGGGAGCGAGGTGCAGGTACGGCCAAGAAAGAAAAACCTGTCGGCGGCGCAGTACCGCGAGAAACTGTTTGGGGACCAAAAAGTTTACGTGGTCATTGGCGACAAATTGCGGCATATGCATTGCAAATATGTCTGGGTCTGGAAGAATGCAACTTGTAATGCTTCTACCTTTGGACCCTACAGAAAATCTGTATTGCATGAACAGCAAAAGAGGTGAAATTTGTGCTACGCGGAGACGGCATTTCTCATGCTGTATGAGCATCAGAAAGCCTTCGCAGAATCTCTGATGCTAGGGCATGCATCATAGACCTCATGGGTCATGAAAATTCTGCATGACAAACTCCTGCATTCTTCCAGACCCAGACATATTTGCATTTGATCCGGCAAGTCCGCCACGTGTTGGACTCCTGGGGTTGGGTAGAAAATCGTCCAACGAACCCGGTATCATTGGTTGCTTCACTAAAAAAATGCAGTAAGTAGGTATATCTCAGTAGGACTACAATTCAAATTCTATACTCAGCAGAGGATATTTTGTAGCTCGTATTCTTAAGTAATGCGCACGTCTCATCTCTCCTACCTTATTCTCAGGATGACCGTCTGGTATTCGACCTGTGCTGGGCCGGGTATCCCACAGAAAAAAGCTGGCGGGGCATTACTATCTATTATATTCATGCGAAAAAAGAGGTCTACAGAGGATAGAAGAGAGGTGGCCGAGAGGTCAAAAAGAGGTGAAAAGAGGTCAAAAAGAGGTCGACAGAGGTGGAGAGGTGGCGCGGGAGGTCATTCGAGGGGGTGGCCGAGAGGTGGCGCGGGTATAGCCAGCCGAACCGTTCACCCTAAAGCCGCGCCTATGGGGGACGGAGGTGGCCGAGAGGTTCGGGAGAGGGTAAGCGAGAGGGGGACAGAGCTGCCGAGAGGTTGCGCGAATAAGGGCGAACCTCTCGCGCACCCTCTGGGCCACCTCTCGGCCACCTCTGTAGACCTCTACCGGCGAGTATAGCCGGACTATTAGCAACACCTCTCGGGAGAGGTCAAAAAGAGGGTCTGCGAGAGGGGTAGAAAAACCCGAATCCGCCCGGCACGAGGCTGATTCTTTTGTGGCCTTTTCATGCATAAGCTGGCCCGAACCGTCTCGCGCACCCTCTCGCGCACCCTCTCGCGCCACCCTCTCGCGCCACCCTCCCGCGCCGGGCGGCTTCTGTTCGCCCCCGGCGTCCTTTGCAGCTGCTCCCTGCGCAGAGCGCCCACAGGCGCGGGAAGCGCGCAAGTGGTCGTGCGGGTTGGCGCCGCGCAAACAGGCGGCAGGACTCCAGTATGCTTCATTATGCATATTAGGCCTGTGGCATTGTGGCCCGATCCGCAAATAGACCTGCCCCGCCCCAACAGCCTTGCGCCCCGGCATCAGCCGGGGCATGGCTGGTATTTGTAATGCAAAAGTGAACACATAGAAAAATCTGTCATGGGCGGCCTCATAGCATGCTGTTTAGGATACGCAATACAGATTTTTTTGTGTATTTATTTTTGCATTACAAATGTGACCTGCCAGCTTTTTCCTGTGGGACACCGGCCGGGCGTTGCGTGTGGACGGCATGTTTGGTTTCTTGCCCAACAGTCAGACCGTGAACCACTTCCGCGGCAGCGGGCAGTTTGACAGCAAGGCCGGCATGCTGCTTTCGCTGCGGAAGTGCCAGAAAGGGTGTCTTCACGAGTTTATCAAAAGAAAAGATTCCCCCTCCCCGTATCGAAAACGAAATTTGTGGTGCTGTATTTGAGTACATAAATCGATTTGTAATTACACAAAATAGAACACACTTCAATCCCAAAATAAATCTCCTTTCTTTCTTTTTTCCTTGTTTCCTTTTTCTTTCCAATTCGCACGCAATAATTATCGCTACGGGCCTTGAGCGCTAGCCTAAACCGGAACCGAAGTCCCAGCCTATCGATATGCGACCCGATTGCCTGTCAGCGTCCAGAAAGGGTTCCACAGCGAGAAGGCCAAGAGCCGCAGTCGTGGCCTCGTTTGGAGGCAATTTGTCATGCTGCTTTCCACTTCCAGTTCCAGCTGCCTCCTGTCATGCTGAAGATGCAAGGCGGTCCCACGCCAGCCAGCACTACAGCCCGCATCTTTTCCCTTTTAGCATGACAAAGCTGATTTGTGGCCACGAATCTGCATCACAGATCTCCGCTTTGATATGGGGAGGGGGGATATTTCTTCTTGATATAGTTTTACCCGCCCTCCTACGACCTGCGAAGTTCGTCGGAGCTGGAGCTATCAAATGCAAATATGCCTGGGTCTGGAAGAGCGCCCTTGTTTGTCATGCATCTTTTGGATTACGCAAAGAAATGTAATGCACGCAAAAGCATTACAGGAACAGGTTTGCACAGGCCTTCTGGTATCTACTTATCCTGCATGAGAAATTCTCAATTTGCGTAGCACGAAATGCTGGGCAGCTTTTGGCGATCATGCAATACAACTTTTTGCCTATTCCATAATCCGCATCACAAGTTCCAACCTTCCAGACCCAGACATATTTGCAATGCATAGGAGGCCTTCTTCTGCGACGCGTTCTTTCACCGATTGGTATCGTATCCTGCGCAAAAGTATCGTACTCGTACTAATCGCAGCCATGCAAGACAAATTTCTTTTTCGAGCTAAAATCAGCATGAGAAATTCCATTTGTCATGCTGAGCTAATTTGTATTGCAATACTACGAGTACGATACTTTTGCAGTTCATATGTCGCAGAGACACACGCTATCAAAATGAAAAAAGCCCCCACCCCATATTCAAAAAGAACAAATTTCTGTTGCTGGATAATTTCCGTATACAAATCGGCACTGTTTTGCAGATATAAAATCTACTACTTGGCGGGATTTTCTATGCCTGTCTGGGTTGTATCATGCAGGAGGCTAGCAATTAGGCATCTTGAACATAATTGCAGTAGATAGTCGAAAGTGCATGTTCTTGACAGACTGGCTGTGGAATGCGCCGCATGGCTTCCATTTTTACCCTATAGGCGAGATGACAGAGCTGATTTGTGGCCACAAATCAGCATCAGAGGTCTCCACTTTGAGTATGGGGAGGGGGGATTTACTTTCCTTTTGATACGCGAAGGCCTGCAAGCGGGTGATGCGCCGGCTGATGGAGAAAAGGCAGAAGCTCATCCTTGCGGAATTGGTGAACTACTTGAAAACCTGCAACAGGTCCGGGAGCGCGAGTCCGCCTTCGAAGACGAAGTTGGCGCAACTGCAGGCCTTAGTAGAGGAGGACGCCGGATTGGCAGACTTGGCAAATTGGTTCGAGAAACAAACCTGCACAACGGCCCGCAGCGCTACTAACGAAGAGACATCATCAAAAGCAAACAGTACTTCTGCACAACCCGCAGAGCTGCAGCCAGCAGCCATAATAACCTACAGAGAAAGGGAGGTGATCGGGAAATTTTTGGAGAAGAATAACTTTGCGCCACTAGGCGGTGGAAACTACAGTGCATCCACTGCGACATCCTCGAATTCATCTGTGGTGGATAGCAGTAGTTCGTCTGCCCAGCAGGCAGACGGCCAGAGTAGTAGCGCGGTTGGGTCCAGTAGTTGTAGCAATAGCAATCTCAGTACTAGTTGTACTAACGCGAACGACCCGCTGCCACCGCTCGTGCCGCTGTCCACCGAAGGCGTGAACCCGCGGGCAGTGCTATGCTGTGTAAAAACGGGGCCCACACGACCCTATAGTCAAGATGGGACACAAATTTCCAACTTTTGGGAGGTCCGCATGAAAAGTTTCCATCTGCAGCGTAGTGCTGATTTTTAGTAAGAAAAGCCGCTCGGGAAAGCAATTTGCTCATCATGTTTACAGCATTACAATGAATGCCAAAACACGATCGGAAATGATGCCTCTCATGGAGATGCGCATTGCAAACGTTCTTGTCATTGCGCACTTGCATGACAACTCTGGGGAGGTGGGGGCCACGTTTTTGCTGAGGATAAGTGCAAGGAATCGAGGCCTGTCTGCACGAGTACTGCCAACTGTTTGAGCAGGCTCAGCGCGGGCCAGTGGACGACATTCCAACCTACTTGGAGGCGACAGCGAGGCCGTGGATGACCACCTACCTGGAGTCCTGCATCGACCACTGCCCCTGCTGCGTGGAGGACCACTTATGACAATGCACAGCTCCCCCTACTTGTTCCCTCATTTGTCATGCAAAACCGCAAATTATCCACCCTTTTTCTTTAGGCACTGCTTGCATGACACAGCCGAAACAGCACTAGAATCGGTCGCGAACAATTTGTCATGCAAAAGCTGCATTGATGCCAGGACTTGCATTGCTGTTCATGCAATACAAATGAGGGGGACGAGGAGGAGTTGTGCACTGTCATACCACCAGCTGAAAATCGAGAAGGTGGCGCTGGTATGAAATGCAAAAGCATCGCACTTTTGTAAATTGCATGACAAATTTGCCCTGCATGAGAAATGGAATCTGTAATGCTGTTGATTGACCTTAGGAAAAATATTTGTAATGCATAACTGCAATTGCTACGAGTACGATACTTTTGCACAGCATAGCTGGGCGCCCGCGTGTGCACGTTCGGCAAGGCCATCGCCCCGGTGGACCGCAACGGTAACGCGGTCAGTGGATATACCAGCGTTGAGTTGAGCAACGCCGCGACGGACCCGAGGAGCCCGGCGAACAAGATGGGCCAGCTATTCTGAGCAAAAACGTCCCCACCTCATAGTCAACATCGGAAAGCTGCTAGACAACTCAGCAAGCTTTGGCTTGTTGCGCATGACAAGTTCATCTTTGGCCTCCTCGTGTAATAAATCCTGTTTAGCTAGTAGGTCAGCAGCATCACAGATCTAGCGCATCGTGCTGCTTGGAGCATCACAAATTTCGAAACACGGCTAGAGCATGCGTCTCATGGGGCTGCGCATGAGAAACATTCTCAGCATTCAGATTTGCATTACAGCGATGGGGTGCGTGGGGTCGTTTTTACATAGGATGCCAGCTGCTCCGCAACGCCACCTTTGAAAAGCGAAAACTGGAGAGCAGCAATTCCGCCACGGATTTGGTATGTCCGAGCAGTCCCGACCACCTGACGCGGCAAGACAGCGCCGCAGCCGCGTCGCACGCCTTTGTGCAGAAGAGTCCGAAAAACCTGCGCCGGGTGTCCGACACCAGTGCCTTTAACGTGCCGGGGATGGGCTTCGGGAACTCGCTATGCAATACAAATTTCATATTCATCATTCTGTACACGACGTACTGCAAAATGCGTCACAATTTTCTCGCTTGATAGATTTAGAGTGTAAATAAAACACGACCTTCTTTATTCATGCTGACTAGAAGGATTGATGAAGGTATCAGGTGGTTTTGTCAGGCAGAAACCGCATTGCCGGTACGTGTGTGTGTGGGAAATTTGCTGTGGATAGTCGCCTAACGGGAAAGGACAGGCGTCAGAAGCCAACTCCCCCTCCAACGCGGCAAAACTCAGTGCGAGCAAGAGACACAGCAGCTCCTCGAGCTCCACCGTGAATGCATTCCGCGCGGCGATCGACCGGTCATTGTCAACCACCTTGCAATATCAAATGCAAAAGTGTCTGGGTCTGGAAGAGTGTAAACCTGTCATGCAGGTTTTCCATGACCCATGAGGTCTGGAATGCGGGACTTGGCATGACAGACTCTGTGAGGTCTCTGCCATGCCTATCCTGCAGGAGAAACTCCCTCCAAACTTGGTCAAAAGTGGATAGTTTCGGGCACTCACGCAACACAGATTTTTGAATGATTCGGATTTAGCATGACAAGTTGCAATCTTCCAGACCCAGACACTTTTGGAATCCATATGCAAATGAACAGCACGCTGAGAAATCAGAGATCCACAACCGACGACGCGGACGACGCAGCGTCCACGAGCAGTGTCGGCCGGGCCAGTTCGCAGGCCGGCAACAACACGTCCACGACGAGTGGAAACGGTACGCACAACGCCGCGACCGTATCACGGGGAAGCTGCAGCAGCAGTCACAATATGCATTGCAAATATGTAATGTGGGTCTGGAAGGATGCAAGGTTTGTCATGCTTGTCTGGCGTGACTGAAGAGTTTGTGATGCGTGTCCAAGAAGAGACCCTCTTGCTCGTCATGCAAGCCGCAGTCTGTCATGCGGAAAGCGCAGTAGTAAGCAGCGCAGATTTTTCTCATGCTTGACTGTGCATCACAGAGATGTCACTATTCACAACTCAGCATTACAAGTTTCCAGACCCAGATCGATATTTGCATTTGATACACAAAAAACGCCGGTCCAGTCGGAACTTTTTCAAGAGCAGCTCCGGCACAACTGCTGCGATGAACAGAAGCTCGTCTTCCATAGGAGCGCCCTCCCCTGCGAAGAAAAAGAAGAAGAAATCGAAGAAGAAACGAAAGAGCAGCTTGATAGGTCGACCGACGAACGGTAGTATGTTGGTAAAGGACGACGGAACCACGTCCAGTATCACCACCAATTTGGAAAACGGCACTGAACTGTCTGGGGCGGAATCACAGTCGGAATCCCAGTCGGAGAACAATGACGACGCGGAGGACCTGCATTCCGGGGGGGAAGAGGAGCACGGGATGAAAATGAGCTCCGGTATCAACTGCAAATATGTCTGGGTCTGAAATAAACTTGTGATGCTGAATGGCGTACCATGATGAGGCCACAAGTGACGGCTCAGCATGACAAGTTTCTGAGCTTCTAGGTGTTGCCTATTGTGCATGGCAAACTGTAACTGCGTTTCTACATCACAGAAAGTTGGGGCTTTAGGGTAACGTGCATGACAGACTTGAGAGCTTTGCTAGCAGAGCATGAGAAAGTTGCATTCTTCCAGACCCAGGGATATTTGCAATGCATATCCGGCGACGAGGAGCAAGATAATTGCACTCCTGACGATGCTGCTGGCGAATGTGTTGACATAAAAAATGACGAAGAGAAGAGATTAGGCGTCGGGAGTACTAGTGGTCCGCCGGGTGGTGCGGCTTCGGCAAGTATGGATTGCAAAAATGTCTCGGTCTGGAAGAGTGCAAGAACTTGTGATGCTATTTTTGGAATCTAAAAAAGTCTGTATTGCATGAGCAGCAAGAGGCGTCCAGTTTTTGCTCCGCGGAGAGGGCATTTGTCATGCGGGATGGGCATCAAGATACCCGCAAAAAATCTGTCATGCTAGGTCATGCATTACAGGCAAGGCATCATAGCCCATGAAAAATATGCATGACAAACCTTGAAATCTTCCAGACCCAGACATTTTTACAGTTGATAGCAAGAACGGTGCAACCGGTGGTGTTTCAGCAGCTGCAGAAACACGAACAGAAGATGCGAAACCTGTACAAATATCAAATGCAAAAATGTCTGGGTCTGGAGGGTCAGAACTTGTGATGCTAACTTCGGACTCTAAAAAAGCCTGTATTGCATGACCAGCAAGAGGAGTCTAGTTTGTGCTACGCGGGGAGGGCGTTTGTCATGCGGAGTAAGCATCAGGAAGCCCTCTAGAAATCTGTGATGCTAGCAGGTCGTGCATTACAGACATCCTGGGTCATGCAAAACATACATGAGAAGTCTCAGAATCTTCCAGACCCAGACGCTTTTGCATTTGATACCAAAAATAGCAGGCTGATGTCGGACTCGCTACCCGAGGTGGCAGATGTCCGGGAGCAAGTGAAAGCGAGGGTCAGGGCAGTAGTGGGAGGCGGAGCTGCGCCGGGGGCCACTTCTAGTGGTCTGACAGATTCTAGCGCCGCGGGTACGTCTATCGGTACAACAGGTGGCGACAAAGCTAGAAAGGCGGAGGAACTACTGGAGAGAGAGCAATCTCCTACTCCTTCCACCAGAAATAGTAGTAATCGCGCGAGGATGGTGGATCTGCATTGCATCGAAGTGCCGACAACTACAACAGCTTCTCGTGCCGCGCATGCAGCAAGAACTGGCATTGACGTCGACCACCAGGATCAGGAGGATGAGACGGAGGCGATTATAAAACAGGTAGAGCATATCGCAAGAAAAAACTGTGGTAGTTCTTGCACTGTGAAGAGCTTGTGATGTTGCAGAGAATGAAAAGCAAAAGTGTTTGTCGTACTACACCCGCAAGAGAAGTTATTGGATGTTTAATTGTGTTTATTTCCCTTCACTTGGGAGGCGCGCATGGCAGATTTATTCCTGTGTCATGATGATGTATTAATGCACTTCTTGCAAAAAAAATCTATCATCGATCACAGTGAAGAAACAGTTTTTTTTTCGTGGGATAGAGCAGGTTATGGCCGAGGGGGAAGAGGAAGAGGTGGACGCCGTAACGGATGATGACGATATGGATTGGAAAAATGTCTGAGTCTGGAAGATTGGAACTTGTAATGCTAGCTCTCCGTACCTAGAAAATCTGTATTGCGCCATAACCAACAAAAGTCACAGCGTCTTTTGTCATGCAAAAACGCAGTTTCTCATGCGGATTGCCTATGAGAAAGCGTTTTGGGAAGTTGTCATGCCGGACTGCATTCGGAAGCGTTTTCATCATGCACATCTTAGCATCACAAGTTTCCAGACCCAGACATTTTTGCATTTGATAGACGAAGATGAAAACCAACAAGACGAGGAAATAAACGAATACGAGGACTTCGTCATTCCAAGGTCGCCTTCGCCGGATCGCGGATCGAGAAACGAAAAGATAGACCTGATTGTAGGCAACCTGCAGAAAAAAGACAAGAAAAACACGACGAGTTGTAGTAAAAAAGCGACCGGAGGAGCTGCAGCTGGTACAACCAATGACGCGTCGGACAGCGGGGGGCTGTCTTCCACGGACACGGGGGCCTCGGACACCGACGAGCTGACTGAATCTTCGGAAGAAATTATTGGGAGGAAAAATCCCCCCTCCACCGCATATTGGACAGGAAATTTGGTTTGCTGGATTTGCGTACACAAGTCGGTTTGTATTGCCAGAAGGGCAAGAGACGCAGGCGTGGCCGTGTTTGCGGGCAATTTGCCATGCTGTTCCCCACTTCCAGTTGTCTCCTGTCATGCTGAACATGCAAGGCCTTGTTCGCACGCCAGCCAGGAGCACTACATTTCGTATCTTTTGCCTTCTAGCATGACAACATGACTTGTGGTCGCGAATCGTGCTACACAAATCCCCGTCTTTATATGGGGACGAGGGGGATTTTTCATTTTGATAGAAATGGACGAAAAAGCGAGGCAGTACCGCTTCATCGAGCACATTAAGGAAATCTTTCGCCAAAACTGGAGTCAGATGGGAACAAGTAGTGGCGGTCGTGGGAGTTCTTGTATAACCAAGAACAATAGCACGAGTGGTTTGAGTTTGACTACGTCTACGGAGACGGACTCCTCGTCCAGAATAAATCCACCAGGAGTGCCGGACAGTGTAGAGTCTATCATCGACCGGCTCTACGATGTGTATGCGGATAGCGAGACCAGGGGGACAACGAAAAAATACTGCCGAGCGATGGAAAAGCAATCCAATGGCCGGGACGATTTCAGTTTCTTCTACTCTCAGGATGCGAAGGTAGTACAAGATGAATATATCAATTTCTATTGGACGTTGATTGTTTGCCTGTTTCGATAACTTGTCGTGCATGTTGCACAAGGATTTCTGTCGTGCTCGTGCAACAAGAAGTAAGTACATTACATATGAAAGCGATGTTTCAACACCTACTATTCCACACAGCTCGCAAAAACCCCGGAGGAGCGGCGACGGGCGGAGATCGAGATCCAGAAAAACCGTGCGTTGTACAGTGAACGGAGTGACAAGATCACAGCGGAGTACACCGAGGAAGATGCGTTTTTGGATGCGCTGCTAAAGGCCATGCCCCGATCCTTCCACACCTTTTACGGCGACGCGGCGGCCTACATTTTCAAGTCGCCGCACCTTTCCCGTGGACGGGGATTGAAAGTGATGACTTGCATATCGCAAGAAAAAACTGTGAACTTGTGATGCATAGAATGGAACACGGAACTATTTGTCTTGCTACACCTGCAAGACCTTCTTGACTCTTTATTAACGGCGTTTTCCCTTTGGAAGTGCGCGTGCCAAATTTTCTCCGTCACGTGTAAGAAACTTGTGATGCAGATCTTGCACAATCATCTTCATCACAGTGAAACAGTTTTTTCGAGGGATATTGCAGGGGAAAGCTACGCCCAATGCTCGAGGAGGCGTACTTTTTTATTTGTGAATTATCAGTCTGTTTCTTCAATAGATCTTTCCTGCATAACATGCAACATCTGTACACAAAAGCGTTTTCGTTCTTATATGAGCGAAACGAAACTCAAAATAGAAAAAAATGCAAACATTCAGGTATTCGCGCTCCGCCCTGAACCAGCGCTGGTTTTGCATCGTCCAGAAGTATCTCGAGAAACCCTTTCTCGTTGACTACCGGGGGGAGTGCGTCAAGTGCGATTTGCGGCTGTGGGTGAGCGCCTTGAATTGGAACCCGGTGGTTGCGCTGGTGCACCACCAACCCTATTTCCGGTTCGCAACCAAGCCCTTCGGATTTTCGAGGGTAAAGCAAGACCAGCGGGCGCACTTGACCAACCGAACGATCCAGGAGACCAACGATGGCGTGGCGAAGGGAGCGGAGGACGACGACCCCGACTACCAGCTGGTTTTCGAAGAGTTTCTGAATTATTTGCGGAAAAACTACGGGGAGCCCTGGGTCGAGAGGTGGCACAGTTTCACCTGGCCACTGATGCTCGACGCCGCCCGGTGCGCCTTGCTCGCTTCGCAGGACGCCGTGACCCACGCGCACTTCACCTACACGAAAAAAGCCGCCTCGAAGCTGGAGCGTGTGGGGCGGCAGGTGCAGGACGGGCCGAAGGCGTTCGAGCTCTACGGGGTGGATTTTTCCCTGGACTACGAACTGCGGCCCTGGTTGCTGGAAGCGAACGTATCGCCGGACTTGCTGGGACACAGCGGAAAGACGCTGAAGCAGCAGTCGCGGGACGCGCTCGACGAGCTGCTGACCATCGTGCTGAAGGAGCCAAAATTATCAAACAAAAAAGTTCATCGTCAGAATCACGCATGCGCATTGTTGCAATACAAAACTTTCTGTCATGCGTAAAAATGCATCACAGCCAAACTTCATAAGGGATCTCGTCCCTAGTGTTTCTGCAATACAAGGAAAAGCTGTCAACGTGCTAAAAAAAAATGTGTAATGCAAAGCCTGCAAGTTAGTGACTGTGATAAACTTTTTCGCGCCATGAAAATCGGTGCCGATCGGGATGCAGAACGTGGTGCAGAACCCGAAGATCGCCGGGCAGAATTTCACCCCGAACATTCCGCACAGCTGTCTGCCCCCGAATATCCTGTGCAAAAGTATCGTACTCGTATAAATGCAAGTCTTGCATTACAAAAACAAATCCTTTTCTTAAGGTAAATCGAAATCCGCATTACAAATTTTATTTCTCATGCTGAGGGAATTTGTAATGCATTTATACCTGAACCTGTGCGAAGATACTTGTGCAATGCATACCGAACATTGCGCGGCAGAAGGTGTGCTGCAACGACAGCACCTGTTTCACGCGACACGGCGTCAACCTGGTTCCGCCCGCGCTGGTGTGCGGGTACCAAATCGGCGAGAAGAAATGGTCACTGTTTCTGAAGGGGCCCCGCTACGAACCAGTGGAGCTCGCGGACCAGTTTTCCCGGCGGAAGGCCATCGAGTGGAGCAAGCGCGCACCGTACGCGCAGAGCTGCTCGAACAACAAGGAAAGCGCGCAGCCGGGACACGAGGCCGTGATCCGGAGGTTGCTCCTGAACACGCCCTACAGTAGGGTGTCGAAGGAACAAGCGGAACAATTACTGAAGAAGAACGGGGGGCAGCTGTCTTCCAGCCCGAAGTCCCCGAAGAGACCCTGGAACGCAGTGAAGTCGCACTTTGAGCGCGACCGCGAGAAGATGGAGTACTACAAAAAGTTCCAAAGCGGGAATATGAGTAACGCAGCCTCTATCAAGTCCAAATATGTCTCGGTCTGGAGGATAGCAAGATTTGTCATGCTAGTCTGGCACGACTCTGCACTCTGTATTGCGTGGCCACAAACGGCCTCTCTCATTTGTCATGCAAAAACGCAGCTTCTCATGCGGAATACTTACGCAGCACAGAAGCACGAAAAAACTTGTCATGCTTGGCTGCGCATTAGAGTTCACCTTCACTTATTGTTCACTGACTTGCATCGCAAGTTTCCAGACCCAGACATATGTGCAATGCATAGCCTCCTCCCCCAAAATCGGCGCCTCCGCTGCAAGCGAGATGATGCAGGAACAAGGAGCCAAAGACTCTCCGAGGACCAAGATGTTGAACCAAATCTCGGATGCGGCGGAATTCGTGTCCAATGTGTTGAAAGGGAGCAAGGAGCGGATGGGACAGTTGGGAAGTGGCGCCTCATCATCATCTCCCGGCATACCCGGCTGCGAGTTTGGGTTGACCAAATCTGGGCGCCCACGGACCAGCGGAAACAGTATCGTGCACAATCTGTCCTGCGAGATCCTGCCGACGATCCCCTCCAACACCAACGACAGCGAGAATGCCGACGTGGAGATCAACGGGGCAGTCAACGACGTCAGCTTAACGACCCCGAATGACGACGTGCTGGCGGGAAACCCGCAGTCGGGCACATCGCCGATATCAAATGCAAAAATGTCTGGATCTGGAAGATTCTGAGACTTGTCATGCATGTTTTGCATCATGACCCAGCATGTCTGTACTGCACGACCTAGCATGACAGATTTTTAGTGGGCTTCCTGATGCCTACTCCGAATGACAAACATCCTCCCCGCGTAGCACAACTCCTCTTGCTGCTCATGCAATACAGATTTTCTTAGAGTCCAAAGTTAGCATCACAAGTTCCAAACTTCCAGACCCAGACATTTTTGCATTTGATAACCGAGCTCGAATAACAAATCTCCGCAGTTGTTGTTTCTCAACAATTATCCTCTGGCGCAATAACTTATATCGCACTCGTATGATAGTAGGTGGTGCAGTCTGGCATGACAGATCTACCTTCGTATACCTGAAACTGCATGAGAAGTTGTTCTATTCGTGGATATTGATGAACTGTTTCTGATGCAATAAATTTGTTCGTACTACTACTAGTGCGATACATAGTTTTTGCAATGCATCACAAGCAGCAAGACCAGTCACTGTCCCCAGTTTTGGTCCGAAACTCGCAGGAAGAGCTAGACTCTGTCGCGGCCTACTACGCGCAAAGTCCCACGACGCCGATGCAGCAGCACAGCCCGGGACTTCTCGCGGAACAGCATCAAGCGGGTGGTACTAGTGGTAGTCAGGCAGGGATGATGAACTGGCAACCGAACAACAAGGCGGTGTCTCTATCCTATGTGAAAACGTCCCCACCCCAGAGTTATCATGCAAATGCGCATGGTAAAAATGCTTCTCATGCGGAGCCCCATGAGAGGCATTTTCTAGTCGTGTTTTGGAATTTGTCATGCTCTAATACGCATGCTATGCCAAATCTGTCATGCTGCTGAGCAAGCTAAACTGGATTACACTACGAGGCCAAACTTGTCATGCGCAGCAGCCAAAGCTGGTTGATTTGTCTAGCAGATTCCCCAACTTGACGATGGGGTGGGGACGTTTTTGCTCAGGATAGTCGCCTACACTCTTTTCCGCCGCGGCCTTGGGGAAAAACAAGCAGTACGAAGGCAGCCCCTCGTACGGAAGCGTCAGGATTGAAATCGTCAAAGTTGAAATAGTTTGTGATGCATAAAATGCAACCCGCAAAATGTCTGTCTTGCAGAGTAGGCAAGGGAGGCAGATTGCAAGCCTATTGAAGGGTGGGAATCGGGCTGCTAAAGTAGCATGACAAAAGGCGTCTGCCTTACCCAAGCAGCATGACAAACTGGATTTCGGTTCTACCCAAATTTGTCATGCGCCAGTTAGAAACTGGGTTACAGCTGGCATTTGTTTTTATGCATCACAAATCATAATTTCACCTTTGTGGATTTCGATCCTGACGCTTCCATACCTCGGAACAGTGGGTCGTCGAATCGTTTTCGCCGAACCATCTAATGACGGCAAACGTGCTCGCAGTGCAGGGAGCGGTCGCGAACCGGAGCAACACGGCGTCGAAATCTTCTGCCACAGGCTCCACAGTGTCCGGCGCGAGCGCGACGACCAGCTCGAGTAATCTACAGAACAACAGCCAAGCTGCCACCGGCTCGCCGGCCGCGAAACAGTTTCTGTACCCCGGCGTGGTGCAGCAGAGTAATTCGAACTCCGGAGCTGCTGGGGTAGCTGCAACGACTAATTTCACGGCTTTCACGACCAAGGAGCAGCGTCGCGGCTTCCAGGAGGGCCCAGTTCTCGGGTCCAATTTCTCCCTCAGTCCCTACCACAACAAAAACAAAAAAAGCAGCCGGATTCGCGGCAACAAGTACGAGTTGCGGGCCCGCGTCAGCTCGGGCGGGGGCTACAACTCCGCAAACATGTTGAATGCAGGAAGTGGTCTAGCGCAGAAGAGTCCGAGCGGGTCGCAGATTAGCAAGCAGTCGCTGCTGGCAGAAATGATGGAGAAGTCCGAAACCAACCCGCGGTCCGCTACGCGCGTCATGGAATTGAATACAGCGCTTGGTGAGCAGCTCCACCAAGTGGCCATGCGGTTGGAAAATTCTGCCTCCGGTTTGCTCGTGCCCGAGAATTGCAACAGCGGCTATTTGGACATGAACAGTCGGGAGTTGAACAACACTTCTTCGCACCAACATGGCGAAGATCAGTTGCAGCTGCCGCGGGTGGACTCGTATCGAATGCAAAATTGTCTGGGTCTGAAAGGATGCGCATGCGAACTTGTGATGCATACTTAGATCACACAAAAATCTGTCATGCCTGGACAGCAAGAGGAGCTCTTTTTCCTGTCGCCGAAAGAAGGTGTTTGTCATGCGGTTGCGGATTAGGCATTGGGATTGGGAAACCGTCTCATAACCTGTGATGCGAGGTCTTGCATGCCACACCTTCTGTGTCAAGCAGATACAGCATCACAAACCTCAGCAATGTTCCAGACTCAGACATATTTGCAGTTGATAACTCGCCCAAAATCCACCACATCAAACCTTCCACCTCCAACACAAGTCCCCGAGCCGCAGATCATAAACCGCACTACGGCAGCGGGGGCGTAACTTCAACCCGGGCCTACACCGCAAGTAGTCTGCATGGTAACAGTCCTAAACACCCCACGAATTCATCCAGCAACCGGCTACCGCCGAAACCCACGCCAAACCAAGGAGTGATTCCAACCTGGAAAATTTTAAAAAAATCGTCCAAATCCCCGACGGATGTTGACGCAGTGAACGGCAGTCCCACGACGAATCACCCCTACCACGGCGAGATGAAGTACAAATCGCAATATGTTGGAGCAGGAGCAGCAACGGGCAGCACGTCTCACTTGCCATTGCAAGGCCGGTCCCCGCAGGCGTTGCTCACTCTGCTGCAGCAAGCTGGCGGGAAGGGCGGTGATGCTGAGGAAGAGGAACAATTGTACAGCTTGGACGACGTGGCTGATGGCGCAGCAGAGAAGAACAAATCTTGGACGCCCATCGTGGACTACGGAGGTGGGAGCAAAAATATGGAGCCGGGCGCTGCTAGTGCTATCGCTGGGAATATCAATTCTCGCAGTAGTCCGGACCACGGGGCTAACAAGGGGTCGCCGTCCACCTCTCCTTACATGTCGCCGCAGCACTCCACCAGCTCCAAGCACCAACTTATCACAAGGAAAAATCCCCCCTCCCCATATCGAAAGGAAGTTTCTGATGCTGGATTTGCGTATACGAATCAGGTTTGTCTCGCAGTAGAGGACTGTAGGCTCCTGCCAAGCCTGAGTAGAGAGCTTTTGCCTAGGCGCTTAGCATGAGAAACGACTATGCTGTAAGAGCAACAGCATCACAAACCGCCTGCATAATGCGGCAGAGCCTGGGGTGTTGTCTTCTTGCAAGACAGACGTGATGTGTGGTCTCAAATCAGCAAGACAAATTTTCGGAAACATACCGTTTCGATATGGGGAGGGGGGACTTTTCCTCTCAATACAACTGCACAAGCAGCGACCCCGAGAGCGGCTTGGGTACAAGGAGCTGCAGGAACAGGTAGAAAATTCCACGTCCGGGTCGCCGAAAAACCTTTCCAGCGGCAAGAATATCAAATGCAAAAGTGTCTGGGTCTGGAAGATTCTGAGACTTGTCATGCACGGTTTGCATGAGCCATGATGTCTGTGATGCGTGCCCTAGCATCACAATCTCTTCCAGGGATCCTTGATGCCTATTCCGCATGACAAATGCCCTCTCCGCCTAGCAACAATTAGACTCCTTTTGCTGCTCATGCAACACAAATTTTTTAGACATCCAAATGCAGCATCACAGGTGGTTGCATTCTTCCAGACCCAGACATTTTTGCATTTGATAAAGAAGAAAAAGCTGCAACTTGACAGTTTGGATCGCGACATTTTGAACCTGGCCGCGGACTCCACTCCGCGAACGTTTCGTATTGCAGAGAAAAAAGTTAGCATAACACATTTGTATTGCAAAAACAAGTACATGGAAATTTTTGTCTTGCATACTAGCCAAAACAGGACGAGGACTCCTGCGCATGAGAACTTGTTTTCCTAGTTGCCTTTAGCATTACAAATGTCTTGTCCTCTCAGCTTTTTTCTGTGTTATGATTCGCGACAAGATTCTGCGTCGAACGGCCGCCCACCGTGTCGAGCGTGGTGCGGGGAACAGATACCTGGCCACAAGTCCGGGCGGGGGTGTGGAGCATACGGGGAGCCACAGCCACGGGGTTAATGCGGTCGAACAGCAAGTGCACTATTTGCCGCTCCGTGAAGAGATCAACTACGGGCAGCCCACCACGCACTTGGGTCAAGACGATCCGGTCCAGGAGCAGCTGTACGCAAGAATCAAAAGTTCCAACAACCTGACGACCGGTGGTGGCGGTACTTCTTCCATGACCAATAGCAAACCTCGGAGCTACGGGGGTAAACCGAATTTGTCGGAGTTAATTCAAGAGCCGTTGTCAAGAAAATTTTGAAGAGACATAGTAGTTGCAGACCACCGCGACAAAAATTCACTACGTACTAGTTTTCTGATGTACATCAATTCAGGATCTGGCGGAACTCTTGTAGTCAAAGTCATGCTACTTGTCTGCGTGATTTCATGGCGCACTTCTGGTTTCAGATTTTTACTACAGGTGAAGCATCCGATTTCATGCGTGTCGTCAAAATCGTCATCTAGATATGGAAATCAGTTTTTTGAAATAACATCAAGACCAACCATGTAGTCGGCAGTCAGGACAGACTGCGACAAGAAATCTCAATGCTTTTTAGTTATTCTACTACCATTAAATCGAGCGAAGAGTGGTCCTCGTTAAGAGAACGGGCCACGGCGGGCGCGCGCCCGCTCATGTGACCTTTTTGTTTTTACCTATCACCTTAATTTACGTTATTACATGATCAGAAATTATACTCAATGTCACCGGTATTTGTATGATTTTCGTTTTTCCTTTTCTTTTTCATCCTTGGATCAGTATTTTCGTCAGAGAACTACAATCTAGATGCAATTTTAGGTAGAATACTCCATATTCATGTACATTACTAGACCATTGCTGTTATTTCACATTGATTTATAATTCGAGTTTATGCGAAAATAAATTTGGAAGTTCTACTGGAGAATTTGGTACGAAGAATCAAACGAGATTTAGGTTATTTTAGAGTTCACGATCACGACCTACACCTACTTGGGTCGGCGTCGGCAGTACAGGTTGGTAGTTCTCTCTGTTTCAGTTTTTAGCATAGTTGGTCTTTCCTCTTTCTGATTCTGGTTCAACTTCAAAGTGATTTCGTCTGTATAATTTGACATTTACAGCCTTTTCTGAGGAGGCGATCGAAACGAAACAAGAAGCACGCAGCACGATGATAATTTTTGACGAGTTTCCTCTTCAAGCCCATGGTAGGTTTTCATTCAGCATTTCGTCCACCCTTCGTGAAATAGCTTTTGCGATGAAAATGTTGTCCACTTCTTCCCACGAGGTACTCAAGTCAGTCCTGGCTGCGAGGGACGAAATTCTACCTACGTAAAGTACCAACGAGAGAACTGATCTTGTCTACGTGACAATCAGTTTCTCCTCCTTTCCCTTGCCAGTTTTGATGTTGTCCTGCGGATCATTGATATTTATTCTGTTTCTCCGTTGTACATAGCATCTTGAGCAGTAGTTTCAACATTCATGATTTTTACCTGTCGTGACAACAACTGCTGGTGTGCGACACTTGGAAGCTGAAGGTACATGTGTTTTCGTGAGTCGTAGAGAAACATTTTCTCCTCTCGTAGATGCTTTGTTCCAGGGCTGTTCGAAGATGTGTCCGGTAGAAAAGAACCTCGCGACTTTGTTGATCTTGAGGTGGAAATAAAGAGTGCAACAGCTCCACCCCAGGACCAAAAATGATCTAAATGATAATGATCTTGTTCTCTCCTCGTCGTCCCGTGCAAGACAAAGACTACTGAAAGGAGATCACTGCAGTTCTTGAGAACTAATCGAGACAAGTGAAAGAAGTTCCATAGAAGTGCTCCTCGAGACCACCGACAGCAGATCCGAAATCTTCAATGCGTTCACTCAAGAGAATCTTCCGCAAAGGGAATTCTTTTTGTTCCCTGTAGGTACGAAAAAAAGATCACAAAGGGATCATGACGTACAGATCTGCTCTCTTCTTCATGACGTACCTCGTTGTTCTGGTGCTCTCTTCATCAATGACAGTAGTGCATTAATTATAATTTCTGACCACAGAGACGACGACCGAGGGGTAGAAATGATTTTTCGCTTAGGAGATGACGAACCACTGCTGCATATTAGGTTCGAAGTAAATTTGATGAACTTTGCATAATTCCAGTACCGTACACTACAACAAGAGCTTCCCCTTGAAAACAGAAATTCCCTTGAACGTACAGAATCTACTCCACCATGGACATTTTTTCGAAATTTGCCACGAAAAAGCGGCCGTCGCCATCGGCGGCTGTTGCTCCTGCCTTGGAGAAAGTAGAACCAGTCACGCAAGGAGAAAGCACTTCTTCTATTGGTGATGCGCAAGACCTTCAGAAGAAGGGAAAGGACAAATCCCTATCATGCGAAGGAGCTCCGAGAGAAGGAGAACCAGAAGCAGACCCTGCACCTCCAGAAGACGGCGCTTTGCAGACAATACCAGCAGCGGTAGTTCCTTCATCTGAGCCCCCTGCGAAAAAGAGGAAGAAGAAAAAATCATCAAAGCTTAGTGCGAACAAAACCTCCGCCTGCCCCTCCTCGGAGAGCAAAAATGAACAAGCTGCCGGGGACCACGGAGTAGACCAGCCGAAAGATGATGAATCAACAGCTGGTGTTGACCACCGCGAGGCAACTATATTACAGCCAGAGGCACAAAGACAAACCCCACATCAACCCCCGGCACAGCAGCAGCAGCCGTACACCTCCGCGACCCACATCATGCCGAAGATGCCCTCGCTTTCTGCCACGGTGGAGTGGGAGCAGTTTGATATCGAGGCCAAGTCCAGCGCCGTGAACTGTGTCCACGAGATGGTGAAGCCGAAGGGGTACGAGTCCCCGGCCCTGACAAAGGATTTCAAGCCCGCCAAGCAGTACCCCTACACGTTGGACACCTTCCAGCGTCGCGCCATCGACTGTCTGGAGAAGCGGGAGACGGTTCTCGTCTCTGCCCACACTTCCGCGGGGAAAACCACCGTGGCAGAGTACGCGATTGCCATGGCGTGCCGGGATAACCAGCGGATCATCTACACGAGTCCAATCAAGGCGCTGTCGAACCAAAAATACCGGGACTTGTGCGACGAATTTGAGGACGTGGGGCTGATGACGGGCGACGTGACGATCAAGCCAAATGCGAGCATTATGATCATGACCACCGAGATTCTTCGGTCCATGCTCTACCGCGGGTCCGAACTCTGCCGCGAAATGGCCTGGGTGGTGTTTGACGAGGTACTTTTTCTAGTTTTGTCGGGTTTTGTTTGAAGTTGTATATGTATTTCTGGATCAACATTTTTCGTGAAGCAGATGTAAGAAAATTTCTCCTCTGTGCATACTTACGCATGTAGCGAGTCTGTCACAACCCTATCCTCTGCCGTAGTTTCATCATCTTCCGCGTATACTTTGACTGACAGCACTGTCAACAACTGCCATTTCTTTGCAAGAATCTGCAAATAGAACCTCCACAAACGGGAAAATAGATTTAAAAAAAACTGCTTCCTCCGTTACTGCACTTACATATATACGGGATTGATAAAATCTACCAGGTCCACTACATGAAAGACCGGGAGCGAGGCGTCGTGTGGGAAGAGACTATGATCCTCCTCCCCGACACTATTCGCATGGTTTTTCTCTCCGCGACCATTCCAAACGCGAACGAGTTTGCCGAATGGATTTGCCGGATCAAGCATCAGCCGTGTCACTTGATTTACACCGACTACCGACCGGTGCCGTTGCAGCATTATCTGTTCCCGTCTGGGTCCGACCAGGTGTATTTGGTTTTGGACGAATTGGGAAATTTCCGGGAGGAAAACTACCAGAAGGCTATTTTGACCATGCAATCGGTATCAAATGCAAATATGTCATCTGGGTCTGGAAGTACGTTGGAAGACTTGTCATGCCGGTTTTATTCCAGGTCGCGTGAGGTCTGTCATACATGACCCAGCATGACAGATTCTCCCCGACCTCTATCATGCCTCGTCTGGATGAGAAACTTCCTCTCAGCTTGTGTCCAAATTGGGCAGCTTTTGGGAATCATGCAACACAGACTTTTGCACTATCCAGTATTGGCATGACAAGTTGCAACATTCTTCCAGACCCAGACCACATATTTGCAATGCATAATCCGCCACAGAAAACCAAATCACGGATGACAAGCGGAAGTACGCGAGAAGGAAACAAGATTCCGGGCTCGCGACCGATTTGGAGAAGGTATAATGCGGTGTACCTGTTAATTTTGTGTTGCTATTCGGCATCAGGATCAGCATGAAATACAGCATGAGAAAAAATGTTTGTCATGCAGCGCTGGATGCATACTAGGGTATAAAAATGATACTCCATATCAAATTCACATCAAACTACAGGTGATCGGCATGTGTATGACAAAGAACCACCTTCCCTGTATTGTCTTCAGCTTCGCCATATGGATTGCAAAAATGTCTGGGTCTGGAAGATTGCAACTTGTCATGCTAATTCCGAATAATGCAAAAATCTGTGTTGCATGAGTGCCAAAAGCTGTCCACTTTCGACCAAGTTGGGAGGCAGTTTCTCATGCAGGATAGGCATGATAGAACTCTGACAGAATCTGTGATGCTATGTCCTACATACCAGACCACTCATGGGTGATGGAAATCCTGCATGACAAGTCTGGCACTCTTCCAGCCCCAGACATTTTTACATTTGATACGCCAAGAAGCAGGTCGAGAAAAACGCGACGAGTTTGAAAAACCTGGATCTCACGACCACGCAGGAGAAGCTGCTGATCAAGGAGGTTTATGCATTGCAAAAGTATCGTACTCGTACAGATCGCATGACAAATTTGCTCAGCATGAGAAATACGAATTTGTCATGCTGTTTTACCCTGAGAGGAAGATCTGTCATGCATAAGTGCGCATAGTGTTAGTACGAGTGCGATGCACTTTTGCAATGCATAAGGTTTTTCAAAACGCGGTGAAGACTCTCCCGCTGGAGGACCAACAGCTGCCGGCGATCGAGCAGCTCTGGAACCTGGTGGTGAAGGGAATCGGCATCCACCACGGGGGGTTGTTGCCCGTGATGAAAGAAGTCGTGGAGATTCTGTTCCAGGAGAATTTGTGCAAAGTACTGTTCGCCACGGAGACTTTCGCCATGGGGGTGAACATGCCCGCAAAAACCGTGGTGTTCGCCCAGGTCCGGAAGTGGGACGGGAAAGAGTCCCGGGTTTTGAACACAGCGGAGTACATTCAGATGGCCGGGCGGGCGGGTCGACGCGGGAAGGACAAGCAGGGCTTGTGTATCGTGTTGGTGGACGAGAAAATTGAACCCGAAACCGCGAAAACGATGTTTTTGGGGAACACGACAAAACTAATCTCCGCGTTTTACCTCGGCTACAACATGCTTCTGAATTTACTCCGGATTGAGGGCGGGTCCGCAGATATGGAGAGAAAAAAGTTTGTCACAGTCACTAAGTGTAAGTTGCAGGTTTTGCATTACAAATTTTATCTGCTAAGGAAAATCAGCATGCATTACACATTTCTTTGTCAAGGCAAATGAGCATTACAAAGTTTTTTCGTTTTTTGAAAGCATTTTTGATAGCATCACAAGTTTTTTCGTTTTTTGAAAGCACTTCGTTTTTTGAAAGAAAGCACTTCGTTTCTCTAAAAGAAAGCACTTCGTGAATAAAAATAACTCATGCGAAGATAGGCGGCAGATACTTCAACACCTGCGCAGCTTGCGGGGGGGTGACTCCTGTGGTCCCCCCCCACCAGCTGTGCCATTTCTCAAATCCCACAGGCGTGCGTTTTTTTTTTTCCAGCAGAGGCTGGCGGGGAACAAATAGCCAGGGGGGCTATTTCTATGAATAAAAGTAGACGAATTACAATTACTCGCCGCGTAGGTAAAAAGATAAAAGCGACCAGCTTCAACATCAATTCAGCTGAGTCCCTACTTTCTTCTTGTCACTATAGCAAAGTAATTTTGAAGGAGGTGCTGGGCTGTTTGTGCGACAATAGTGAAGCTAAAGAATGTATTGCTACTGGCCGGAGGATTCTCTACGGGCCGCAACCACGGGCGAGCAGGATGCAGGGTCGGAGTCGTGCGAAGACCGAGGCGTGGCGTGTGGGGACCGAGATGCGACGGGAGCGGATCTTATCCAAAAGGTACGGCCTAAGGCCTCGGGAACGCCGAGTACACCCGCGCACTTCTTCGTGAATCGCCCCCCGCTTTTTGCGCGACGGATATTAGAAAAAAAAAAAAGAAAAAGAACGAGAAAAGTCGGAAAAGAAAAAAAAAGAAAAAATCAAAAGAAAATAACAACAAAAAAAAAAAAGGAAAGAAAAAAAGAAATCAGAAAAAATTCAAAAGAAAACCGACCGAAATCCACGCGCGAGAAGTTTTGCAAAAAAAAAAAAAAAAAGTTTTGCATTACAAATTTTTTTAGCATCACAACTTCTCCTTGTATTGCAGAAACACTAGGGAAATCCCTTATGAAGTGTGGCTGTGATGCATTTTTACGCATGACAGACAATTTTGTATTGCAAAAATGCCCATGAGTGATCGTGACGAACTTTTTTCTTTTGGTAGCAGAGTACATGATTGAGCGGAGTTTCCACCAGTTCCAGCGCGACAAGAAAACGTTAGCGCGGAAGGAGGAACTGGAGGCGATAGAACTGAAGTTGGAGACGAAGTTCGACGATTTGTGCGAAAGATATCTGACCGATGTGGACTACGTGAAAGAGGTGGCGGAAAGGAGGAGAAAAGAAGAATCAGCAGACGGCCATGAATCTCAAGCAGGAGGAAAAATTTTTACAACAAGCTCGACTTCTTCAAGTTCTTCATCAAATCATAGATCTGGTTCATCTACTTCATCATCGTCCGATGCAACGAAAGCCGGCGCCGGTGCCGCGGGGGGATCTTCATGTTCTACAGGGAGCCATGATTTATCCAACAGCACCGAGTTGCCGCAGCATTTGCGGAGTGCATCAAGTTCGAAGAAGAAGAAAAAGTCTTCGAAGGTGAACAAAATAAAGGATCATGCGACAGGACGAGAAGTCAGCTCAGCGACAGCGGCGCATAAAAATCCAGAACTGATAAATTCTCCGCCTGTCTACAACAAACTCCAGGTGGAAAAAGAAACGAACATCAAGTCGCCCGCCCAGTTGAACGAAATTCTGCAAAAGTTCACGGATCTGAACAGCACCACGGTTCTGCTGAGAGAACAACTAAACCTGTTGAAAAACAAGCCGGAAAAAATCGCACCTTTTCTGAACGCAGGGCGAGTGGTGCAGGTGGACAAGTTCGGCTGGGGGTTTGTGCTCAACTTTCAAAGAAAAGTGTCGACTTTGCAGCAGGATAATACCGGGAAAAGGTACACCAGTCAGCAGGATGAGGAAGACGACGAGGAAAAATGGTGGAAAGAATGGGTGGTCAACGTGTTTTTACCTTGCAAAGGAGATGCTAGTAGTACCCCAGGAGCAGCTTGTGCAACATCATCTTCGGCCGCATCTACTTCTTCGACATCAAAAGATAGCGTGGCAAGCAAGAATTGTTCAACGGCGACAGGAATGGAACCAAAAATGCAACAGGACAACTATCCCGAGCCCGGCACCGGCTCTGCCGCCGTGCTCCCCCTCGACATTTATCAAATCACCAAGGTAAGCCAGATCCGCGCCCAGCAGATCGAGAAGCGAACGAAGGAGGAAGTTTTGAAGGTGAAGGAAACGCTGCTGGCGTCTTTAACTACGATTATCACGCAATTTGAGGAGAAGGGGGGCGTTCCGGAATTACATTTGGAGAAAGATTTGAAACACGACAAGGAGACGGTCTTGGAGATTGAAAACTTGTTAAACGAGTGGAAAAAAACCGAGAAGGAAATTTGGGACGTTGAGGACCAAGTTTTGTCCAAGTTCCACCCGGTGTTTCGGGAAATCTTGCTGGAAAAATTCGCGGAAAAGGTGAAGTTGGTGGAAAGGAAAAAGGAATTAGAGCTGTTACTGGAAAAATCCGCGCGGATGCAGAGCGGAGGAAGTAGTTGCAGCAGCAGTAGTGGTACGGTGTCACCACCCGCTGCAGCTCTCGCAGACGGAAATGATGATGAAGCAGCCGCGAAAAATCTGCAGCTTGATGTCACGATCTCCAGCGAAAACAACAACGAAAAGAACAAGACTTCAGCATCTTCTTCCGGAACAGCTACAGCCACTGCAACTACCTCCAGAAGTATTAAAAACTCGACATCTTCTACTTCAAAAGTCGAAATCGACACCGGCGTGTTGGAGGACCTGCACGGCATGCAGCAGGTGCTGCGCCAGCTGGACTTTGTCGACAAAAACAACGTTGTGCAGCTGAAGGGCAAGTTAGCGTGCGAACTCTCTTCCGCGGACGAAATCCTCATGACAGAACTCGTTTTCCGCAACCACTTCCAACAGCTGTCGCCGGAACACATCGTTGCTTTGATCTCCTGCATGGTGTTCGACGAAAACAGCAAGGTAGGAAGCAACGGCGGGAAGGGCAAGGGAAAGGGCAAGGGACATGGGGGAAAACAAGGAGGAGCCTCAAAGTCTTCTTCCTCGTCAACTGACCCCTCAAGCAGCGCAGACCCCACCCAGCAGAATGCGGCCGCGCAACCCCCGGCGACCAAGTACCCTGAGCTACAAACGGCGTACGAGAACATGCGCAACATAGCCGCGGAAGTAGGAGAAACTATGCAGAGAGCAAAGTTGCCGAACTTCGACATCGAGAAGTACTGCGACAAACTGAAGCCGCAGATGATGGATTTGTGTATCCACTGGATGGAGGGCTACGCTTTCCAGGATTTGATGAACGCAACGGACATTTACGAGGGCAGCATCATCCGCGTCATGCGGCGGCTGGAGGAATTGTTGCGGGAATTGGCGCAGGCGCTGAAGACGATTGGGAACGTGCAATTAGAGCAAAAGTTGCAGGAAGGCCGGATGTATGAATTGCAAATATGTCTGGGTCTGGAAGAATGCAAGCCTGTCATGCTTGTCTCACATGACTCTTAAATCTGTAATGCATGAGCAGGAGGGGGAGGGCAGCTTCACTTCTTACCTGTCATGGAAAAATGCAGTTTGTCATGCGGGAAGCGAAACACATAGGACCTCAGGAGGTTGTCATGCGTGGCTGCATAACGCAGTGCGCCCACAATGCACACACTAGCATCACAAGTTTCCAGACCCAGACGTATTTGCAGTTCATAGGACGAAACTGAAACGCGGGATCATCTTCGCCGCAAGTCTGTATTTGTAGACATGCATTACAAATTTTTTCTTAAGCTAAATCCGCATGACAAATTTTATTTCTCATGCTGAGGATATTTGTAATGCATTTATACGAGTAATAAACTTGTGAAGAAGTAGAAGAAGAGTTTTACTGGTGATGACCATTGTTTCATTTCGCCTTCCTCGCTTGAAGATGATTCTGAGAATGAAAATAACGCGCAAGAACGCAGTACTACAGAACGGCCAAAATAAATTCACCCAACACCATAAACGACGGGCGAACAAGTGCACAGGGCAGCTCTGATGTAGTTCTCTGTGCGGCCCGTGCTGTTCTGTTGAGCAAGAATGATCAACACCATTCGTGTTCCACCACCACCTGACGTTAGGAAGAGCACGTTCTTGTTCGCGTCGTGTTTTAAAACGCCAGAGGAATGTAGAACAAGCGGAATCACCGCACTACGCAGCTTGCAGTACTAGCTGTTCTGGTCTTTTCAATGAAACTACTCAAGTACTTACACTGAAGCTGAAAGATCAGAAGAGAAAAACATTTTCTAGTATCTTCATGAAGAAGAACGAAGAACAATGACATCACGACGAAGTTCACAACGCTCAAGAGGCATCTTGACGTGCTGCTGCTCCCTGCTGCAAAAGCAGAAAGACAACTTAAAGATCAAATTCTACTTAGAGTGTCATTCATACTTCTTGTAGTCAAGAAGGCACTGCCACTGTATGAATTACATGACTCGAGAACATTTTCCACTGTATGAATTACATTTTCATTTCATTTGAAGCGGTTCCTCTTGCTTTCCTACATAAGATGAAAACCAAACGTGCTTTTTTACTTTTTATCCTTTTGTCGTACTCCTAACTTCTTTCAGCGACGAATTGAGCAACACATTTTTACTATGTAAAACCTCTCCACGGCCTGACAAAAATTTCAAACACGACTGGACATTAGTTCTATCTTTATCTACGCACGCCAGTCTCTTCCTTGTTCCAATAGTGATCGCGATTCTTATTGTTCTACTGGCGACAGACCACTTTATCTTTATTTCACTTCAGCGACCTTCCTAGTGGTAAGTACCCCAAAATGAGTTACGACCGCGCGATCACCGTTTTTTCCCCGGACGGGCAACTTTTGCAGGTGGAATATGCGAACGAAGCCGTGAAAAGAGGTTCCTGCACGATCGGGGTCCGGGGAAAAGACTGCGTTATCCTTGCGGTCGAGAATATGGATTGCAAAAATGTCTGGGTCTGGAAACTTGTGATGCTGAGTGGCGTATCATGAAGAGGCCACAAGTGCTGGCTCAGCATGACAAGCTTTCGAGCTTCTATGTGTTGCCTATTCTGCATGACAAACTGCGGCGACGGTCTCGACAAACTGTTGCCTATTCTTGCATAGCTGCTTGCGGCGACGGTGCAAAGGTTTTTGATGTGGTGCAGTCGGGTATGCATGACAAACTGCGTTTCTCCATGACAGCAAAGTGGGGCTCTTGGGTAACGTGCATGACAGATTTAAGAGTCATGCCAGACGAGCATGAAAAACATGCACTCTTCCAGACCCATACATTTTTGCATTTGATAGAGAAGAAGGCTGTGCCATTGCTGCAGGACCCCAGAACAGTTAGAAAAATACTCGACCTGGACGGGAAAATCTGCCTGGCTTTTGCAGGTAGGAACAAATCGGTTTTATTTTGGCGAAGGATAATTGTTTCTAGACTTCTGGTTCTGTAAGACGTTCTTACAGCAGCATCATGTGGTACAACATGCGAGTATTAAAAATCTCATTCTCATCAGCATGATCTACTTTTATTTGAAGCAAAAAAAAATATTAGGTCTCAACGCCGATGCCCGTGTCTTGGTGAACCGAACTAGGGTAGAGCTGCAAAGCTACCGACTGAACTACGAAGACGCACCAACAGTGGAATACGTGGCAAGATACCTAGCGGCGACACAACAAAAGTATTGATGTTTTGCAAGGAAGATTTGGACACCGTTTGTTCCACATGCATCCTCATGCTTCTTCCTTGATACTGTCATAATCACGATGGAGCACTGCGTTTTCCACCACGTAGGCAGGCATACGTGTAGCAGAAATGATACCGTAGACAGAATTCATGAATTAAGGTCTTTTATTTCCAGACACGAGCGGATGGTGGATTTTTTCATGCCAGAAGGCCTCCTTTTGCAAAATATGCCGCGTTCGAGAAGTTTTTGTAGCCTTCACGCGAAGACGACCAATTTGGCACTGACCATCATCAATTTTCAGTCGCGTTTCTGTATACGAGAAAGGAGGTCAGAGGCTTAGTAGAATCAGTACTGCGCACGACCACAATTTACGAAACATTAACTTGTTCCCAGATACACACACCGTGGCGGCGCCCGGCCGTTTGGCATTGGAACCTTGGTAGCAGGCTTTAACCGTGACCACGAGCCAGAACTCTACCAAACGGACCCAAACGGTATAGAGATAAAAGCTTGTGATACCGATAATATTGGAAGAAGTCAGTACAACTTACTTACACTGGAGATATTTGTAAATTCTTGTGAGGCATGACCATGATGCGTATCTAGTATGGAGGTCGTATTCAATCGATTTTGTTGTAATGTTCTTGCGATGATGAAGCTGTATCTGAAACCAAACCTAGGCACTTACACGGGCTGGAAGGCAACCGCCATCGGACAGAATTTCAAGACGCCTCTGGATCTGTTGGAAAAAAAGTGGGAGGAGGGGATGACAGAATTAGCGACCAAGAAGCTCGCCATCAAGGCGTTACTGGAGATCTGCGAGGCAAATGTGCAGAACATGGAAATCATGATTATCCGACCGAACGGAGGGGAATTCATGACAGGTATATATGATGAGTTCATCTTCTATAAATTAGCGGTCTTTGACTCTGCGCGGTCTGCATGACAGATAGAATGATACTGCAGTTTCTGCATGACTGATTTCCTGGCCGACAAGTCGACCACATTTTTACGTAAGTAATTTGAGAAAAGAAACTTTCACAGACGCCGAACTGGAGCCACTTTTGAAGGAGTTGGACGACATATGACAGTGCACAACTTCCCCTTCCCCTCATTTGTCATGCAAAATCCCAAATCCAGTTGCTGCCTTGTATCACTATTATGCATGACAGATTCCGGAAGCCCAGCAAACAGTACTGCACTAGGTACACAAATTTGTCATGCCGAGCCTCCACGGGTGCTGGTGTAGTTTGTATTGCTGTTCATGCTATACAAATGAGGGGGAGGGGGAGCTGTGCACTCTCATACGACACAGAAGAGAGGAGGAAGAAACTGTTGGCGGACAAGTAGATCATTCGCCTACAGCAACTTCCAGGTCGAAGCGAAGAGCTTTTCAACAAGGGGTTGCTGTAGCAGGAGTCATTTCACTACCTCCTCCTTGCGACCAAAACACACTAGCGTCGACACTGCGATTGCGATGATAAAGGGGAAAAGGAATATACCTCCACGTCGACCTCTTCGCTTCTTTTTCGAGTCAACTTTTTGAAATCTGAACAAGCGTCGATACATGACAAAACAAGCGACTAGAGTTGATGAAAACGCATCGATGACACCAACAAGAGTTTTTCAAGTAGTCAAAATAAAACATAGCGCAGGACGACACAAAAGTTCCGCGTGTAGCAGTCCCTGTGGTCGTCTACTCTCACTCGAGCTTGACGAAGGGTTTTTTTTTCAGCAATGCAAGAAGTGTTCCACCTCATCATGGTCGCAATTGTTTCGCATCGAAATTGGTTCGCCAACACTTGATGGTCTTTCAAAAGGATGATAGATGATCACTTACCTCGACGAGACTGTCAAAAGTTGAAAATTGAAAATCGTTCTCGTCGATTATTGAGGCACGAGATGAAGAAGTCGATGGAGAAAAAGAAGTGTTTACTATTGATTGGTAGATGAGTAGTTTATTTCCGTAGCTTCTTTCTGGTTGAAGAAAAAGATGTTTATCAAATTGCAAATCGAAGATCGCACTCTTGCGGATCATCGCGATGTAGTTCTTGGAACAAAAGGTCTTGGCTTTAGTTGGTGGCTCTCTGTACAAGTCGAGGAGGCACTTGCTGCGTTTGGTATGATGTATGTTTGTACGCAGTTGTGTCTACAAGTGCCGGTCCTGTTTCACCAAATTGGGAGTCAGCGAGCCATCTTCGCTTGTTAATGAATAGAGAAATTTTGATTTTCTCAGCGAGGAAATAAATTTTGATTCTGTGAAGGAGCCCTCGTCCGCATATCGTTTGACATATCTTCGATGGATAGCGACGAGGTACTATTTTTTTCTGGTGGGAAAGAATGATTATGAAATTCGCAAAAATCTTCGTGGAACGTCCCTACCAGACCTAAGTACGCCCTTCCCTAAACTCCCATGACGGTTCAGCAGCTAGGCGTGTGGTCGTCCCCTCGAGGAGCGGGTCTAGGTTTATCTCCAGCCTGCTCGTGCTCCTCCGGCGAGCAGGGCAGTACAAGAAGTAACAGTGGCACAACAGGAGTACCTCGTCCTGGGTCGCGCCGGTATTGTGACGCTAGTGTTGAGAAGTTGCTCCACTTCTACAACTACTAGTCGCCACAGTAGTTCTTAAAAATCGAAATACAGCACGAGCACTTCTACTAGCACAGTCGGGCAACATCAACTCCCGAAGTAAAATGCCGCCTCGGAAAAGCAAGAAGTCCGAGGATGCTGCAGCAGCCACGACCGCTACTGCTGCAGCCCGGCGTGCTGGGCCGCCTCTTGCAGAGGGAGAAATAGCGACTCCTGCCGGGGACAGACCTGCTGCGCGACAGGCCGCACCTCCGAAACCGCGCGGGAGACCGCCCAAGAATCATATCACGAACGGCAAAGGACCGGGCGCTGGACCTGTGGGGCAACAACCACTTCCAGCAAGTGGCAAACAAGCAGGAGGGAAGAACAAGAACACGAGTAACGCGAAAGCCTCTGGTAGGGGTATTAACAACAAATCTGCAGCGAAGCCGCGACTTTCTGATGAAGACTGGTCACCTGACGAAGAAGCTGATCCTGCTGAAGAGGAAGAAGAACAAGGAGAAAAAATACAAATCCACATAGAGCAGCCGCTTTTCAAAGCCCCCCGGGTTGGAAGAGGAGCAGTACAGATATCAAATGTAAAAATGTCTGGGTCTGGAAGATTGCCAGGTTTGTCATGCATACTATTTTGCATGACCCAGCGTGCCTGTAATGCACGACCTAGCATCACAGACTTTTAGAGGGATTCCTGGTGCCTATTCCGCCTGAGAAATGCCCCCTTTATGTAGCAAGAACTGGACACCTGCTGCTGGTCATGCAATACAAATTTTTTTTGGAATCCAAACACAGCATAACAAGTTGCAACCTTCCAGACCCAGACATATTTGCAATCCATAACAGAAGCCGGAAAATGATACTACGAGCACGACAGCTGGAGCAGTTGTTCTCCAGCATCGGATATCAAATGCAAAAGTGTCTGGGTCTGGAAGATTCTGAGACTTGTCATGCACGGCTTGCATGAGCCATGATGTCTGTGATGCACGCCCTAGCATCACAGATTTTTAGAGGGCTTCCTGATGCCTTCTCCGCATGACAAATGCCCTCTCCGCGTAGCAAGAATTCGAATCCTTTTGCTGCTCATCGAACACAATTTTTTTACACATCCAAACGCAGCATGACAAGTTGTATTCTTCCAGACCCAGACATTTTTGCATTTGATATCGGACGGGACCGCCACCACCCAACAAGCCGCAGCAGCGACCACTTCCTCAGCCTGCCGAACAAACTGCGGGTCGTCCCACCCTGACCGCCAGACAGCTAAAACTCCAGGAGGATAAGGACTTCGAGTTTGCAACGAAGCTGGTCCAAGAAGAAAATAGCGCGCTCGAGCAGGACGCTACGATGGCGAGGAAAATGCAGGCACAAGAAAACCGAAAAGCAGGACGAGGAACATCTTCGAGAAAGCAAGCGAACATCACTTCGGGTAAGAAAGCGAATAATTATCCGAAAGCCGCGAAACCGAAAGCGAAGACAAGGACGTCAGCGCGAAAAAAGAGTGCGGACGACGAGGACGTTGTTATGGAAGATCAAGTATCAAATGCAAATATGTCTGGGTCTGGAAGGTGGCAACTTGTGATGCGTCTTGTGGATCACACAAAAATCTGTCTTGCGTGATTGCCAAAAGTTGCCCTTTTCTGACCACCATAAGAGGGAGTTTCTCATGCAGGACAGGGAAGATGGAGACCTCGCAGAATCTGTCATGCTAGGCCCTGCATTCCGGACCTCACGGGGCAAGGGCATGGAAATTCTGCATTCCAAGTTCGGATCCTTCCAGACCCAGACATATTTGCATTTGATATCAGATTGCTGCGCCAGAACCAGGGGACGATGAGGTGGAAGAAGATGCAGCGGTTGAAGTAGACGGTGGGCAAGAAATTGATGAGAATCATGGTGCACAACAACCACCAGCCGCAGGAGGTCCACCTTCGGAGCAGGGAAAAATGTTGGTGGACGACACAGATAATGTACAAATTATCGGCGAGACGCAAACTTTAAGTGAAACGAAAGAGGACGAAGACGAGGTACTAGCAATACCGGAGGACGGGGCCGGGGCGATGATTCCCAATGAAAAAGATTGCGCACCAGGAGGACCAGGCAGTGCTGCTGAACCAGCTTCACGACAACAGACCTCCGCGAAGAAGATTCTACCACCAGGAGTAGAACAAGTTCCCAATACAGCAACAAAATCAACCGCCGGTAAAACTCGCGCAAGCGGTACTGGTGCAGCTGCAAGTGCGTTACTAGAAAAGGACCAACCGGTAATATCAACAGCGACTTCATCCACCCTAGTAGTGGCTTCTGGTACAACTACAACAGGCGTAGTAGGTGGTGGCAGTAAACCGAAGAGTCAGTACGCCGTGGCACCGAACGTTTTTAGTCCGGCGGAATGGCAAGACGAATTGACTTGCGTTTGCAGAGCAAGAAAACCACCAGAACTTGTACAGGCAAAAGAACCAGCACAACGACCCCAAGAACCAACAGCAGTTGGTCGTGCACAAGAGCAGCCCGGTGAAAACAAGACTACCACCTCCCCCGTCGTCCCCGCGGTAAAAACTACCTCGCCTCCTAGTACCGCAGAGCCGGAGCCAGAAGACCTGGCCGCGTTTTGTCTTGTCGGCGCCTACAAGTTGTCCTTCAAGCGGAACTTTTTCACGGACACCTGCGGGCTGACAACGACGCAAAAGCACCACAATCCCTTCGGCATCTGGAAAATCCCGAAATCCGTGCAAACGTGCACGAGCAACAGCGACATCCCCGCTTTGAACGCAGACCCGGTCTTGAGCGAAAGTCTAGCGTTCTACGGAAAGCAACGGCACCTGCCGACCGGGTTGGTCAACTGTGGTGCGACGTGCTACTTCAACTCCGCCCTGCAGAGCTGTTTCTGGAACGAGGATGTGCGGGAGCTGATTCTGCGGGCCGACGACCTGCCGGAGGACTCGCCGTTGCGGACCCTGCAGCTGACCTTCGGGAAGATGCTGCAGAACCGGCAGAAAGCCTGCCTGGTGCGGGATTTGGTGAACGCAATGCAGATCTCCACGTCCGAGCAGGAGGACGTGTCCGAATTCTGGGCGATGTGGTGCGTTACTCTTACTTTTGCTAAATCGCTTATATTTCCGTTCTGTTTTTCTAAGTTCGGCGCATGCGCATTTTGGTTTGTTCGCTGCATCAGGCCACGACAGAGCAGGCGTTTTCGTTTTCGAAACATCGATTATACCACCACCTTGCATTATTTTCATAAAAAAAAATCTGTCAGGTTCGAACTCCTGCAAATCTTCAAGATGAAGGACAAGACGACAGGGCAGGAGAAAACGATGGAGTCGCTTTTCTACAGCGAGACCCTTGTCCACAGTGCACGCGTGTGTGGCCACAAGACCAAAGCGAAGGTCGATGAAGTTTCAACCTGGAAGCTGACTTTTGCAGAGGAGGTGAATCGAAAGAGGGCACGGCTTGCAGGTATCTATGTGACTTTTTGCTGCTTTTCCATCCATGAAAGTCCTGATAGTGTCGTCTTTGAAAATTTGGACCTGGACGTGGAAACTACTCATGAATCGTGCTTAGTTTGATAATATGTCGCTGCGGATGACCTTTTTCAGTAATTTTGAATCAAAGTAGCATGCACCTCAAAATCAAAACAGAGGAAGAGGCCAAACTGCCCGAGGCGCAAAAGCCTGCAACCCGGGGAAGTAAAGCCGCAAACAAAAATCGCGGCGTTGGTGGGGCCGACGCAGTGCGGCTTGAGGAGCTTCTGGACTCGCATTTCCAGAGCGAAAAGATGATTGGGGACAACGCTTTGGAATGCGATCAATGCACTGCTGAAAATAATGGCCAGAAGGTGAAACAGGACGTAGTGCGCACTCTGAAGATCGGTAAACTGTCGCCCTACATCAACATGGAGCTGATCCGCTACACCTTCGACCCGGTCACGCTCAACCGCATCAAATCCCAGGACCCGCTGAATTTTCCCGTGAAGAACTTGGATTTCACAAAATACTTCGCAACGGAGGAGGAGCTGCAGGACATGCAGTATACAACCTGTACCACAGCAACAGCCAGCAGCCAAATCCCTGCATCTTCCTCAAACATCGCGGCCAGCAGCCCTGTATCAAATGTAAAAATGTCTGGGTCTGGAAGCGAGCAACTTGTGATGCTACCTTTGGACTCTACATAAAATCTGTATTGCATGAACAGCAAAAGAGTTGTAATTTGTGCTACTTACGCGGAAAGGGCATTTCTCATGCGGTATGAGCATCAGAAAGCCCTCGCAAAATCTCTGATGCTAGGGCATGCATCACAGACCTCATGGGTCATGCAAAATCTGCATGACAAACTCCTGCATTCTTCCAGACCCAGACATTTTTGCAATCCATACCCTGGTGCGGTGGACCACCAACATCCGAAGTCGCAAGGAAAGTCTACCAGTCAGGTATTGTGAGGAAAAATCCCCGTTCCCCATATCAAAACGAAATTTCTGATGCTGGATTTGTGAACACAAATTCGAGCTGTCTTGCTGGAGAGCACTGAAGGCCCATATCAAGTGCGAGTAGCGAGGTTTTGGCTTAGGCACTTAGCATGAAAAACATCCGCGCGGTAGGCCCAACAGCATGACAAACCGTCTGCGCAATGCGGCGGAGCCTGCGGAATTCCCTCCTTGCAAGACAGACACGATTTGTGACCACAAATCAGCATCACAAATTTCCAAAAATGTACCTTTTCCATATGGGGAGGGGGGATTTTTCCTTGCAATATCAGGACGGAGACCAGGACGGAGATCCGCAGATCAGACAGCGGGACAAGGAGGCCGACCGCCGCGCGAGTGGAAATGGCCATGCGCAAAGACCATCGGGTTGTTCCGCTGGCGGTTTGGATGCGATGAAGAGCAGAACGAAAATGAAAAATCCGGCGCCAACATGTGGTCGTGGCCACAACGGGATAATTGGCAGTAGCAGTTCTTCGTCTTCTTCTGCGGCGCAAGGAGGCGGCCCGCCTTCTGCCGCGAGCAGTACTTCTAGCAGCAGACACCTTTACGACTTGGTCGGAATGCTGATGCATTTGGGTGGCAGTGCAGGTTCCGGGCACTACACGGCGACGCTGCTGATTGACCGGAAGATGCTCGGGTCGGAAGTGCTGACCAATCCTGTCTGCAGTGAGGTGCCACCAGCGGTACCTGCGGACCACGACTCGGAAGTTCATCTGCAGGGAGTACAGCTAGATTGCTCTCCCGCGGGACGAGCAGACTCGAGTAAAAAAGACCCGGTAGTTCCTGTGAATGGAACCACGACCGCGACTCCTGGTCCCCCTACGGAAGAAGTGGTCACCAATTGTTCTAGCAAGTCAAAGATGAAAAAGGGAACAATAAACAAACGAAGTAAAAAGCTGAGCGAGAACCACGAGGCGTCTTCCAAATCACCAGTCCGTGCAGCTCCCATATGAAATGCAAATATGTCTGGGTCTGGGAGATTGCTAGATTTGTCGTGCTAGTCTGGCATGACTCAAGAATCTGTGATGCAAGGGCGCGAAGCGGTCCTCTTACCTATCATGCAAAAACGCAGTTTGCCATGCGCAACGTGCAACAACAACACATAGGAGCCCGAAAATTTGTCATGCTTGGCTGCGTATTGCAGTAGAACTCTCATTCACTATTTTGCATTATAAGTTTCCAGACTCAGACATATTTGCAATGTATATCCCAAAGTGCCAATCAACTACGAGCCGGACATGCAGTGGTATACGTTTAACGACGACGAGGTCACGGAGTTTGATGGGAAAACGTTCGAGCCGCCCGAACCTGCCGTCGGGCCAACTCCGCGACCGCCGGTCGTGGTAGAAGATGTCGCGGAGGAGGAGGCAGAGGCCAACCCGTCTCCTGGGCGGCAAGGTATACTTGCTTTCTCCTGTAGTGTATTCACAAAAATGCTGTTTCAAAATAAATACCGTATCAAAATAAATACAGTGATCCAAATTTGTAATAGCTCTTTTGTGAACCGGACGTGCCCACCGCACTGCCCGCAGTTTTGTTTATGCTTCGCGCTGAACAATCTCGGGGTCCATCGCATTAGAGGCCTGGCGGGCCATTGTGGCCGCGGCTTGGGCTTGCTCCGTCATGCCTCAACCTGCCTTCAAGGCGGGCCAAGCATGTCGTCTCCACGCCTGGAGCATGCAGTCAGTGGTCAACGCACGTTGCTAGTCGCAACTGCGTTGTGGGACGCCGGAACTGCAAGTAGCAGTACGGCGCCCCTGGCGGCCTCGTCCGGTTCCCAAACCGGGCGTGGGAAAAAACGCCAAAGTGGGGGTACCTTAGTACCCCTGGAGCGGGAGGCCCGTAAACGGGTCCCGACCCGGGTAGATCCTCGTGCAGGCCCCGACCTGCCGAGAAGAATCCCCGGAAGTGCCCGACTGGCACAGGACGTGTGGAAGTCCAACGTAGGCGTCTGACAAACGCCGGCAAAGGCTGACGGGGTCCTCCCTCCCCTCACCTGCGCCACTTAGGGTGAGCACAGCTCCCCGAAACCCCATTCCAGTGAGCCCCTACCCGCTCACACCGAGGCGTCTCTCCCTGTTGGAAGGGGAGGGGGCCTCAATGTCACTAGAGTCACGCACTTGGGTTAATCTCAAAACTGCTTCGCGCAACCAGGCGCGTGACTCAAAATCTCCACGTGTAAAAGCGCCCGGGCGCCGTGCGCCGCACGAAAAAACGGCAAGGTAACGTGGGGCATCACGCCCCACGGTGTGTGCCGCTCGCAAGAGCGGTTGTGTCTCCCCTCCGCGTAGGAGAGAAGCGTGGCGTCGACAGGCACCACGCAACACGCGCGCGTGTGCCTCGAGCCACCAGCACACGTGTGCCTCGAAATCGCCACGCAGTGCGAGGTCACGCGCGCGCGTGCACCTCGAAACCCTAGCCGCGATGCGGCAAGGGAACGGACTACGAGATGCAGCCGCACCGTAGTAGCCGCGTGTTCGTTTATGGTTGAAAATCGATCGACAGGACGCTGCGCAACGCGATTCGCTGCCTCAATGTCGGTCGTCGCAAGGAAACTGTCGGTCGAGAGTTGGATGAGAATGAACTTCCGTACCTCAGAGACCGTTGCGCGATACGTACGCGAGCCGTAAAGCCGCAAGGACCTCGACATGAATGGAGTGCGAAAATCGTACAACAAACGCACGTTCAAAAAATCGTGGGCAGTACAACCCACGCCGATCCCTAGCATTAAGGAACGTCGTCCAGTAGATACTGATCGATCGTCGAACGACCATAGACACAAACCGCAGGCAAATAAAATTCACACAGGGCAGGAGCTTAAAGTACATTGCAAACCCACGCAGTAGCTAGCACTAGGACACTCTAGAGCGCGATAGTTTACACCAATTGCAGCAATTAAGCACACTACCCAGTAAGAGACTTTTGCTTACCCCTAGCGAACAAAGCAAGTGCAACCCCACAGCACAAAACAAACCCCAATGGCGCAAGCGTACACCTTCGGAGGCGGGTCCCCCGACCCGCTGAAACTTCAACTGGAGGTGCACCCGGACCTCTTCGAGGACACGCTAAAAGCGCGAGTGGCGGCAGCATCTGCGGGATGCGACCCAGAGCACCTGGACGCTCGCTGGAAGCAGGCTCTGGCCACGAGTACAGGGCTAGACTGCATCGTCTCCGGCCTGGAGAGTGGCGAATTCCTGGAAATCGACTTGTGGGAAAACGCGCCGCACGCGCAGCTGCCGCTGTCGGAGCACACAGTCGCGCACTATGTGCGATCCATCGTGGCCCTCACGTTGGTATACGAAAAGTACAACTCCGTCGAGTTCGACCGTTTACCCTCGGAAAAGCTCAGGAAGATGGCGGTTATGTACGGCCTACAATCCGGCGGGAACAAAGCTGCGAGGCTGAACACCCTCCAGCTCGCCGCAGAACAAGACCACTTGTACCAGTTCCCGCTGCCACTCTGCCCAGTCGTCACGGACGGCCTGACCATCCACGACATCACCGAAACGTCGCTCCAGGTGGACGGGACCCCGGTCCTCGGACAAGCGGCGGGACCCGCCCTGCACCCCATTGTCTACCCGAATGGAGATAACGCCGCGGCGTATCAGGCGATCCAACAGGCGGCAGCAGCTGCAGTAGCGGCGCAACAACAGGCGGCAGCTGCAGCAGCGGCGCAACAGCAAGCAGCAGCTGCAGCAGCAGCGCAACAGCAGGCAGCGGCCGCACAACAGGCGGTGCAACAGCCCGCGGCGGCACAGGGCCCAGGACAGCAAGCAGCAGGTACAAGTACCCTGCTTCTAGAGGCCTGCCACTCTCTCGGTCGAGGCAGGCTGGCCTTACAGTAAAACGCTGCAACTCTCTGGGAAAGTTGCAGGGATCGCAGCGCGCGCGCTGCTGCTAGCTATGCACACAAAAGCGTCACCACGTATGCCTGCAATATGTCAACCCACAAAACTCACAGGTGGAGCCGCACAAGGTGCGGCAGGCGGGGCACCACCGCCCCCAGCGGCACAAGCGCAAGTCATGGGAGCAGCGGCGGCTGCGGGACCCCCAGGCGGAGCAGCACAGGCACAAGCCGGAGGCGTAGGTAACAGCTAACGCTTCTTCGCGTAGCTAGCCATACGGTCGCTTTCATAGCCATGACATAGCCCCTAGCTAACGTATGACTAACAGCAATACAAACAACACACAGGTGCGCAAGCGCAGCAAGCAGGAGCGGCTCAGGCAGGAGCAGCAGGAGCACCCGCTGCCGCAGTCCAGGCAGCCGCGGCGGCCGGAGCAGGTATCTTGCTTGTCGTCGCCACAAAGGCGTCCTGCATGCCCTAAATCACCTAAAGTTCGCTTGTTGAGCACGCCTTCCCTGGAAAGGTGTTGACAGTACGCGAATAGAGGCAGGAGCAAACGCGTCCCGCGCTCTGAAATTGTGTCTCGCAATTATGAAACTAACCCAACACGACCACAGGAGCGGGACAACAGCAAGGGCCACAGGCACAACAGGCGCAAAACCCGGCGCAGCAGGCACAAGCTGGGGGAGCAGCAGGTACAGCCTCCACAAGTCTGTCTTTGCCCTTCTGCGTCTTTCAGAACTCTAGACCCGCCTAGAACACTAGAAGCGAAGACCCCCGCAAACATGTACTTTTGTGGGAATTCGAGCGGGGTTCCAGACCTGCCAAACCAAATCAAATCCCAAACACTCAAACCACAGGAGCGAACGCCGCGGGACAACAAGGACAGCAGGCCCAGCCACCGCAGGCAGGTGCGCAAGCAGGTATAAAGCTACCTAGTGTTGCGCATAGTTCATGCCTCGAGATCAATGCACGTATGAGCATGCCCTTGTTGAAGCTCCGTCGCGCCCATAGCGACCCACCACCAACTGCCAACAACCTAATAAAAATAACACACAGGTAACCTACCCATCCCGCCAGCAGCGGCCGCGGCTGCGGGGGCACAGTTACTAATTGCAGGGCTACAACAGCAACCTCCACCGCAGCAGGCGCAGCTGGGAGCGCAACAAGCTGGACAACAACAGGTCGTGCAACAGCAGCAAGCCCCCGGACAACAACAAGCCGGGGCGCAGCAGGGTGGACAGCAACAGCTAGCTGGACAACAGCAGGTCGCGCAACAGCAACAAGCTCCAGGACAGCAACAAGCTGGGGCACAGCAGGGTGGACAACAACAGCCACCCCCGGCCGGACAGCAAAACCAAGGTGGACAGGCCCAGCAGCCACTGCTGCCGCCCGTGGGACAGCAGGCCCAGGCGCAGGGACAGCAGAACCAAGGTGGACAAGTCCAACAGCAGCTGCAGCCCCCCGCGGCGCAGCAGAACCAGGGACAGCAGAACCAGGCTGCCGGGGCACAGCAACAATACGTCGTGATCAACGGCACGGCATACCCGGTCGCGCAACAACCGCATCAACCGCAGCGGCAACAGCAACAGGGAGTTCAGCAGTACGCAGTAGCGCACGCTCCACAGCAACAAGGGCTACCCCTGCCGAGGGTTGGAGGAACGCAACCTCCGCTCCCACCGCCACAGCAGCAACGGCAGGCGCAAGCACAGGCAAACGTCTACGGTGCGTTCAACACAGGAGGGGCGCAGAACGCTGGCACCGGGGGAGTCCACAACTTCGAACGGTACGCGGCAACAGCCCCGCCGCCGACTAGCAACGCGCGAACCGACATGCACAACTTCCAAAATTGGAGCGAAGACGAGCGGGCTCTGTACTTCGACACTATGGTAAAACGGGCAACGGGAACCCAAACGGGCGTACAACTGCCGGAGGAGCCCATCCTGCAACCCGTCAACGCCCACTGGCACATGCGGGATGAAACGCTAAAACCTCTGCCACGCAACCGTAGGCCGGACGATGACGCCGGGGCCGACCCCGGTTACTGGGTCATCACCAGCCAGAATAGACCGGTGAACTTGGAGTGCTTCCCGCTGGTCTGGATGTCCAGCCAGTACAAGAGACCGCAGTCGCTTCCGAGGGTGAGAGCGAAAAACGCCGACGGTACGTATACCAACGGCAAACCGTGGAACGAAGGCAGAGTGTACGAAGTAGAGTACATCTCGGACTTGCGAGATTTGTTGGTGTGCCACAACGCAACCGGTGCACAGGTGCAGGTGAACATGCAGAACATCACCTACATGTCGGAACACCTTTGGGTGGATACCGATACGGTATTGTACGAATACCTCAGCAAGTTGGATCCGGAAGCAAGGCGGGAAGCCAAAATGGCTGTCCTCTGGGCGATGGCGCTCGGAATCAGGGACGAGCTCCAGCTGGTCTTGCGGGCCCTCCAGGAGGAAGAAAGCCTCACCACTAAGGGGGTACACAACAAGGACACCCTGTACAAAAACACCCCGAAGCACTGGAACGGCGTCTCCTCGGACCTGGAATGGTACATCAAGAATGGCAAGACAATCGGCATCACTGAAGGGCAGGCGAAGTCCCTCGTCTACGAGATGCGCCGCATCATCGACAAAAAGATGACGACCGCCACCCCCAACATCACGCAGACGGACATCGAGCACGTACAAATCGGCCACATCTATGCCTTTTGGCAAAGATGCGTTGATGGAAATTTCGAAGTCAACGGGGTACAAAGCGCCCACCTCCCGAAAGGGGCTAACTTTGTGGCGTCCTCCAGCCGAGCGGAGAAATTCCACCACGTGTGCATTGTCGCCACGGTGCTCAACATGTACGACACAGTCGCGGGCGCTACCGCCGACCTGACCGGACTACGGGACACCATAAACATCAAGTCGGATTATGAGTTTCAGATCCAGACTTTACCAACCGTCATCTACTCGTTAGCGTCGAAGCAGCCACCGAACAAGTCGCTGAACTTGGGACTGTCCGAGGGCCAAGGTGGCAACACCAGGACTTTCAAGTACGTGGTAGAAAAGGTCGCCACGGGTCGCTGCGCCGAGATCATCAAGACGAGACAGTTCTACTTCGCCTCGAACGGGCTCGGGGACGCCAATCCGAATCCGGACAACCTCACTAGAGCGCAGAAACGCGCGGCAACGCGCCGAGGCGAGGAGGTGGGTAATCCGCACCTGAAGCACCAACGCAAGGCGTCCAGCAGCGACGAACCGATGTTCTCCAAAAGCCCCACCTTCGACCTGCCCAAGCAGGCCGGCAGCTCCTCCTGGACGAAGAACACAAACCAGTCCAAGATGGGGAAGCTCGACATCACCACCGCCAAATACAAGAGCGACTGGAACGCCAAAGACCCGTACTTCCAACGTAAAATGAGCGCCCAAAAGTCAGTCATCCACGCGGGAAAAATGGCGATGGTCTGCTCGGCCGCCGGCCTGGTGGAAGAGCCGGGTATCGCGGCCTTGAACTGGCCGCATAGCGTGTGCCGGGATTTCCATATGCAAGGATCCTCCTGCAACGGCGGTTGCAGAAAGTGGCACGACATTCCCGAAGAGTACAGGACGGACACGCAGTCCTGGTGGCACATCTTGAACATCCAAAGCGCCATGGCCAACAACAACTCCAAGAACCTTCAGCAGCTCCAGCCCTGCCTCCCCATGTCACCACCCGGGAACGGCGGGAAAGGCGGACAAGGAAAAGGCAAGGGAGGAAAAGGCAAGGGCAAGAAAGGCAAGGGCAAGAAGGGCAAGGATAAGCAGGGGAAAGCGGCTGAAAACGAAGACTGAAGTACTAGTATGGCCACCCGCGGCAGCGGAGACGTCAGGGACTAAATAAATAGTCAACTAGAGCTAAAAATACCACGAGCCACATAACACCACACGTACAAACAAAACTCGCCACCAATTTTGAAAATGCACGCACGTCAAATCTGAGCACGATAAGGTAGCGCCACTTCTGAACGAGATAGCAAGTCGCGACCCTCTAACGGAACAGCTACGAACTAAGCTAGGGATCGGAAAGAGTATGGCGTCGCTCCAAAAAATGGCGTCGGGGAGTTCCGTGCAGCACGAACCACTCAAGGTGTGGAAGTTTCCAAAATTGAGCATGCGTGCGGAACATGAGTCTCGCCCAGCAAGTAGCAAGGATGAGATCCCCAGAATAGAAATCGCGTGCGTACATAGATCGAAAAGCGTACAGACATAAATCGGATGAACGACCGCAACGTACAAAATCGGAAGAGCATGCGAGTAGACATGAATAGGTCGGAGGTCGTGTGTGAGCAATAGCATGGAATTAGAAGGAGTAGTTTACGTAGTCGCGTAGTGCCCGCACCATGTTAACATCGGAAAAGAGTCTGCGTCCACAGAGCTCGTTGGAGGTCTGCGTCCACAATGAGGAACAACAGAGCCGCCACGTCATGCGCGCCCACCTGCGGGGCGCGCGCGTGTACGAAACCTGGGCCGACGAAACTATGTCGTGCCTCAAGCCGACCTACTACAAGGTCAACCCAGATGGAACCATCACCGCCACGGAGCGGTACTTCAAAAAGCTAAATGTCGAGAGGCCGCCTGAGGGACAGGAGCGGACTTCCGACAAGCCCCTCTTCCCGGTCATCTCGGCCCAGAAAGTAGGGGACGCAAGCGCAGTCCTGCAGGCGTGGGACTACCTTGAAGACGCCCAGCGGACAGCTCACCCCTACTTCGCGGACGAGATGAGTCTACAGCGCAATAGCGATCAACGCACGTTGCAGGATGGAAGTTGGGGCAAAGAGGAACTACAGCGGTCGGTGCTGGCGCACGTCGAACTCTACAAGCAAGTAGGGTTCGGCACAGCGGGAGCCATCGGGACACTGCTGCAGGCGGCGGAAACCGCCGACCTCATGGACGCCTATGAAAACGGCGACGACCCCCATGTAAAATCGCCAAATAGCTGGACAGACTCGGATAGGGAGGATCGCTTCACGCGGCTCCCTTGGCAGGAGTACCCCCACCCCCCACGCAACTGGGACGGCAAGTTCCGCGGGGAAATATGCGACCCAGATAGCAACGATCTGTGGACGCAGCACTCGGGCCACATGCACATCCGAGATCAGGTCTTCCACCGTCGTGCCCGCCTAGGCTGGCAAGCATAAATCACAATACCAAATCACAGGACTGACTAGCATCTTACCTCACGAGTAGAGCACCCGTTAGATGTAAGACCCCGCAACATACGCACGACATCAGCAAGAGCAACTAATTAGACAACTAAGAGGACCGCCCAAACTCAACATGGCGCCAAAAAAGAAGCACAAGAAAAACGCGGGCGACCAGCAGGACGGGACCCAAGGCCGCTCCCATGGAGGCGGGTCTAGTGCCGGACACAAACACGTAATCCGCTACAAAGAACCGGCGGCAGGGTTCATAGGACCGGAAACATACCAGGACTACGACTTGGAACGCATGTACTCATGCACGCAAATAGACGGGCTAGTCTTCGAGATGTTCCCGGAGGGGTTCTGTCGCTATCTGCCGCCCCATCATTACAAAGTCCTCCCAGATGGAACGATAGAGGCGACCAGAGCCTACATGAAAGCAAGAGGCATTCACATGGGCACCACCCGCAGCAACCGCCCGCGCCGTCGCTACAGCGGGGTGGCCCTGTTCCCGCCCGAGCTCCGAGCCTTCGATAACGACCTAGCGGCCGAGAAAGAGGGGCCACAGCTGAACCTCCTCACGGTATAGGACTCGAGCTCTCCGCTAACTGTGCCAAAAGTGTTACTCCAATAGCATGCTAGAAAAGTCACTCCATGGACCGTGCGTATGCTGATAAACTAACAAAACAACTAAAACACAGGCTACGCACGTTAGGAAGATCCACCAGCAATTTGGTCGGCACAGCTACCAGGCGGAGCGCCGTCGCGTCGGCTTCCTTCGGGCCCAGAGAGACGCGGTCCATGAAGCCTACAAGAAAACGCCGCGGGCACGCTACTACCACGACTACAGCTCAGACCCCAACACCGGAAGGCACTGGGGTCCCAAACCCACGGCGCTGGACATCGAAAACGTGCACAAGGAGCAGTTCTATAAATTTCCGAACTACCACATTCGGGTGATGATGCACGAGCAGGACAAAACCGGACCACTCTTCCCGGAGGACGAGTGGTCGCAGGAAGAGCTCGCGCGCCATTTGCAGAGCCACGTGAGGGCCCTGATTAAACCCCTGCGCGACCGTAGCACCTGTGAGTCACTCCACCCCGACAACTACCGGAACTACATGGACCCCGTGGAGTATCATGGACTGCGAGACAAGACGGGGGGCCCATGGGACAAGGGCGATGGCGCGGCCAAGGACGAGCCGCGACTCCTGCATCGAGCGTGGGCACCCACACCAAAGGAGCAGGACGCACTGGCCTCGTACCCCTCGTACGGATTTGGGCAAACGGAGCTCGAGAAGTTTAACATGCGGGTCTCCTTCAGCCCATGCGCTGAACAGGCGGGGGTCAGCTGGCAAAGCATGAGATCCCGCATCCACATCACCTGCCTAGTCACCGCGTGCCGCATGCTCGAAAAGCAACAGGGTCAGCTCGGCGACGATGAACCAATGCTCCTACCCCTGGAGTTGCACGTGTCGAAATCCCCCGAGAAGAAGCCAACCTGGGGCTTCCCGGAGGGCTACGACTGAGGTATAAGCTAGACCAAGACCTACTTAGATACTGAGCAAATCACAACTCGAGCAATAACTCGCGCCAAGGAGTTAACCAATGATAAGCAGAAGTCGACAACCTAAAGTAAGAACGTAACGCGGGAGCGGCACAACCATGAGACACACGCTAGGAAGTAGCTTCTGACCCGAGAAAACAGAAAGCACATACTACCCTAGTAGTGCAGAACTGCAGCTGCGCAACATGCCAGAAGCGCGCGCCCGCCTCGCCTGTTCAATCACAAAAAGAAAGCAAGTTACTGGATCCGCACAAATCTGCCTTGAAATGAGTAACGGGTCAGGATCTTTCTTAGCTAAGTTCTGGTAGAAACTCGACGCCATAAGACCACGAAAGCACAGCAGCGCACTAGACCAGAGGCACAAGTAGCAGATAAAGCACACCCCAGCCGCGCGCTCAACACAGCACAAGTATACAACAAACCCACAGGGAACATAGAATGGGAAATCAAGTGAGTTGCTGCATGTGCTGGGAGGAGCAGCTCTGCTGCTTCCTCGCCATATTACCAAATGGACAAAAAGTCGCTCTACCGTACGACTCTGTGTGTATCCAAAAAGATGGACGCATTCGCACGATAGGACCAGGAAACATGGTCTGGAACACGGCGGGAAACACGGAGCCGCTAGAAAGCAAGAAGCCCGTCTTCCCCGTCGCGCGCCTCCGCGCAGAGCTCCTCATCGGCACACCGGGGGGATATGCCGAAGGCCATGCCATCCCGGACGCGGACAAAAACCAGGCAACGGCGGAGATCACACAACTCGTCCGGGAGCGCCTGGCCAATGGAGAGCAGAAAGAGCATTACACCGCATCGCAAAAGCGGAACTACGACGAGCTCAGGTGTAAATGCTTCGCATGTGCAAAAAGCATGGATGTGCATACCCATCGCCGAGACTAAATTGCAATGCAACAAAAACCAAACAGGTGCTACATGGCCGACAGCGTCCGCCTGTGGACTAGCGCACAAATCCACACCCGCCTCGTGCTCTACCACCGCCTCACCAAGGGTCGTGACCTCACGGAAGGAAAATACTTCCGGCCTCACGCGTTCCTCAAGGGGCTCGAGATGCGGCTGGAGGCCAACGTTAGTGGACTGCAGCACACAAGCTTCCAGCACGCGCTCACTGGCGAAACCAACCCCCACAGCGTGTATCCCGCGGGATACTGGAAGGACACAGTGGAGCACTTCCAGTTCGTCTCGCCCGATGCGATGAAACAGTGGTGCGAACACGCCCGCGGGACCTGGGCCGCGACGCGGGACCTGGGCCTCCACCGGCTCATGATCCGCATCAAGCGTGAGCATAGCGACCACATCGCGCAGGACGGCCTGCAGCAATGGGGACCCAGGGAACACACCGGCCTCCGCATGCTCGCCGCGGGAGAAAAGTCCGCCACGTACATCCCATCCCCGGACCCCCTCCACAGCAAAACCCGGTGGAGGGACCACGCTGAGGGGCCACACATGCCGAACGAGGTCCCGGGCTACAACTCCCACTGCCTCGCCTGCCGGCTCATGGCTTATAACCACTGCCCGACGCCCTGTGGACGTGAGGAGTGCACACACTGTGGTCGCTGTGTGGACTGCGACCACGGCTGGGACTAGTCAGAACGGACAGCCAAATGACTAGAAAAGCCACGCACTGAGCGACCCGGTAGCCTAGCAACAGAGGTAGCAACACCAACAGAGAGCACCACTAGAAACCACACAAGTGGCCCATATATAGTAAGCAGACGGGCGAGGTCGCTAATACGGCCCCCGTAGTGGAGGCTCGCTGAGTGTTCACCCCAGTAAACCATAGCGCCCAGCACACATATGCACGCACCATAGTAAAGACTCGTTATCGGTATAACAGCCAGCACCACTAGAGAAAAGAGCACGCGTAAAAACGGAAAAACAAGATGGACGCACGGGACGCCTCCGTTATACTCCCGCCACAGGGGGTAAACCCGCGCAACATGTACAAACCACCGCAACCACGAACGGCGTCTGCGCAAATTGTCCCGACAACGCGACAGACAAACGACACCGCCCTTACGAGGACCTTCACAACACTGCAGGCGGACCTGGAGGCGCAAGCCGTACAGACGAGCACACTGAGCACCCACGCGCAACTACATGAGGCCCTGCGAAGATACATCAAGGCCACCTGGCCAAACTTCGGGGACAGCGAGCCAGCAAACCTCAAGCAAGTGGAGCTGTTTTGCCTCGACAAGGTACAAAAACAGGAGCACAGGAGCGCCGATGTAATCTTCACCCAGCTCCTGCACTTCATGATCAACCCGCCCCTCGATGAGGATGGACGGCAGCCGGTACTGCTCCAGAACGCCCCCGCATTTGCGCCCCTGGCATTCGAGAAAGCGAGGGAGAGAGTACAGAAGGCATGCTCAGCCACGAAGTGTCCGGTCACCAAAGCCTACCCGCTGTCACTCCACACACTGCGACAGGTGGCCTTTCCGGAACGGGCAGCGCTCATGCTGTGGTATCTAGTGGGATGCAGGTCAGCAAGCATCCAGGCCATCGAGCCGGGCGACGTCAAAATCCACACCGCGCCAGGCACAAGAGTACCCGTCAGGGTGAGCGTCTTCATCCGGTCGGATAAAGTCTGCACGGCAACATCGCGCACGGTGCTGATAGGGTGCAACTGCTTCGACGACCCCACCTGCTGTCTGCTATGCGACAAAGAACACCACGACGCAATCGACAAGCTCAAGGACAGCCACGGCAAAACCTGGCTCCCCCAGCTCGCACACTACGGCCTGGGGATCACGGAACATAGCGTGAGAAGAGCGCACGCTCTCGAAGCGAGGAGACGCATGCAAAGCGGCAAGCATTGCAACCTAGACCAGTTCCTCCGCGATAGGGGTTGGCAGCTTCGCTCTACCTTCGCAGACTACGCGTGCGACCTCCAGGACTTCGTCCACATAAAGTTCCCGCCCATCGGCGCCACGTGGTGGCCAGCGGACCCACTGGACGACTCCACCAGCTCAAAATCCATGGTCTTCAGAGACGTCAACAAAGTCACCAATATCACCCGCGCAGAAAACATTGGCACGCTGGCCACCGCCCCCTCCAACGGCCTCCCGGTGGCCCGCTCCGCCAAACAGACACGAGCCCACGGCGGCCTGTCGCCAAAGCCACCAACCCCGAAGGTAGTTCGCAAGGCAACCGAGGGCGACAAAGTCAGCAAATACACCAGCCTCGCACGAGGAAAGCCGGCGCTCACCAGTACACTCCGGCAAAACAAGGAGGGAAAGCTAGTCCCCACGCTGCCAACCGTGGTCAAGAAAAGCTGGGAGGAACTAGCAGGCCACACCAAAGAGAAATATGTGTACCGACCCAACGACGCCCCAAAGGAACACCGCGAGGAGGCCTGGGCGGAACGACAACGGCGAGGGGTTGGAACGGCACAAGAACCCGCAAAGCGCAACAAAAACTACAAACCCTGGCACGCCCTACCCCTTCCGGAACGGGCAAAGCTGCGAGACGGGGCCGGAGCAAAACACCAGTCTCGCGAGAAGATTGAGTATTACCTTCAGGACATAAATCGTGAACGGGTGGCAAGCCACCGCGACGCGATCTATAGGCAGCACCCGGATAAGTCCGGCTTCTACCGAGACAAACCGGATGCAGGCGAGCTCGAGCAGCTACAGCAGGCGGGGGCGCAGCCCCCTGCGGGACCTGCGTGACGACCCGCCGGCGCGCAAGGCGTCCGAACCCTGCGAATGGGGGAACTCAGGGCGTGACGTCCACTATCGAATGGGGAAGAGAGCTGGCACCATGCCGGCGGATCGAAAAAAGAGAAAATGATGAGCCCTTCTAGAATGTGAACTGCGAAAGCTGTAAGACAACGCAGGAAGGGCAGCTCCACTGAGCGAATCGTCATGAGGCGACACGAGCCGGCACCGCGGCGGAAAGTGTTCGCGCTCCTCTAGAAAGAGCAGAGCTGAAGTTCCACTGAGATCACGCGAATCTCATGCAAAACTGGTCCTGAAGCAATCTGCCATACTTCCGCGAGATCAAGTGGGCCCACGGTTCCAATCTCGGCGATCCTCCTGCCGCTAAGCTCTTAGTTCCGCCATCGATCAAGGTGGGCGCGAGTAAACCAAAACACTAACACGCTAAACACACAGACACCAACGAAACGCAGTCGATCCGTTAAGTCGATCTATTTAGCAGAAGCTAGATCCGAATGTGTCCAACGAAAGATAACGACATCTGATCTAAAAATGATCTCAGGTACCGACCGACCGGGAGAGGCCAACCCGTCTCCTGGGCGGCAAGGTATACTTGCTTTCTCCTGTAGTGTATTCACAAAAATGCTGTTTCAAAATAAATACCGTATCAAAATAAATACAGTGATCCAAATTTGTAATAGCTCTTTTGTGAACCGGACGTGCCCACCGCACTGCCCGCAGTTTTGTTTCGCCCTTAGATGCCAAACCCATGAGCCCGAAAAAACTGGAAGACCTCACCGCCGCCGAAGCGGCGGCGCCGGACACCAGCCAACAAGCAGCCATGCAACGCACAGCCTGGGAGATGCTACACGTGACAAGAGACTACGTACGAGCAGCCCGAATGGCGAGTAGTGTCACAGTCCCGAGCGACACCATCGCAAACATCAAGCAGATGAAGGCAAATCGGACGGCCTGGGTAGCCCGAGTCAAGGCGGCCATAGCCAAAATCCGGAAAATCGGAAAAGACACTAGGAAAGAAAACGCCGAGCGACTCAGCACAGCAGAGCCACACATCCAACAGGCACTAGGATGGGGCGCCACCAAACGCAACCTGGTCGCCCTTCAGCGGCTCATAGAGTGGTCACATCACAAAGACAAAACCCTCCCAAGCCACCTATTCCGAGGGGTGCGCACGATTGGCAACGCAGATACGACGGGGGGAGTCTGGGACCTCGACCCCACAGTCACGGCCATCGACCCCCAAGACGTGCAAGACTTCCTCGATGCTGAGGCTACACTCCTCAGACTCCAGGACGACCTTCCGCTCACGTCCTCCTTCGCACCGGAGGTACTCCGGAAGCTCCTACAAGGCTGCAGGGAGATGGTGGAAAAGGGACTCTACAAGCCGATAGAAAGAAGAAATCTCAAAGCGCGACCCAGCCCGGCCTTCCCAAAAGTCGAGTTAGAGAAGATCCGCCAGATCATCGACTCCAGGGCGCAGAACGCGTGCAGTCGGCTAGTCGAAAAGGTGCAAATCAAAGGCACGCGCACGATCAGCGAGATCCTAGAGGCCTTTATGAGACCAATAGGGAGGGAGGACGCCCTCACCCTCCCCAGCAGCGTATCTGCAAAGGAAACCTGGCGGGATACGGCCGAGACCCTGGCCCAGGTAGCTGCGGAAAGGAGTGCCACACTCCCAAGCCAGCCCGGCTCGGAACCGCGCCAGCTCGAGCGGGCCCACATCCTTGAAGAGGTGAAACAGTGGAACGCACAGCTAGCAGACCACCAAGGGGGAGGGGTCATCCCGGAGATGGGCACGAAGGACTTCGAAAAGTACTACTACGCTTTCGGATGCCTCGACCCCAAACTCAACGGCATTGCATTCTTTGACCCGGACCAGCGGGCATGGCAGTGCGTCGAAAGCTACGTCCTTAACATGGGAAACACCCACTCGGTGCCAGGAGGTACACACAGGACCCACAGACATAGAGCCGCCTCCCCGGGCGGGGTAAAAGTACGGACATGCGCAACTCGCGAAAACATGTAAGCCACGCCTCACAAATCTAACCTCACCAAAAAACCAAACAGCCTGCCGCGTATCGGAAGCCATACGGACCATACACCAGGCGGGGGGCGGCGTGTCGAATCTGTATATCGATGACGCCATGCTCTACGGCACCGACCGTGAGACGTTCAACCTCTGTCGGGACCTCTACCTCGCTGTCGTCGAAGCCCTAGGCATCCCGCTAAGCAAGAAAGCAGCGGGCAACCAAGCATCCTGCGATGACATTCCCGGAGGAACGCGCGACTTCGTGCGAGCGCTAGGAATACGGTATGTGTGGATACGGGACCGGTCGGGCCGCCCCGTCCGACTCTTCTCCGTAGTACCGCGCGACAAAGTAGCCTCCGCGCAGCGGGACTGCGATAAGATACTAGCGGCCCACAGCGAGAAGGGAGGCAGAATCCAGCAAAAGGACATCCAAAAACTCCTCGGCATGGCTCAGTACGTGATATGCAACACAAACCGAGCGGGGGCGGAATTCGTCCGCCATTTGTACCCATGGGCCTCGGACGACTACTTCCAGGCCAACATCACGTGCCGCAATCTGCGCAAGGCACTCGCTACGGCCGTAACCACTCTGAGGGCGCTGATCGAGCATCTGCCCCCCTACGAGCACATCTTCCGAGTGCAGAGGGTTAACTTCATGTATCTCGACGCTAGCGGCGCCAAGGCCCCGGACGCCCCGTGTCTCGCGGACCGGGGGCCTAAAGAGCCGCCACGACTCGGGGGCATACTCGTCACCGCGGATGGGAAGGTTAAGGCTTTCACCTACCCCCTGCCGGAAGAGCACGAACTTGCCACGTACGATATAATGACGCTGGAAACGCTGACGGTGCGACTAGCCCAGTACCTCTACAGCGAGGACATGCGCGACGCACTCTCCGTGGTGTCAGTTGACAACGTGGTGGAACTCTTCGCGCTCGTGAAGCTTAGCTCCCGGCAAAAAAGAGTGTGCAACGTAGCAAACCGCGTCGCCGTCAAAAACCAGGAACTCGGGGCCCGATGCTGGTACCGGTACACCAATACCACCAGGAACCCGGCCGACGCCTTCAGCCGCAAGGACTACCTGCAGGCTGCGCTTAACTTCTGGCGCCCAGATGAGCTCGCGCACAAGAAAAACCACCCCGAGGTCCCGGGTTTCCTGGCAAAGCAGGCCAAACCCATCGACCCACACGAGATTTTCCCCGACCGCACAAAGCTACCCTTTGACCCGGTCAGAGACACAACGGCCCAGGCTGCAAGGCACCGCACCTGGAAGGAGCGCTCTCCAGCACTCACAGGCCAGAACATTCTGGACCTGCCTGACCGGGCACTGGACATGCTCACGATGAGCACACAAGAAGAAGCCGCTGCCGCTCTCGGCAGTGGCGGGGCAAACTCGCGTCTTCCGGACGCCTCGCGCGTAAAACGCCCCAGCGTGCAGGAAGCTGGCACCATGCCGGCGGATCGAAAAAAGAGAAAATGATGAGCCCTTCTAGAATGTAAACTGCGAAAGCTGTGAGACAACGCAGGAAGGGCAGCTCCACTGAGCGAATCGTCATGAGGCGACACGAGCCGGCACCGCGGCGGAAAGTGTTCGCGCTCCTCTAGAAAGAGCAGAGCTGAAGTTCCACTGAGATCACGCGAATCTCATGCAAAACTGGTCCTGAAGCAATCTGCCATACTTCCGCGAGATCAAGTGGGCCCACGGTTCCAATCTCGGCGATCCTCCTGCCGCTAAGCTCTTAGTTCCGCCATCGATCAAGGTGGGCGCGAGTAAACCAAAACACTAACACGCTAAACACACAGACACCAACGAAACGCAGTCGATCCGTTAAGTCGATCTATTTAGCAGAAGCTAGATCCGAATGTGTCCAACGAAAGATAACGACATCTGATCTAAAAATGATCTCAGGTACCGACCGACCGGGAGATGACGCGGACGAAGAGGACGATGGCGACGAGGAGTGGGTGTATCAAATGCAAACATGTCTGGGTCTGGGAGATTCCGAGAATTGTCATGCTGGTCTGGCATGACTCTGAACTCTGTATTGTGCGGCCGCGAGGAGCTCCTACGTCCTGTCATGCAAAAACGCAGTTTCTAATGCGGAGCACGCAACTCAGAACCATGCAAAAAACTTGTCATGCTTGGCAGCGCATTACAGTGAGCTTACTATTCCCTCTCTTGCGTCACAAGTTTCCAGACCCAGGCATATTTGCAATGCATAGGTTGCCGCCTGGAACAACGTCCCAGGCGAAAAAACAAGGCTCGAACAAGCGCACCGCAAAAGCGAAGGCGAGCGCCAAAGCTCGGCCAAAAAAGAAAGCGAAAACGGAGCCAAAAGCAAAGGGTGGTAGAACCGCTTCGAGTAGTGAAAACAACAACGGAGCGGATACTCATGGTGCAGGGGATGAACCAGTAGTACAGGCTAATGACACTATTATATCAAGTGCTGACCCCGAGTCCGAGTTGCTCAATAAGAAGAATTTGAACGACGCCCTCCCGATTGTGCCTCCAGACAGCAAATCTGAGCAGCGCTTCCAGAACAGTCAGGTCTACATGTTGATCTACAAGCGCAAGGACCACCGGTTTTCGTACGCGGATGCGCAGAAAATGGCGGAAGACTTGAACGCCAAGAAGCTTGAGATCCGCGAGCACATTGCGTCGATGATCGGCAAGCCGCTACCTGCGGTTGGCGGGGTAAAGCCGCAGCTTCCAGCGGGTTGTTCTATTGTGCCGTCGGCGCCGGCGGTAATCAACAGCACGGCGGGTACTAGTTGTAGCACGACTAATATCGGACCGCCGCCAGTAGCACCCCTAGATGCTGGAGAGGCAGCACAACTACTAGCAGCAAATGGCTGCACAGTGCCCCCACCTTGCTCACCCAATAAAAAACTTGACGATGAACCAGAGCCCGCAGCAGCAATCGAGCTTTGCAGCAGCGAGGAAAGCAGTCAGGTCGCGGTGGCGGGGAGTAGCAGCGAGAATGAAGGCGCTGCGGAAGTACTAGCTCAAGGACCGCCGGAAGAACTCGCCCAAAATGCTGGATCAGCAATAATTGCTCCCACTACAACAGCCCACGCTCCTGCCAACGATGACGCCTCTACCGCCGATGAGGCAAGCGGAAGTCCGGACGGGATGAAGAAGGAGAATGTAATTAACGGGGAACAAGACGAGGGAGGTGCCGCTGCAATGGACGTCGATGATCCACCTCCATCAGCAGCCGTGAACAAAAGTGCCAATCTAGGTGCGTCTGCCAATGACGAAGACACGTCAAAAAATCAGATTGTCTCACGACTGAAAGAGGCACAAGCAGAACTGAATCTGAACTACAGGCCTCCCTCTCGGAGCGCCCCTGGGACGAGCCATGTCCCCACCGGACTGACAGCCGCTAACTTCGGCACGGTCAGCAATTCGTCTTCTTTGATGCCACCTCCCGCTCCGAAGCCGACGCCGCTTCGTGGTTCCAACTTGGGCGGCGGGCCCACGACGCCAATAAATCTGACCGGTGAAGACCACGAAGACGCGGAACTGCAGCGGGTGCTGCTGGAAAGCCAGAACCCAATTTACATGGGCGGCGGGGATGGAGGCGGGCTGATTGGAAGCACTTCTAACACTGGCGCCGCGACATCAGATCTACTGCGCGGTAACACGATGATGAACAGCGGCTGTATAGGTGCAGCAGGAGCAGCAACGTCATCACTTCTCGGCTTGAACACCTATGGAAACACGCCGCCTCCCGGAGCAGTTGCTCCTCCAGCCGCTGGGTTATCATCAATCTCGTGCGCCTTCCAAACCGCAGCGGAAGTTTTAGCGGCTCCATCCGAGGCCACGGACGAGCGGAAGGTTGTAGAAGACAGCATCTTGCTGCGCGACGAGGCACTTGTGTTGCTGGAAATAGATGAAGGACAACAGGATGTCGAGCTGCCAGTTGCTGTTGACGCAGAAAAGGATGAGGGTGGCCATATAACACAAGACGCTCCTTTGACAACGACTTCTACGGAGCAAGTACTGGAACAGCCTTCCAGGAATTCCAGCCATGACGCTATGGTGCGCTCCTTTTGGAAAACGATGCCGGCCGCGTGGATCTGGAACTACTGCGACGCCCAGTTTTCGGTCTCGCACAAGCGCACGGCCGGCGCCAAGGCCATGCAGCAGGAGATCGACCAGCTTGCGGAGAACCGACACCAGGACTGGGCGAAAGTGAGCGAGAAGCTGACAACCTGGAATCCGGAGTGGATGGGGACCGTCGCGCGAGAGCATTTGCTTACCGAAGTGGAGCGATTGCAGAGTGCAGCTGCGGTCGATGCGGCGGGAGGCGGGGGCGAGGAAAAGGAGTCAGAAGAAGCGGGTGCGGAGGAGGAACGGGCTGTTGCACTTCTGCCGGGTCAAGACAATGAGGTCGATGTTGGTCCAGCTGTCGCAAGTGCGGACGCAATTCCGGAAGCACAGAAAACAGCGACAGAAAGAAGAAGAAAAACACCAGCTGCACAAACACTCAACCCCGCCAGCGCGCCTGCAAATCCTACGCCAGGAAAAAACAAGACTGACGACGGGACGAAGGGCAAAGAGAAGCAAGAAAAACTTCTCCCGGCTGGTACTGAAGAAAGCAGCAGCAGCAGTAGCAGCAGCAGTGCCTTGTCCCCTTCATGTGCTTCTCCTGAGGTGGAGGAAGGAGGAAAAGATGATACCGGCATCAAAAAGAAAGATAATGATGAACCATATGGAGATGAAGATGATAAAAAAGCGACAAGCAAAAATGGGACCAGCAGCAGCTCGTCTTTTCGTCTGCCAGAACTGGACGATGGCAACAATCCCTCTAAAAACAAACAACAAAATTCCGCCGAGCCAGACCCCAAGCGACGAAGATTGTCTACTGCAAATGGAGCAGACTTGTCAAATGGTGGCGGTGGTGATGAAAACAGGGCACTGCTGGTGGCAAATGAGAAAGAGCCAGCAGCGAGCTGTAACGTCGTCGTTTCAACAGAATCTTCTCGTCTTCCAGAACTCGCAGTTGTAGCGCAGCAACCAGTTCCGCCTGACAGCGCGCTTGTCTTCATTCGCACGGAGTTTTGGAGATTGTGGTGCGAGGCCAAAGACGTGGAAAAGGAGCAGGAAGTGCTGCGGCAAACCAAACCGGACAGCACTATCCGCACCGGGCGGTTACTTCGCCTGCACCGAGAGTGGCGTCAGCACTACCGCACCAGCATGCGTCAGGTGCAACTTCCGAACGGGAAGCTGGATCCCTTCGCGGTGTGGGGCGGGCAGCTAAAAGTCGTACCGTTCAGCGTCGCGCGCGTCGTCCTGGGGCGGATATTCCCGTTCGCGGAAGAGGCGCTGAAGAGCAGGTCCTGCAAGGAACTACATCAAAATTCCAGTACAATGCGCGGGAACCACCTCGAGGTGAAACCAGAGGCCCTTGTTTCAGCGGATCCGGACGCGGAAGAGGATTTGGATTTGCTTAACTACAATCCGTATTTCTTCGTTCACGAGTCCGTTTGCCTCGAAACGGCGACGTGGATCTTCCGTGCGTTAGAGCATCAGTGGCTGCGGGGGCGGAGCGTGCGGGAAGTAGTGGAGGGGAGACTCGGCAGCGGCGAGGAGTTTCGGAACGGCGACTTGTACAAACGCTTGGACGCAATTGAGGATGAAGATGAGCGCAAGAAACAACTTCTAGAATACATTTACATCAAGCAAGCAGCCTACAAGGAACACTTCGAAAATCGATTCAAGTCCCAAAACAAGACGGCAGCAGCCAGAAAACAAAATATCGCTGCCGGGCCACCAGGTGCAGCAGCAGCAGCAGCAGGAACAGCCGGTGACGCAGCCGTTCTTGCGGCACAGCGTGAAAATCAAACTAGTCACGAATTTTTCGACTGCATGAAGTTCCTGCACGAGCTGTGCAGTCTGCGGCAGCAACATCCATCGTCTACCGAGGACTTGCAGAAGGCCGTTCACGACAAACTGATCGAGGAACTGAAAATGGACAGTGACGTACGGTGCCCGTGTAAGGGCTCGGGGAAGTCGGGGCAACCGCTATCATGGATCGAGCCGCGGATTCCGGCCGTCGTCGTTCCCCGGGACCCGTTTAAGCGATTCGTGATGGCTTTCAAGAAGCGCCAACAGGCGGCGTGCCGGGTCGTCGGGGTTGCGCAAGTCGAAAGCGTGCCCTTTCTCGTCCAGAATGCGACCAGGAAAGTTTGCGAAGTCTGTGTGCAGACGCACGCACAGGAGGATGTCGAACTGAAGGAGGAGAACGACCAGAAGCGGCAGGCTTTGGACATCTTGCAGTTTGTGAATAACGGCCAGATTCCCCTGGTTCCGCTGGCGGACACGGTGATGAAAGACTTCTACCTGAGCTGCAGGCACGAGGATATCCGGCGTCGTCAGCACACAATCTTCAACTCTGTCGAGGCCGCGCTGCGGGACCTGTTTGCGCGGCCCCTGGGCATGGATGAGCAGACCTGGCGGCAGCAGGCCGAACTCGAGCGGACTGCCGCTGCCGCCGCCACACGGGCGATGCGCAACGGCGGACTAGAGCTAGAGGGTCTGTCTGAACAGCAGCAACTCGATTTGGCCATGAAACTTTCGGCAGAAGACGCCGAGGGGCCCGGCGCAAGAACAGCGGAAGTAGTGGACAAAAACGCCAAGTCCTCAACACCGGAGGTTTTTGATGCCGAAAAGATCGAAGCCGAGGTTTCCGCGCGGTTCCAAGCGCTGGAGCGCGACGAAAATTGCAGGTACATTATCGAAAAGGCCAAGAGTGGAGCGAATGTGTTTTCGCGGATGTGTGAGTACCTGTGCTCCAACCTCGAACATTTAAAGCGCTTGCACGAGGGCGAGGGGGCGGACCTGTGGGAGCAGCTGTGGGACGCCGACCGTCGAGCGGCGTACAGTCCCGCCTGGAACTACATCCGCAACGTAGTCGCGCAAAACGAGCCGGACGTCGAAATGTTTCCGTTTGACCAGTGCCACGTCCCGCAGGAAGGAATCTACTTCTGCGTTCCGCGAGAGTGGATCGATGTCGAGCTGCGGCCCTGCCTTCACACGCCCCGGAAGCGCGGTGAGCCGAAGCAAGTGGTGCGCTTTCCGGATTGGGAGCAGTATCAACATGTGACGAGCGGGTGCTCGCACAACAAGCGGGAGCTCCAGCCATTTCCAACGATCCAGGCATACGTGCGCCGTCGGGGCGGCTACAGGATGAATGAATTTGTGCACCGGCACGAAGTAGCTTACCAATTGGTACACGTCGAAGAGCTGAAGTACGTGTGTCTCAGTTTGAAGGGTATTGTCGAGGTGCCGCGGCCGCTTCGCCTGCACGCCTTTTACATTCACCACACCCCGGAGAAAGGGCTGCAGGAGACGCCAGTGCCCCACCCTCTGTTTCCCCAGGACAGGCAATACGGTGCCCTGACCGCGTTCGCGAGGACCGGGAACCTCCGCGAGTCCTGTCCGACCTGTATGCCGCTTTTGCGATACGTGACCTTCTTCCGTCCGTCCCCGCTCCACGACGGTGCGAAGTTTGAAGTGTGGTTCCGCAAGGAGGGCAACAAGCAATTCAAGCGGTTGGGTAGCATTGCCCTTTTCTCGGGGGAAGCGCTGAGCGAAGTGAAAATGATGCTGATGCAGGAGTTTTCCGGCACAATCGAAGGTCCGAATCGCCAGCAGCTGTCTTTCCAGAAGCGCACGAAGAATCAAAATGTCGAGTCTGCGCTGCCGCCGGCCCACGATATGTACAATCACGTGTGGACGATTCCGCAAGGCGTGCCGGTTGATGGCCCGGTACACTTATCAAATGTAAAAATGTCTGGGTCTGGAAGGGTTGGAACTTGTGATGCAAACTCTGGAACACACAAAAATTTGTGTTGCATGAGCGCCAAAAGCTGTTCATTTCGTGGCACGCAAGTAGGAAGTTTCTCATGCGGGACAGGCATCATGAGGCGCGCTCAAAACCTGTGATGCTTTTGCCTGCATCAGGATCAGACGCCATTTGCGTGATCCGAAATATGCATGACAAATCTCGCAATCTTCCAGACCCAGACACTTTTACATTTGATAACCCTGGACTCAGAACGATAGTGTTCTGTGCCAGCTCTGCGTCACACCGTGGTCGCACCGGCTCAATGTGCAGGAGGTTACCCCGGTGGAAACCGTCGATCCCCTTCTTGGAGCGGCGTCGAGCGCTGCTGCGCTTAGCAGTAGCAAAAAGGTCCAGCGGGACGGGAAGCGATTGCAAGGTAAGTACTACTACTTTATAAAGTTGGGTTTGTATCATAGTCTTTGTGATTTCCTCGTTGTAATTAGGTCCACCTCTGAAACGTGACTACAGAAAGACGAACACAGAAACAGCATTTTTGCATACTACTAGTACTACCATACATAATGCGAACGCAAGAACATAAAATTCCTGAATCAGGTTTCGCGAATCTGAAGAACATGATAGCGGGAAACAATCCACCGGGCGGTGGCGGGGGTGCTTCGAGTCCAGCAGAGATGAATCAAAACGCCGGCTCTTCCTCTTCTAGCAGTTCCTCCTCCTCGTCTTCCAGCAGCAGTGCTGCTGGCGTAGGTTCTACAATCGGAGCAGGTGCAGCTACATCAACTAGCAACATGATGTCGAATCAATTTCAAAAACTCGATGCCGGAGAACTCGAGGGTGTCGAGCACCCGGACCAATTCGGAATCTTGCTGCCGAAGGATGAATATGCATTGCAAATATGTCTGGGTCTGGAAAGGGCGAACTTGTCATGCTGGTCTGCTATTCCTGGGAAATCGAAATCTGTATTGCGTGACCAACAAAACTCGGAGCCGCTTTTGTCACAGACGAAAGCGCAGGTTATCATGCGGGCTGCGTAATATGAGGAAGTGTTGTGGAAAGTTGTCATGCTTGGCCGCATTCGAATGCGTCTCCATCATCCACATTTTGGCATCACAAGTTTCCAGACCCAGACATATTGGCATTTGATAATGAAGGACATCCCGGAGCATTTCGTCTTTCTGGTGGAGTAGACCACACGTCGATGCAGGGTGGGAGCAAAAATGGTGACCATCGCAGTGGTGCTTCTGCTTCTGCGTCCGGAGGTTCCAATTGGATGAAAACGACGCAAGGCGCTGCGGATTCGATCCCCCCGGCTGCGCTGATTGCAGCACCAAAGGAGGTAGAGAACGAAGTAATTGAGCTCTCCGACTGATAAAAATATCAGCCTCATCAGTACGAGTACTTAGTTCTTGAAGATTACAGTGAATAAACCTATTTAGTTTTAGAGCTTTTTTGTAGCAACCTTGAGCAGTACTTCCAGTTGTCTATGAATACGATCGTTTCATCTTGTGACAGTTTGGAGATGACAAGTCCAGATAGCAATGGCAAATTTATTTCGAGTCAATTGATTCCAGATTATTTTTAGTTGTGCTTACGAGTGATCTCTACTCATCTCTCAACATTTTTATATCAGCTGGAAAGCAGACATTTTGTGGCTTTCAGATTTTCCAACGCGACTTATATATCTTACGATCTATGACAAATTCAGCATTACAAGAAACCCAATTTTCAATCTTCGGCGACAAATTTCTTCTGTAACACTGTATTCGATTAAGAGACGCAGCTGTTCTCTCTGAGCTGTGTTGACCAATAAATAAACGCGACAAGAATATCTCGATACAGAGGCAAAAACTTTTCAGCAAAAGGACCAGACAAGAAAACCGTTTTAACAACGCAAATATCAATCGCTATTTGGATTTCTGCTCTCCGGCGACACCACACTAAGTGACGAGCACACGACGACGACCTTGATGGCGGCGCTCTGAGCGGACTGAGTCTGTGTGGTCATTATCTTCAACATTGTTCTTCACTTTTCGCAGAAGATTTGAGCATTCGTCCAAACAGGCTTTCGCTGGGTCGGTTGTACTCCTGGTGTGCAGCTTCATAGACCACAGATGGCAACTTTGCCGGACTGCCACAGCTACGGCTCATTTGCAGTCGTTTCGCGTTGTCGTGTCTACCGTAGGTTTCAATCGTTCTCAAAAGTTTCAACTGCTTTTGCTTTTTACTTGTTTCGGTCCCTTGACTTCATGGTCCGTCGCAGAGAAGTACTATAGGAGACTCAAGTGAATAAAATTCTGCTGCTCCACACGATTAAAAATCCTCGATATAGTCGAAGAAACACCGAAGTTCTTGTTGTGCGACCTACTTACTTAAGTACTTATCCACCAAGAATACAACACCATGGCAACAACTTCTGCCTCGTCTTCTGCCCAGCAAGACCAGGCGGACTTTCTGCGTTTCCGCGAGGAACTGCGGGAAACCATCCGGAGTTTTCGGCCCAGCTCCTTGCACGACTATAATTTTGCCGCCAGTTGTTCCTCGAATCAGAACTCGCCGGAGAAACTACGTCTGACACTAACCAAGAGTGTGGAATCGCTCGGGTCCGACGAGGTTCTAAATCTGGGACGCAGCGGTAGGGATGGTTCTGGAGATTTTGTTTCGGCGGGAACAAATGGAAATGCAGGAGCTCGTAGCACCACTGCTACTATGAACAATATTGCGACGACGCGCTCGGGAGGACACCAAAGCCAACGACTGGCTACGCCGGGTGCGGCGAAGACTTCATTGGATGCTGGCGTATCCTGTGCAAAAGTATCGTCCTCGTAGTAATCGCAGTCATACATTACAAACCTCCTTCCAAATGCAAATCAGCATGACAAATTCCATTTGTAAGTAACGCTAAGCGAATTTGTATTGCAATTCATATTAGTACGATACTTTTGCAGTTCATATAGCGCCGGGAAGATCTACAATGCGACAGAATCAACATCTACTTCAACGACCTCCTCGCCTGTTAAGAAAGTTGTCGTAACTATGGATTGTAAAAATGTCTGGGTCTGGAAGGTTGGGACTTGTAATGCTAGCTTTCCATACCTAGAAAATCTGTATTGCATAACCAACAAAAGTCGCAGCCTCTTTTGTCATGCAAAAACGCAGTTTCTCATGCGGATTGCCCACGAGAAAGCGTTTTGGGAAGTTGTCACGCCGGACTGCATTCGGAAGTGTTTTCATCATGCACATTTTAGCATCACAAGTTTCCAGACCCAGACACTTTTGCATTTGATAGGAACAAACAGCTCCGCGTCCGCCGCCATAGGGATAGGAGATGACGACGCAGGAGCTTCTTGCCGAGGAGCAGATCAGGAGCGTTTTGCTGGAACAACCGCGGGAGGACGCGCAGCTGGTACCTCGCCCATCTCCGCGGATTCCGCTGTGCTGCAAGGAACAACAGGAGCTTCTGGTGGTACAGCAAGCAGCGCAGAACAATCCACTGGGTCGTCGTCGAAAATAAAGATAGACAAGATCACCCCTATCAACCTGCACCTGTTCGGCCCGCAGGGATCGGGCAAAACTTCCTTTCTCCGCACCTGTTTCCGGGCTTACTTCGGGGAGAAAAACTTGCCGAAAGAAATTGAGAACTTGGAAAAGGAGCTGTATCGGACGGACGATGGGACCTCGAAGTACAGTGTATACAAGCTAACCGACTGGGTGCATCTGCATGACACCCGGGGTCAGCGGGAGTACTCAGACGTGGAACTCGAGCAGTTGAGACTGGTATAATTGGTATATGAAATTGTACTTACAAGTTCTTAGGCTGCTCCTGTGAATCTGTGAATCGAAGATTCGTTGGAAATTACTATCCTTCTATAGCGGTTTGATGCATGACTGACGTGAAGCCTTATGCGGTTTTTGCATGACAAATCTCATGACCCCCCAGGTTCTCGACGGGCGTGCGATGCCGGGGTCGGTGATCGAGCAGCGCAAGCGGTACTGGTTGATGCTGCGGTATGCAAGAAAAAAACTGTGTAAGTGTAAATCTGTGATGCAGAAAATGCAAAACAGTTACACTTGTCATGCTGGAAGTGCGTCACAGGCTACTATCATACGTGTTTCCACTGATACTAGCTGCGCATGACAGGTTTTCCCTGTAATGCAAAACGAATTTGTGATGCTGCTCTTGCTACAAAGCTACACTTAAAACAGTTTTTTTCCTGGATGTGCGGGAGTTTTGGAAATCCGATGAGGAGATGAAGAAAGCGTTTTCGCGGAAGATCCTGAACAACAGCAAATACTCGAACTTGAACACTATCGAAAGGAAAAATCTCACCTCCCCATATCAAAACGAAATTTCTGATGCTGGATTTGTGTACTCACCAGAAGGAAATTGTAGCAGATACTTCGCGAATTTAAGCAGATCCAAAAGTTGCCGCTTTTTATTTTTTTGGCACTGCGAGGACGAAGGTAGCAGGTCTAGGTGGCACTCCCCATGACGGCCATGCATCTGGCTGCATGCTGGAAAAGCTTACCGCTGAATCCGCTTGCGCGAGGGCTGTGTACTCGCTTGGGCCGATAGGGATAGAAAGGGCGACTGAGAAGTGCGGTCGGCCCCTGCAGCCAACAAAATTTCTGTGCGCCCGGTATTGCTGCCCCGGTTGCCCTCTGGCCTGCTTCTAGTCTTTTTTTGGAGCAGACGCATTTTTTAACCTCACCATGATGGTGCTCCATCTTCATTTTTGCGCTATGCAGCCTCACCTCGTGCGCCTGCATTGACTTGCCCTTGTTGTACGATGTGGCGCATTTTCCCTGTTTGCGGCATATTCGTAGAGGCCCACGCGGCCACTCGGAAGCAAAGCAAGCCCGCCGCGACGTTTCTATTCGCGCGCGCCAAAGGTGGCGGCGCAGGGGACGTGTTGCGCGTTTCATAGGGTGGCCGGGAATAAAAAAAAACAGCTGGTTGCCGTGCGGAGCCACTGCACGAGCTGCGGCGCCACTTCGCGACAACACCAAAAGCGAGCAAATTTTTGTTCTGCGCGAAGTTCGCGCAATTCTGAAAGAGAAGAAATTGGGCCCTCCGTGTGGAGGGTGGAGTGAGACTGTCGTGCTTCGTTGGACAGAAAATTTTGGCTTCTTCTTGCGTCGCTGGCGGCCCAGAAAGAAACCGGCCCCTCCGCCCGGAGGGGGCGGTTTCTTTAGGACCCGGAATTCAATTTTTTTACAAAAAACCTCGACTTTCGTTGTTTTCTGGGGGAAAGGTAGCGTTCCGGCTATCAAAGAAACCGCCCCCTCCGTGCGGAGGAGCCAGTTTCTTTATGGGCCGCCAGCGGTGCAAGAAGAAAGCGAAAAATAAGAAATCGATCCCTCCGCGCGGAGGGGTCGATTTCTTATTTTCGGAACGGCGCGCGCAGCGCGCCGAAGAAAAATTTTTTTGTTGTTGCATCTACTGGCTTCGGAAACAAGTCGTGAGCCACGCCTCCGCGCGGAGGCGAGGATTTCTTATTTTCCTAGTGCGGAGCAACGAGAACGACGGCCCATTCCTGAGGAGGTGGGCGCCGCGGTTGTCTGGTTCCTTATGTGGCATAGCGCGCGCACCGGCGTCGGGTTGCGCTCCTTAAGGCGCATGTAGCGCGGTGCGTGCGTTGTTATGGGCCTTTTGTCTGAGGGCAGCACCTGTCGCGCAGGCGCCGCTGCAGGGGATTTCGCCCCTGAGCTCGGTGGCGACTCGCGAGAGACTAAAAAGGGTATGGGCACGCATGGGGCACCGGCGCCGCGACAAAGCCAGCCAAAGGGCTGCGTCTTTGTTTGAGGCGCCCCGCGTTTCGCCCTACCTTTTTTCGCTGTGTTGTTTCTGGAAAATCAAAAATCATGCGGCAACTTTTTGGGCCCGGCGGTGTAGGGGTCGACCTTTGTTGGAGTTAACTTACTCTGCAGTAGCGGCGCCCGGCCTACAAGCTGCCGGCCGCCTTGTGCGATCGGCGACGCATTCTCCCCTGCCCTCGCCAAGGCAGCCGCAGCTTTTCTGGCGCTGGGCAATCTGCTTAAATTATTGAAGTATCTGCTTCTACTACCTGATACACAGTACACAAATCCGAGCTGTCTTGCTGGAGAGCACTGAAGGCCCATATCAAGTGTGAGTAGCGAGGTTTTGGCTTAGGCACTTAGCATGAAAAACATCCGCGCTGTAGGCCCAACAGCATGACAAACCGCCTGCGCAATGCGGCGGTTGTCTGCGGAATTGCCTCCTTGCAAGACAGACACGATTTGTGACCACAAATCAGCATCACAAATTTCCAAAAATGTACCTTTTCAATATGGGGAGGGGGGATTTTTCCTTACGATAAACACCAGTCCGCATTTTGTCTTCTTCGCCATTGATCCGACCCAACAAGAATTGCTCTACGAAGACATATCAAATGTAAAAGTGTCTGGGTCTGGAAGAATGCAACTTGTCAACATGCTGCATTTGGATTCCAGAAAAATCTGTATTGCATGAGTACCAAAAGGAGTGTAATTTTTGCTGCGCGGAGAGGGCATTTGTCATGCGGAATAGGCATCAAGAAGCTCTGAAAAAATCTGTGATGCTAGGGCATGCATCACAGACATCAGGAGGGCTCATGCAAAACGTGCATGACAAGTGTCAGAATGTTCCAGACCCAGACATTTTTACAGTTGATAAGACACGGACTTTCGCGACAGCTACAAGCAGCTTTTACGGGAGATGCGCGTGAAAGAAATCCCCTATGCGGTCCTGTGCACCCACGGGGACCTGCTAGACGAGAGCGGGAGAAAAAAGTTGCATGCGCTACCCAAGTTATTGCGGATCGACGATGTTCCTCAGGGTTTGGGTGGGGACAATAACAGCAGCGGACAGCAGGAAAGCGGTTATTTTCACAGTAATAGAATTAACATTAAGAATTTCATCAATTTCTTGAATGTAGTTGCCGTGGCCTTTCTTATCATTTG